GGGGGGGGGGGCGGGGAGAGTAAGAGAGCTTCAATGGAGGAAACTCATTGTATCACGGCAATTGACAAATTGACAATCCGATTGACAATCCGAAGAAAGGGAGACGATGAATAACCCCCAAAAAAGAGGGATGGAGTCTTGTGGGGAGGTCCAAAAAGGATGATGCAATAAGTCAAGCTTATTTTACATGTAGAGCTCTATGATGAACAAAGAGAGAAAGGTGGCCATGATAATAGGGGACCATGCTTTTGAGCAAAAGGAAAAACGCGAAAAAAAAAAAAAAAAAAAGGTTGCGGACGTAATAATGGTAACCGCTCGATAGGCCGAGCCCGAGATCGGAGGTGGATTCAGGTATGACGGAGCGGGTGTTGACGGGTCAAGCCTTTGGGTTTACCACCCAATTGATAGCCCATTGTTAACTATAATCGTAAGATTGTAATTGATGAGCGTTGAAACACACAAAACCATCAAGGATTGAATCGCAAAGAAAAGAATCTCAGGTAGCTTGTAACCGAGGCACTTTAATTTTTTGACAGTTCGGAATTTTTCTTTCCGTTCGCAAAATCCGTTGATTGAGGCCATCCTCAACTATCACTACTTACTGCCACTCGTCTAGGCTGACGGTGTGGTGGTTGACTACGAGAAGGGGGGGGCGAAGGGTTTATGGGGGACTACAGGTAATATTATATGTAAAGCAGGCCAATACACGATTCCAATCTCGACTTGCAAAGTTTCCTTCCTCACGCATTGTCCTGGGCTGATGCGCCGAGGAGGCGGGCAGCAGGGCAGGCCTAGGGCACCGGGGGGTTATTAGCAGGTTGGCGCGTTGGAAGCGCGTCAGGCGATGGGGTTCTCCCGCTTTCTTTGCCCGTATAGGGGCGTCCGCACGGATGGCGAGAGGATGAGTCGGGTCGAGAGCCCGAAGGCGGGCGACGCACACACGTGATTGATCGATTGATTGAATCGTTCATCGCCACAAAGGTCTATGACCTCTAATTCCCATGGGGCAAGCGACGCCGCGCTATGGCTACAGAGCTAGGTAGAGCTACTGGAAACAGATATGATCCCAATCCGACGGGCTCGATATGTCCTCGCTCACGACTGGCATGTGCGCACATCCTCTCACAGACAGCAGCTCCCGTGACACTGGAGGAAGCATTCTGCCTAGCCAGGAATGCCCCTTCGTTTGGACAAGAGATCCTCCTCCCTAGAGAAGATATCGCCAAAATCCTGGTCCCAGCTAACATACCCCAGCTTTAGCCCATAAAGGGATGAGAACGACGGATGGAAGCGAGCAATAAGACGTCAAAGAGGCGTTTCCGAGGTACCGGCTTTTGGTGAAGAGACTTCTTCCAGGAGAGGCGAGCAAGCTTCGTGAATAGGAAAGCCACATGGTTCATTCTCGCTTTCTGGTCGTTGGAAGGTAACAGCTATCTCGATGGCAGGAGCTGACGTGTCCTAGCGTCCCCCAAGGTCAAGCAGGGGCGCGAGGAACATGTCTTCCTGCTCGACGGAGAGGTCTACCCCCGAAACTGGCGTCTGCTCATATGGTAAACGGACTACTGCGGTAGGTATTAGACGATGACATGGACTGTGCTGTAATGCGTCTTACGGATGCGGTAAATATCAAATATCATCCTAGGAATAGCCCGGGATACCACGGTGACCGATAGAACATCCCCATGGCAAGCAGCAGTGTATGCAAAGGGCTCGTTGTTAATATATCGCACGCGCACCGCTGCGCAGGTGTGTTGGAGTCGAACAACAACAACAACAACAACAACAACAACAAGGTTGACCAAGAAGAGGTTGACCGACTCGATGACTTCACATTTGGTCTAGGTCAAAGGGGAAAAGAAACAGAACACACCCCCTCCCCTCTTCTCGTTCACGAGTGACGTGATAGCCGTGAAGGTACGATCGAATGCAGTAAATGCTGCCTGCCTGCATGCATGTGAGTGACCGGCACTCGATTACGCACGTGGTTAATCTATGCCTCAGGCCACTATGCATCTCAGCAGAACGATTGAAAAAGCAGCAGAACTTCAATATATTGGTATCTGAAGGCTGGGTGACGAGACCTACACCGACTCTGGGGCATGACCGAAGACTGTATCAGGGCAAGTAATAACTGCTGAAGAGTAGACGGCAGCAGACGGCAGCTAAAGACATAACAAGCTCTGCACAGACGCCAACATCCTATCCCATACAGGCAAATGACTCGGCTCGAAGATGGAGAGAACAATAAGACCAGAACTGCCTGTTCTAGGAGACCTTGCTTCACCACCCAGTCCCATGGAGTTGTCGCGGCAATGTCCGCGTATATATATGTATTCGCTGTCGGCGGAGATGGTTGACACATGCCCGGATGGCCCTGAGTCTAGGACCTCCGCCCCAATCGCAGATGCTCTGGATAGAGTTTCGAGGACACAGGTAATGGCTAGGACAATGTAGAAGAAAGCTATCCACAGAACGGGTGTGGCATTGCTGCCCTTCTATCCACGATATGCAGAGGCAGGCCCTAGCGTTATCAATCGCCGGGTACCAGGCGATATTCTCTACCTGGGGAGTGTTGCGCGACGATCGCCTAGCCTCATTAACCTGTCGGTTTAGGCGGCTTGTAATTCGGCAACATGCCGCTGCGCCTCCTAAACACTAGTTCGTAGCGCTATATATATCGCTACCCCAGCCGTCCATATTGTTAGATCTGCATTCAATAATGAGAAACGGAAAAAGAAAAAAGGCGACCGGAGGCCAATCCGTTAGATCTGGCAGGCTGGGAGAGTAGAAACACCGTTTGGTTTCTCGAGAGTGAGTTATCCATATCGGAATAGCCGAGCGCTATTTCAGGGACTGGAGCGCTAAGCCTGGGGGCTCCGGCCTTACATGGCACATAGGCCCTGGATAGCTCGACACGAGCCTGCTTGGTCATCAGGTCTCGGCCCTCCGCGATGCTCTCGGGGATCAAGTGTTCGGAGACCATATTCTTAGCATCGCTCTCAGGGGCACTATGCATGATATCCACGAACTTAACGCTATCCATGATGGGCACCGTGGATGGCGGTTTAGGCGCCGTTCTCTCTTGTCTAGATTGCGCCACGGTATTATATACGCCCCTGGTGAAAATGGCAATTCGCTGAATGGGCTGTCCCTGTGGAAGATGATATCGTTGCTAGGGAGGAAGGCCCCCCTGTACACGTACGTACTGATGAGCGGCCTTGTCGACGTGGCTGATGATGCACGCGAGGATCTGGGAGATGGAGAAGAAGATAAACTCTGGGGAAACTCTCTAGAAACTCTCTATATTCGGGTGGAAAAGGACTTAGGTAAGTATAGGATATTTCTGCGGAAGGTGCGTGACGGGACCGTATTGGGACTAAGGAAGGTGCGACGGGCCAGTTGTCAATTTGGGGGTGAGTTTGCTGGTGGTTCTGATTCTGAGAAATATCATGCAAGCCTTCAATGGGACTCTGATTGCAGGCCATTCTGAAAACCTCGTTGTAGTTAGTAGTGCCTATGGACTCCTGGTCGCCGCGGACGATGGCCATCTCGTCATGGTCCATGTGGTCCATAATAGAGGTCATTCGGCGCGTGTCGATCAGCAGGTGTGATTATATGTAGTCGAGGTTAGATGTACCCCCAGGATGAAATGGAGAAGATGGAGTGAAAGGAGAGGCAAAGAACAGAGAGAAGAATATTCGGTTTGCAAGAACATTGAACTTTGACGAGGGCAGGCGTAATTGCCAGTGACTACCCTCGAGCTGTCAGACTCAGCGGCGGGACAATGTCGGTAAAACGCTGGTCTCGAGATCCAGGATCGGGGAGGAGATCTATCCAGGTGATTTTGTTCACTGATGTAATGATGTAGAAAGGTGTCGGATTAAACAGCTGAATAAGCCACCGGAAGATATTCTGACCCGCGGGCCATGACCGGGTGCGCGTCTAGCCGTCGGGTCTGCATGGATAGGCCGAATGAGTACGGTGTATTGATATTGCTGATACTTTATAGAGCGTAATGAAGAGAGTAATTACATAGTGACCGGGATGAAGGGCCATTTGACAGGCAGAGTCTAGAGATGCTCATTTGCCAGGGACGTTGCTGGGTAAGCGAGGGGAAGGAGTTGAACAAAATCCATGCAATTCGTATCTCCTTTTTCTCTTTCCTTATTTTCCAATGTCTCTCTCCCTCTCTCTGTCTTATACGTTATACTACATGTAGTATTACTTCAATAGTGCTACCCCCTTTTACCCAAGTAATATTGGCCTACTCCCTTTTGTGCGCTCTTTGTGTGATGCTACCGTATCGAGTATTTCCAACACCACAAGCAAGCCCAGAGAGTTTGGGGAGGGAGCGGCCTGCCTCTCAGTTCATCGGTTTTTTCCACAGCTTTGCGGTTTGGTCTCGATCCTGCGAGGCAAGCATTGGGGTCCACGCTGTGCCCGTGGCCCATGGCACAATGCACCGAGGAGCTGGTCTGACTCTCGAGCGAGTGTGGGAGGGATGCCGGCCCTATGAGTGGTGCTTCTAGTTTTAAATATGACGGGGTAACACTCACTTGCGTAGCATACGCTGAGGCTGACGGACAGTCTGTGGCTTTTCCTGGGGAGGCTCGACTTGAGTCACCACCACCAAGCCCCGTGTGGCGCGCGCGCGTGCGTGTTTGTGCACGCGTGTCGTCCATGTCGCATTTGTGTCCGGGCCTCGTGCGGGTAGGGGTTGCGGTACGTAGTACGAGTACGGAGTAAATAGGATAGGACATGGACTCGCGGCACACCCGTGTCTCAGGTATTAACCTAAGTGGCTGGACTGGTAATTGGAGCTGATCCCCCCCGGGCCCCCAGGCCCCCAGTAAGCTGTGATGTGACGTTGGCGATGCAACCTGTGCACGGCAGTTGAGAGATGCCGGATGGGAGATGCGTGCGGGTGTGTGTGCGACTTGTCAAGGGAGGACAAATGTCAATGAGTTGACGTGATAGATGATAAATCCCCGTAGCATGCTTGGGAATGCAAATGGCAATAAATATCCCGTAGAGTCGTTAATACTCCGTACTCCGTACTTTAGTTAGGTGGAGTGGTGGAGGTGTATTGTATGGAGTCTTGAGGGCTCAAGATTTGGAACAAGAATCTGTTTTGATTGGAGGTTCAGACGTTCCGGCCCTCCCATCGCTCCTTCCCTAGGCTACTTGGCTAGCACTAGCTGCCCTGTGGCTCCTTCCTTGGGGGCCCTACGGACTATTTTAACGTCCATATTAGTGGGTGGAGCCACTGGAGAGTGGCTCCTTCCTTCCGTCTCCCTTGAACCTGAAACCTTCCCTTGTCATGACTTTGTACCTTTCGAGTTACAGGCAATTATCTCCGACCATTATCACTCCATACACTACAAAAAGACGACACAATATTGGCTACTCTCCCTCTATTCCATGTACTCCTGTCCGTCATTCTCTCATACAACCATGGACCGCTCCGTACGCACGTACATGTACTCGTAATGACGCGACAACGATCAAGGGCGAATATACATCCACCCTATCGGGTCAGGGAGCATCATGTTGCCCTGCTCCCGTCCTCTCCTGCTGGTTCCGTGTGGACTCTCTCTTCCCTTGGCGCCGCCCTTGTCCTGCCACACTTGCCTCAGACTACTGTTGTAATAGTATCGTATCTATGAGTACGGAGTAGTCGTTACTGCTAGTCAGTAGTGGTGGTAGTGGACAATAGCACCACTCTACCAGTTACACCCTTGACACCCTTCTCTATCGAGTCCGTAGAGTCTGGGCAGGATGGGTGGCCAGCCTGACACCCCTTGACCACACCAGCAACTCCCTGCATCACGTCCTACACCCTCTTTCCGGTCCATCCTCTCTTCTCAAAGCCTGGCAACTCTCTCTCGTGGCATGACGTTTCGCTGCTAATTCCTTTGTTTTCCGATGCAAGCACGGCGAGTACAACCGACAAGGTGAAGAAATTGTTCAACTCGCTCTCATCCAGCTCTACATCCCGGCCTTTGCTCTCCTCCACCAAGATACTCTCATTCATCACCAGTGGCCAAGTAACAGGCGAGGAAGATAAAAAAAAAACCTGCGTCTCACCAAGACGCCCTAGGTGTCGACCAGGCTGTCTTCCGTTCCTGCCCCGGAAGAACAAACCAGGATTTCTTCTGCGATCCCCATCGCCATCACTCCCGTCCGACTCTCAACCAGCATCATCACTAGATTTGACCATTTCTTCGAAGACGCCCGCGCGTCCCTTTGTTCTTCATCGCAAAGCACCTGGGACTGGTAGTGACTGCGGTTACTCCCAGCTCCAGGAGCCATGATCTCATCACCAGACCTGTCGTTGCGCCTTCTCTCACCGGCCATCATCTCCGCCGTCCTCACATTCTTCGTCGCTCCCGTGACAAGCCATGCTCCCCCCCAACAAACGTCGACATCACAACGACTCGAGCTCTCCGATGCCGTTCCCTGGCCTTTGCCAACAGCAGATCCCCTGGCCGCTCGCCACGCATCGCCACACTACGCGTTCGATCAACTACTCCTGCCCAGGCAGCTGAACACGGTGTGTGGATTCATAGGGGGCGACGCCGTGCTGCCAGCCACCTGCTCCCTTGGATCGCACTGCGTCGCCGACGTACAGAACAGCGTCATCGGCTGCTGCCCCGATGCTGGCCCCTGCACCACCGGGGTCTTCACAGGCTGCGTTGACGGCAACAGTGGTCCACAGACGGCCGACAACCCCTTTGTTTTCACCTGCACAGGAAACGAGCTATGCTTTCAGAACCAGTTCCAAGGCGGCTTTGTGCAGTTTGGGTGCGACGCTACCTCGCGACCCGTTGCTACCGTCGTACCGTCGGCCATCGGTGGCGGCGCCGCTGTTTCCCTGCCGACTGTCTCAGTCTCGATAATTGGGACCCAGATCACAGCGACAACCATTACGTCCGAATCTACGACAGCAACACAAACAACAGAAACAAGTTCGGATTCGAGCACTACTGCCACCCGTAGCAGCACCGTTAGCACGAGCCGTACGACCAGCAAGACCAACAGCGAGACCGAGTCCAGCACGACTAGCACGACTAGCACGACTAGCACGACTAGCGCCACCAGTACCGTCAATTCTGAGACAGCCACCACCACGACGACAGACACAAACTCCGATACCCAGTCGTCCACAACTACAGAGTCTAGTACCACAGGCCCCCCAGCCAGTGGGACAGGGGATGCCGCCGCCGACGACGACGACGATGACGACGGTGGGCAGAAGAACGTCGGTGCCATTGTAGGGGGTACAATCGGCGGCATCGCCGGTGCCGCCTTCATATTCGCCCTCCTCTTCCTCCTCTGGAGGCGCAGGAAGGGCAAGGGCCAGAAGGGGCCCACCGACCAATACGCCCAGTACCTGAGGTAAGCTCCACACGTTCCCATGACCACTGTTCGGCGGCAGAAAGGGTTTTAGTAACGGTGCTAATACTCTGGCAGCAATCCCATGACGAGCCAGGGTCCCTCCCCTCCTCCACCGGCCATGATCGAGAAGCCCCGATTCTCCCAAGGCCCGTTACTCGCCCAGCGCAACCTCAACAGAAGAGCCAGTACCCGTTCCACGGAGCCTTACGCGTCCGCCGCGTCGTACTGGCTGGCAGGATCATCGGGCGGCAGCGGGGTCGGCGCCGTCGACGACACGGACGAGACCCCGCTGACGGGTCGCATGCCAACCGAGTCCTACTCTGGCGGGTTCAGACGCCAGGACTCGCAGCCTCTACCCAGGGTGTCAGAGGACGGGAGCAAGTACTCTAGCTACGACAGCGACTACACGTCTACCTACGGGACATATCCCGGTCCTAGGAGGGGGGGTGGCTCCGGTGTCCTATGGCAGCAGAATCGTGATGCAACACGAAACCCATCCTGGGTGTAAAGCAACACTTTTTTTTTAAAAAAAAAAAGGAAAAGGAAAAAAGAAAAAAAGAAACAAAAAAAGAAACGGAAACGAAAAGGAAACAAAAACAGAAACGAAAAAAAGAAAAAGAAAAAAGAAAAAAAAACAACAAAGAGAAAGAGAACATGGCATTCAGTTTTTTTCTCTCTCCTTACACAACATCAACGATATACCCTCTCTTTTATTTTTCTAGTGCCTCGCGGGGAAAATACAGAACCGCTCGATGGCTTCATATAATATATACAACACACATGTACATGGTAATGATGGGTTTGAGCAGGTACGGGCATCATCGGTTCGGGGGCATATAGGTGTAACAAAGTAACGGTTGACTTATTTTACCTCTTCTTGTCTTGTGTGACTTTTTTTTTCTTTGTGTTACTGCTCTTGAAACAAGAAGGCATTTGAACTGGTCCACAACAGTACTACACCCGATTATCGTACTTCATAAGGATGGCTGAGTAATCTCATTGATGTCAACAGCGTGCTACCTGTCTGGAGCTACGAAGGAGAGTGACTTGGGTGCTCTGGAGGAGTGAGAACATTGAGATCTTTTTGCCCTCTTGGGAGGGCCGTTGAGTTGATATATGGATTAGGGCACTCATTTGGTCTGGTCGTCCAAGTATTTTAAGAGGAAAGGGCCGGGGGGGAGGGGGGCATGTCAGGAGTATTGCATCTCAGAGGGCTCGATGGACCATATTTTTAGCGAAGATTCGTCAAGTACGGTAGTCCCGGTACCTTTTTGTTTCAACTTGCCGTCACTACTGCTGTCGTTGTCGCTGTCGAGGTCATCCTCATATTCCCTGCGGTGCTCCCACCCACCCGAGCACGTAGCCACGACGGAGCCGCTGGGGTGCAGAGCCGTGCTTCCGACAGGCGAGGAATGCAGCCCCCATCCCCAAGAAGGTTGGGTATCAACATCGCCGTGGAGACCAACGTTATCCCACACGTGAACGCGGCCGTGCTGGTCACCGGCCCAGACCTCAAACCCCCCTTGCTCGCCCTGATAGACGTCACAGCGCATGCGCTGTTGTGAATCAGTGGCACGCCCGTTGAGAATACTGAGAAGCTGGCCCGTTACGCGTATATCGTAGACCAGCAGGCCAGTTGCATGGCGCTCATTGATGACAAGGTAGCGACCACACGGGCTCCATATCGTCTGGACTACACCCTGACCTCCCAGGCCACGGCCGCGGACCTCTTGGGCGGCATGCGCCACACTCCAGTTTGCAATCGTCTTATCGGTGCGGTACATGTCGTACAGGCCTACCATACGGGACCAGGTACCGGCGGCGATGACAGAGGTGGGGGAAGCATCGTCAGGTCGGGACGCCGAGAGGGCCGACACGGTGCCCTTCATGCCCACGCCGCTCTCGTGTGAGATGTGGCGGCGCGAGGGCGTTGTGGGCACCGTGACGATTGGGCCGTCGGACGTATGGCCCGACACGTCAAACAGGTCCAGGCGGTTGGCCGAGCCGCACAGGAAGTGGGTGCCCGGATACTCCCACAGGAGAGACGAAGGGGAGATGAATTGCTCTGTCTCTGTCTTGATGAGCTTGTAGGTACTCAGCGGACGAGCGGCGCAGACCTCCTTGTCGTTGTCCGGTGGGAACACGGCGTACAGTTGGATTGGGTGGTCTCGGCAGGCGGCCAGGAAAGTCTGGGTCGTAGCATCACGCAGGGAAAAGTATGGCGCCGGCACAGTGATCTGCGTCGGCTCAGGCAGCTTAGTGGTCCCTTGGGGTGTCAATCGACGGGTCCCTCGTGCTGTGTGCTCATCCTCTTCTTCTCGCTCGAGAAGATCGTCGGGTAAGACAAAAGCGTGGACCGTCTGGTCAGACCCATCGACTATGGCGGCTGTACCGTCGGCCGTCCACTGGACTGCGGAGAAGAAGGAGGACGACGGTAAAGAGGGAGATGGTCCAGAAGGCCGTTGCGCTCGTCTCCTTTCATCGTCACTCTCCGTCCTCAGAGGATGCTGGTGTGTTTCGGCAACAAGACGAAGACTAGGCTTCTGCTGGCCATCATCACGATGCATTTCGTGCTCGGTCATGATAGGTCCTTGATCATCTCAGGTCTTCTGCGGGACTAGCTTCTTGGCAATTCCGTCGTCGCTCGTATTGAAAAATGGGCTGGCCTTGTTTGGTGATGATGAGCCGTAGTGGGTTGTATCGTGGAAATTCTCGTTGGGTCGAGTCCGATGTTTTAGTCCAAAGGATGAGGACCCAGAACAGAGCACGGTGTGCCAGTTAGCACTGAGCGAGCGCTAATGGCTGGCATTAGCAGTATTAATAATAATACTAACAAGTATTCGAAGGTTTGGGTGTCGTCGAGGGACAAGAGGAAGCGCCAATTCGTTCAAGGTTGGATACCATCTCCATTCCTACTTTCCTTGCTCGTGCTTCCGCTTCGCATGGCAGGTACGTATGAGTATCACATGTGCAGCAAGGCAAGGTTAAGATGTAGAAAACTAAGGTCCAAAGGCAGGAAAGAATATTGGGCGGCTTGCGCTGTGGTTCCACCTTCCCCAGCGACGTCATCTGCTCTCCCTGCTGTGACCTCAGTGGATTCAGCAGCTCATCGGTGGAGTATCAGTATTATTCTGTATTCCTCGGCAGTAGCGTGCGCTAAGACTGTAGCCTACAGTGGGCTAGAGCCTATTACCTATTAATACTACCTAGAGAGTAGACACCAGACGGTACCCCCAAGGCGCATTGCTCCCCAGAGGCACACCGAGCTCCGCCCATGGGGAATTTCCCTTGGGCATGTTCCCCCATTTCCGGGCCCGTCCGTCATTTCTATCCCCCGGCCGCAATCATATCATCCTGCCTCCCAACGCAGAACACTCCCTACCCTACCGAATACACCACGATCCAAGATAGCCTGCTCATCGGAGCGCGCTTGAACTCAGCCTCCCGCCCTCGCAGCAACCGAACCATGGAATTTTAGCCCGTTCTCTTGCCTTGTAACAGTGCTGCTGCCCACCGCCGCTTCCCCGTGGCAGCCGTAATCTATCACGAGCCTCCAACCCCATCCGCGCTTCGTCATCAACAACACTCCTTTTCCCACTCGCACCGTACCCTACCTGACACTTCACCACATACATATCCGTCACGTCGCACCGTCGTTTCCGCGCGGTAACATCATGAGTCCCTTGGAGGCGGCGTCGGTGCCCGGCTCCTCATGTTCGGCGCTGGAGACGCCCTCGTACCTGGAGCTGACCGTTTCCATGTGAGTATCGTGTTTCCGGTAAACCCCACCGCGCCGCAGTGCTGCAACAAGCCACCTGACTGACCCGAGGCGATGTGAAGTGTCCTGTTGCTGGGTATCATGATCTCCTATCTACCCCAACACTATCGCATCATTTCCCGAGGCACGTCTGAGGGCATCTCGCCCTACTTTGTCCTCCTCGGTACTACGTCGGCCACGGCCGGTTTCGCCAACATCCTCACGGTCGGTCCGTCGAGGACGGCCATCGGCTGCTGCAAGGAACTCGAGAGCTTTCAGTGCGCTGTTGGTCTGCTGGGCGTCGTCCAGCTCGGCGCCCAGTGGCTCTGCTATTCTCTCATGTACGTCATAGCCTACTTGGCTTAGCCTGTCGCTTGGGTAACTGCTGACAAACTCCACACAGCTTGATCCTCTTTCTCATCTTTTTCCGCGGGAAGGATCCCGAGGACTCTCTACATGAGTTCCAGGCCGAGACATCGGGGTGGCGCACCGCAGTTACGGTCGGCCTCGTCTGCATCTTCCACGGCCTTGTCGTCGTCAGCCTCACGGCCCTCTTCTACCTCGCCTGGCCCAGACGTCTTGACTCTTGGGCCAACATCCTCGGCGTCATGGGTGCCCTCCTCGCCGCCGTCCAGTACCTGCCGCAGATATGGACAACGTACCACCTCAAACACGTCGGCAGCCTGAGTATCCCCATGATGTTCATCCAAACCCCCGGCGGGCTTGTGTTTGCCGCAAGCCTCTACGCTAGATTAGGGGTCGAAGGCTGGAGCACCTGGCTCATCTATCTCCTGGCCTCGGCCATGCAAGGGACCGTGCTGGCCATGGCCATCTACTACGAGATCCAGAACAGGAACCAGCGGGCCCAGGCCAACGGTCACAGCGAGGTCGACACGGAGCCGTATGTCGACAGCCACTATACGAGCTCCCACCGACGTCCTCAGGCCTCGCGAACCTACTCGGAGGGCTTGGAACGTGGCCTCCCTGGTCCCTTTACCGGACACCCCGAGCTCTACGCTGAGACAGAGGAGGACCTGGATGATATTGAGGAGCGCGAGGAGCGTGCCGTTGCGCGCGAGAATCAGCCGCTGTTGAAGCCCGGCGGCATAGGAAACCCACGTAGGAGTTATAACTCGCATCGCCACTAGAGATGCGGGAGACAAACAGGGAGGATATAGGTGGCTAAACTACCTCTATTCCAGTCGGGGTTTCTGCGATTTTCTTTCCTTCTCTTCCTTTCATCCATTCATCTCCTTTCTATACTATAAATTGATCCTTCTAAATGTAACATCTTCCTGTCGGTACTAGTGCACGACCAGTCTGTCGTGACATCGGGCACAGGACATATCGGGAAACATATGATCATAGTGAGTCATACCGATTATCCACTATCAATCGAGGCTCATACGAGGCATATGCACCAGAACAGCGACGAGTGAATATGACGATAACCTACTTGCCCCAATGCAAGGTATGTGGCTCTACGGGCGGGTATGGTATGCTGTATGATAATACTGCACAACCTAATACGCTGCAATAACTTGGTGGTACTTCAAGTTATGAGTCTTGTTCCGAGAAGAGAAAAGGCGAATTGAACCTGAGGGCCCATGTAATAATATTATTACTCGTAGTCTGTAGGGTTATGGATCCCCGAATGTTTTGAGGATAAGCTAAGGGCAGGGGTTAGAACGGTACGGCGTGGTGACGCGGGACAAGAAACCCATCCGCGACGACGCGCTTCGATTACCATTGGCTTAAGAGGGTGGTAACCTTGCGAACTGGTCATCCATCCGGGACGGCGGGGCATCTTTCTCCTCCTCACCTCCTCTCCAAACCTTCCCACGGCCGCTCTCCCGCTTCCTGTCTCTCCCTCTTCTTTTCCCTCTACCGAGTTTTCTCTTTCCCCTTGGGTAATATAGGAGAGAGTATACCTGCTGTTTTCCGGTCGGAAACGAATTGCACGCACACCTATCCCGACGACGACGACGAGTTCCGGTAAGACCCGTATCATCATGGCCATCTACAGCGCCGTCCCACCTCCAGGCACCTACGCTGGCACTGCCAACAGCAACAACGACAACAGTAACAACGACAACAGTAACAACGACAACAGCAACAACGACAACGACAACAACAACCCTGCTACCCCTCCGCCTGTCCCCGCAACCCCCCAGGCGCAAAACCGGTCGGCCACGGGGATCGACATTGACGCATGGACCATCTCGGCCCTCCAGTCGCTGAGTATCTCGCCCGTCGCCGGCGGAACAGGCACCCCGCTCGCCATACCAATCGATAACGAGGCTGCCACGACCACCACTGTCGGCGTCTCCTTTGGCAATGACGCCAAAGTGGCCGTGCGGACCGATGTGCCTAGGCGGCCTCCCTCTCGTCGCGACAGCCTGAAGAGGCGAGAGGCCTTGTTGAAGGGTAACGAGGGAAGTCGTCAGCGTCGGCGCTGGGAAAACGGTATGCATACTCACCCCTTCAACTCCTCGTCTATATCATAAACCCCTGTCGTCGAGAGGAAAGTTTCCTTTAATAAATCCTTGAACCTGACCGATGTTTCGGGGGGGGGGGGGAAACTGAAAAATAGACCGCCTTCTCCACGTCCCCAATGCTCAACCGCCCCAGCCATCCGACTGGGAGGTCCACCCCACCCACACAGTGCATCACGTCCCCTACCAGCTCGCTCAGTTCTGGGACCTCGGTCTCCGTCAGACAATCGACAAGAAGACGGCCAAGCTGGCGACACAGCGGAAACGGCAGCAGCTCGCTGCCGGGAGCGCCACGGGCCTGGGATGCGGGGAGGTCCCCCGCGATCTGCGCGAGGCGACGAAGCGTAGCTCTGTCGTTACGACCTGGGTTCGTGCCCTGGAGGATCCTGTTAGGGAATACATCCTCAAGGGTCGCACGGGCATCATCAGCCAACCAATGTCCGTCGAGGCTGCCGACCCCGTATCGTCGGACGAGATGGACTCCGAGGATGAGGAGATCGTCTTCGTGGGGAGAAGGTCGGCTGGTCTGCCCCCAAAGCCGGCTGCCTCCCAAGCCAGTGGGTGGAGGTTAGCTCACAGGGAGGTGGGGGATGAGACAGTCGATCACGGCATGGTGTTTGACTCTTTTGGAGACCACGAGAGCGCACCGTTCAAGTAAGGATTTTCTTCTCTGCCTGGTGCGTGATTATAATATGAAGATAGGCTGCTAACCCGGGGACTCCTAGGCGCTGGCTAACACACTCCATCTCCGACTACTACGGTCTCGAGTCGACGTCCGTCATTGTTCCGAATCCTTCGCGCAAGGTCGTCTATGTCAAGTTCAAGAAGGGGGACATCAGGCAGGGTTCCTCCAAGAAGCAGTTCCCTCGTCCTCTCTGGGAGATTTGCCATGCATAGAGGGGGGAGCAGTTTCATCCTAGAGACCTTTGGCCACCATATATAACCATGAGAGGCCTGTTTTTTTCTTTACACGAGTATACAAGGATTTGCATTGCAGACACCGAGTCTCGGATGATGGCCTCTTTGTGATGCTGACCATCGTACTTCTTTGATCTGACCCAAGAGCTCCCAGACACCAAGAGCCTCCGCCGCGAGGATGGGTGTATCGGATTACCACAGGGACCAGCACCTTTACAGTACCAGCGAGATTCAACCCCAGATACGCCATGCGGGAAACCTCAGAGGGCATCCCTTGGGGGTTTAAACCGAGTCCGTGGCTTCTTGGCGGGTCGCATCTCCATGAAACGGGAGAGAAGATTTGTTGTAGCATGACTATCCTTGGAAGATGGGAAAAGGCTACGTGCCAGTTCCGGTGCTTCTGGGCATGACTCTGTTGACGCAACAGATGGTGTTTCCGCCACATATGGCTCCGAAGCCTTGGGGATATCCAGGCACAAAGGTGGATCAGCGTGTGATACATCTTCGGATAAGGCGCTTCTCTCTCTCTGCTTTCCAGGATGACAAGGAGCGATTCTCGCTTCGTTCTTGTGCACACGCGGCTGAGCCGGATTAGGGTTTGTTACCCCTTCGTCTTCATCGGAGATGAAAGGGACTTCTCTGCTGATAAACGAGGATAGGGGATCTTTTTTGGGACTGATCTCGGGTTCCTGCTTGTATTAGAAGCTGTCGTGTTTTGACGGTAGCAGGTAAAACTTACCCACTCTTCGCTGCCAGATACCCCCCCTCCTTCATCCCAGTCTGCACTACGGGCTTCTTCCCAGAGTACCAGTGCCTGCTCAGAAACACGTATCTGCTCACGATCGAGCTCCCTGAGCAGAAGAGCTCGTATCCTGGAGCATTGCGGGGGGACCTCGAGACCCTCACCGTCCTTTTCCACCACCGGACTCAAAGGAAGCCACTGTCTTGATAAGTCACAGGACAATCCATCCTGAATCTCCCGTGTATATTCACGTAAATCGCTCGTGAGGTCATTCTCCAACTCTGGTGTGCCCAGATAGAACCCGAAGTCTCTGTGTCTCGTGGACCGCGGGGGGAGAAACTGCACATCGTCGTCCATGACGTCCCCGTGTAAGTCTAGGTACCGCGCGGCATCGTGGCCTACGTCTCTGATCTTCGGTACCTCAATCTCGGACTGCACAAGTGGCAGGGAGCCCGTCTTCAAGCCGTTCTGTGGGATCAGCCCTTGGGGGTCTTGCTGGGAGGGGTAATAAATATCGGGAAATGCAGCGAATCGTTGGAGGTTGAAAGGCGCCGGTGCCTTCCAGTCTTCTGCGAGATTTTCTACCCGGCAACCATCTTGGTTGGGTTCCTGGCTCTGATTCGTCATGACGGTGTCCTTATGTTACGGCGTGATTCTCATTCAGGCCATCAATGGTCAAGGGATGGTGAACATGACCATTCTGTCTCAAGTTGACATGGGTGAAATTCGAGTTCGTGACATACGTCACTTGGACGGGACAATACATGTAGCATGCGCCTTCCTCGAGAGCAGCTTTCGGTCCTGGATAAAGCCCCACTCCAGACCAGCTTCAGCTCAGGATTTCCTATGGTTGAAGATGGCCAGAAGCATTCAGACTCGTCCACTTAGACGGTTCGTAACGGCTATAATATGGAAAATGTGCCGATTAATTACAGGGTAGCATCACAACAACTTAGTAGACGATGGCCCAGCAATTCTGTGCCGAGAGTACCATAGACGATGGCGTGACTTGATTTAGTGTCACTCATAGCGATTAATACAGTCGCTATGATGATCTCTAGCAGTCCTCTTCGCACACAGTCTACCATCAACTCCATTTTATACACGCCTCCACCTTGGTTTCGGTGGGACTAGGACCCAGAGGTCTATACTCCTAAAACTTGTATGCTTCACTATGATCCATTTTCCAATACCGGAAAAAAAAGCCAAGAATTGTTACGCAGCTCGACTTGAATGTAAGTCTGGATCCTAAAAGGATTTCCAGTACCGAGAGCTGCATTTTGGTAGTATTTGCTGCTGTGTATTGCGGCACGTCCTGTGCTCCATTATCCAGGCTTCGTGATGTGTTGTTCAGGCTTATCATGTGCTTGGGTTTGGATTAGAGGAGGAAGGAGCCAACGGTTGCGACTTCCCAATCTCCAAAGAACAAATACCGTCTTTCTCAGTAAATTGCAAAGAATGGACACACCCCAACTCCCCCAAAGTCCATACTCAGCCATACCATGTGTTGTCAGTTTCGCATTCAACGTCTAACGGCTGGAGATTTTGTTTGTCGCTCCCCCATTACCACCCGTCTCTGCCCCACCGCCGTGTGATCCACAGCGGAGCTTGGTGCTTAACTCCCAAGTCCGACCGAGACGCACTGCACCGTTTGAACTCTCGGACCAGTATTACCAAGCGAACTGGACAAGGCTCGCGGAAGAGCTCAGCAACGAACTTCTTCCCTCCCCATACACTGCTCACTTCCACGCCCGTCGTCCAGCATGGCGTACGTTGCGCCAGTACATAGGGCCACGAGTGTCCGCCATGCCCTGCGCATGCGCTTCACCTCGCCAGACGAGTATGATCTCGTCATTGCGTAAGCCTACCCCTCCAGCCCCCGTCCGGCCTGCCCCGCGATATTGGCCATAATCTGACATTCATATCCTCTGCAGCAAGTCGAACCGACTCGAGATTTGGCGTCCTTCGGAGGAGGGCTTGACATGCCTCCATACCCGAATCGTCTACGGCACCATAGCTATGATGCAACGACTGCAGCCAAAGGATTCCGACACCGACTTGCTCTTCATCGGCACAGATAGGCAACAGTACTTCACAGTTGCATGGAACCCAGACAAGAACAAGCTAGAGACGGTCAAGGAGAGCTCCGCCTACGATGAATCTGAGCCTTACATGCGCCACTCGCAGAGCCAGAACCAGTGTCTGGTGGATCCCACGGGCAAATTCATGGCTATGCACCTGTGGGAGGGCGTCCTCAACGTCTTTCGTCTGCCTACCAGGGCGGGGAATAGGACGAGGCTCCTTCATCTCGCCCAAGTCCGCCTCAGTGAGCTGTGGATGAAGGCCAGCACCTTCCTCTACAGCCGTGATGGCCACCCTAGGATCGCCTTCCTCTACAAGACTCGCATAGACCAAGAGGACGCGCGGGTGGCAGTCTACAGGCTGACAAAAGACGACCAGGGGGGCGATGTGTCCAGGTTCGACCCCGTCAGAGATAGGGAGCATGATGAGACAATCTCGGATCCCTACGCGTCCATGTTGATACCCATACGTGTGCCGGAAGAGAAGAGATACCACAAGCGCTACAGCGAGGGGACGAGGGCACACCTGGGGGGCCTCCTCATTGTCGGAGAGACGCTCTTGACGTACATTGATAGTCTCACATACTCGACAGTCTCGTCCGCTTTGAAGGAGCCCAAGATATACGTCGCCTGGGCTGAGTACGATGACACCAGGTACATTGTGGCCGACGACTACGGAAGCCTTGATCTCCTGACCATCGAGGCCGAAACTGAACCGTCGGGGATTATTGTCACGGGGATGAAGATCGAACCTCTGGTATTCGAAGACGGCACTACCACGACGTCGAGAGCCTCCAAGCTCGTGTACATGGGGGATGGTATTCTCTATCTCGCCTCCCACCATGGTGATTGCCAAGTTATCCGTATCGACGTGGACCTCATGCGGATGTCGATATTGAACAGTCAGCAAAACAATGCTCCCATCCTGGACTTTGCCATCATGGATATTGGTAACCGCGAGGGTGACAGCCAGGCCGGCAACGCCTTTTCTTCTGGCCAGGCCAGGATCGTTGCAGGATGCGGCGCGTACAGAGATGGCTCCCTCCGAAGCATCCGCAGCGGCGTCGGCCTGGATGACACCGGGATTTTGGACGACATCGAGGGCTCCCGAGGGCTCTTCACGCTCAAGTCCCACGGATCAGAACTCGTTGATACGCTGGCCGTTTCACTGGTCAACGAGACGCGCGTATTCAGGTTTGACCCAACCGGCGAGATCGAAGAGGTCTACCAATTTGCCGGCATGCTGCTAGATTCAGAGACATTGCTGGCATCGAGTCTGCCAAATGGCCACCTGCTGCAGGTGACCCCTCAGTCTGTCAGGTTGCTCGATCCGGAGGGCGGCATTACTGTGTCGACGTGGGAAGCGCCGGATGGGAAGACAATCACAGCCGCCTCTGCCAATGACACATGGGCTCTTCTGTCCATCGACGGTTCCATACTCGTCTCGTTGAACCTAACGGATAACCTTGCTATGCAGACGCAGACGACAGACACCGAAACGGTTGGCGGGATTCCAGACCAAATGTCATGCCTGCATGCCTCTCCTGCTCAGGAACTAGGCTTCGTTGGCTGGTGGTCTTCGGGCACGATATCTGTCGTGGACCCGAAGACACTGAAGGCGATTCAAGGTATCACTCTGAGGCAGAGCGATGATAGTGCATCCGTTCCCAGAGACATTGTTCTTGTTCAGCTCCACCCTCCAGAGCGGGCTGGCCCGACGCTTCTCATCTCCACAGAAGACGGAAACGTTGTAACGTTCGACGTGTCAAGAGAAGGTTTCACGCTTTCAGGCCGCAAGACGGTCACACTCGGAAGCAGCCCGGCACGGCTACACGTCCTCCCACAAGAAGATGGGACGAACAACATCTTTGCGACGACGGAGCACTCGAGTCTCATATATGGCTTCGAGGGCAGGATTATCTATTCAGCGACGACTGCTGACGATGCAACCTATGTGGCGCCCTTTAATTCCGAGGCATTCCCCGACGCCATCATACTGTCGACAAACAACCATGTCAGGCTGAGCAAGGTTGACAAGGAGCGCCTCACCCATGTCAAGTCGCTTCCAATGGGCGAGACAGTCCGCCGAGTGGCTTATTCGGCAAGCCTACGAGCCTTTGGCCTGGGTACAATCAAAAAAGAGCTGGTGGACAGCGAAGAGGTGGTGACTAGCTCATTCAGGCTTGTTGATGAGATTGTCTTTAAGGAGCTAGGTAAACCGTTGGCGCTCGATGGTTCTACAGGTCTGGAGCTCGTTGAATGCATTTCCCGTGCGGAGCTTGTGGATTCGAGCGGGAAGACTGCGGAGCGGTTCATCGTGGGAACGAGCTACATGCCAGATGACGAGGCGACGGCGGCCGGGGACAAGACCCGAGGTCGGATCATCGTCTTGGGCGTGGACGAGAACCGCCAAGCCTACCGGATTGTCAGCCACAATCTCAAGGGTAACTGCCGATGCCTCTCCGTGGTCGACGGGTTCATCATTGCGGGCCTATCCAAGACAGTTGCCGCCTATCGCTACACCGAAACGACATCTGCTTCGGGTTCACTGGAGAAGCTTGCGGCATACAGACCGGCGTCGATGCCTATCGACCTGGATGTGTCGGGCAACGTGATTGGGGTGTCGGATCTCATGCAATCACTGACGCTGGTCGAGTTTACGGCACCGGCCGAAGGAAAGCCAGCCAAGCTTGAGGAGCTGGCGCGGCATTACGAACCGGCCTGGTCAACAGCGCTGTGCCATCTAGGCGATGGCCGGTGGCTTGAAGCCGACGCGCAGGGGAACCTGACGGTCCTCAGACGCAACTCCGAGGCCCCCACGGACCAGGACCGTAGGCGGCTCGAATTGATCAGCGATATGAATATTGGGGAGCAAATCAACCGCATACGGAGGCTCTACCTAGCACCGTCGGACGACGCCGTTGTAACGCCCAAGGCGTTCTTGGGTTCGGTGAGCTGCTGCATCCCCGACCGTGCAGTCTACGAAGAGGGGACATGGATGAAGGCTAACCTTGTGTCGATATCAGGTCGAGGGCTCTCTATACCTCTACGGCGAAGTCTCACCCAAGTACCAGGACCTCCTGATTTCGTTCCAGTCAAACATGACGCGGTGCATAGAGACGACGGGGGATCTGAGCTTTGACCAGTGGCGATCGTTCCGAAACCACCTGCGCGAGGGCGAAGGACCGTTCCGGTTCCTGGACGGGGAGATGCTAGAGAGGTTCCTGGACATGACAGAGAGCACGCAGGAGTTAGTGTGTGAGGGACTCGGGCCAAGCGTGGAGGAGATGCGCAACATTATTGAGGAGCTTAGAAGGCTTCACTGAGCGTCGGAAACTGGAGTCTGTTTGGCGTATGTGGATCTTAGGCGGGATGTACGGAGTAGTGGGCGTTAGAACCTAGACAAGGAGACCAAGCCGTTAAGACTCTACACGGTTTCGTGGAATACAAGTATGCATAGGAAAGAATGTAAGCCAGCAAGATACAGCCTCCAAGAATTGTGATGGAACGATTTACCAGGATACCGTACTGACCGGGGGGGTTGCAATTGAGGCTTGGAATTGCTCGATATTAATTGGATGGATTTACATGTACATACGGGGGGGGGGGGTTATTTTTTTTATTTTTTTTTTGTGTTTTTTTCTTTTTGTTTCTCATTCTTAGTAATAATCCTGGCATTGGAGGAAAAAGCAGAAAAAAAAGGGCAGCCAGCAATTAGTAGGCGAGGACGGAAGAGATCGGGACCCATCATGGCCATAACGGACGAATGGGAAAAGATCAATTTGATCTTGCCACGAAAAAACAGGCTGGGAGCCTCAGGCCACACCAATTGGGCCAATTGCCAAAACTTCCGACATCACGGATGGACGACCTTTTTGCTACCGAAAAAAGACCTCAACCCACCCCCTTTGGTTCCTCGTCCAGCACGCACCGTTCCCAACGGCCCCGACCACCACGCAGATCTTGTTCAATCCGGAGCAAGATTGTGACGACGACGAATTCTTTCCACCCGGACGACGATAAAAAAAGAACAAAGAACTCGCAGAGAAAGCGTCATGGCGTCTCCCCTGACCTCCGCCTCGCGCATGTGCCTCCGTGCCGCCGCTCGTGGTCCTGCCTCTGCCGCGACCAGGGCCATCAGCACGACCGCCTCGGTCCGCTCAGCCGACAGTGGTGCTCCCCCGGCCTGGACATCCTACCACAGCCCCTTCAAGACGGGGAAGACTAGGGCCAGCGAGGTCCCCGACTTTGGAAAGTACGCCTCCAGCAACAGCGGTGACACCAACAAGCTGTTTCAGTACTTCATGGTCGGTGGTATGGGTGCTATCACGGCTGCTGGAGCCAAGAGCACTGTTCAGGGTGCGTTTAACTCTCCTTACATCCTCACCACCTTTTTCCTTCCTTTCTCCCGGTTTACCAAGAGAGAGGACATGAGGATAGTTCGATTGAGAATCGGGGAAGAGAAAAAGAAGAACAAGTATAAAAAAAAACTCTAATGCTAACATACTGCAGAGTTCCTCGTCAACATGTCCGCTTCCGCCGATGTCCTGGCCATGGCCAAGGTCGAGGTCGACCTCAACTCCATCCCCGAGGGCAAGAACGTCATCATCAAGTGGCGTGGAAAGCCCGTCTTTATCCGTCACCGTACCCAGGATGAGATTGACGAGGCCAACAAGGTCTCCATCTCTTCCCTTCGTGACCCCCAGGCCGATGATGACCGTGCCCAGAAGCCCGAGTGGCTCGTCATGCTTGGTATGCTTCCCCCCCCCTTCGCCTTTTTTCTTTCCATCATCATCCCGACTTTTCCTCTCCATTCTCTCTTCCTTTCGCACGTCGCTAACAATACCACAGGTGTCTGTACTCACCTTGGTTGTGTCCCCATCGGCGAGGCTGGTGACTTTGGTGGTTGGTTCTGTCCCTGCCACGGTTCCCACTACGACATCTCCGGTCGTATAAGGAAGGGCCCTGCCCCTCTCAACCTCGAGATCCCCGCCTACGACTTCCCCGAGGAAGGCAAGCTCGTCATCGGTTAAAAGCGCAAACACCTCAGCAAGCGAAATCAACAAAATATAATGAGAAAAGGAGAGAGAGAGAGCGAGAGAGAGAGCAGTTGGAGGACTGTACGAGTATTTGCTTGGTGGGAGGGGAGGGATTCCCTTGTTAGAAGAAGAAAGGATGGGACAGGAGAGAAGACGGAAAGGGAGAGAGAAGAGCGTCATTCCCCGATAAAGTCTCGAATCTTGTGTGTGTCATGGTGGGCCTAGCTCCTTATCTTTTATTTATTTATCTTAGACATTGACCTCGTGAGGGTCTGTTTGTTGTATAAACAAAATTACAGAATCCCAAAACAATTTCTTATGTCTGGGGGGGGGGGTTTCTTTTCTGTTGTACCTCCTATCTTTGCTTTGCTTCTTGTTGTCTCCCTCATGCGTCTAGGGCGATTGATATGGCCAAGTGCATGCATGATATGCCGTCACACCCGGCATACTCGATAATTACGGAGAGTTTCTGGTGTTGTCAGAGACGATTACTCGAGGGATCACTACTTATATTCATCTAGTATTACGGCAGGTATCTGCTATTTCGATTTTTATTTTATTTTAAATTTTTTTGCCCCATCACTCCCTCTCATAATCTATAGCTTCTGGATTGACATGACCTATTAACAGTTTCCTTTGGGCATTTTTCAGTGACCGTGGCCGTCATCCTGCTGAGGTTCGGGATCCAGCTTGATGAGGGTGTCGATCCTCATGATGCTGATGCAGGCCTCGACAGCACTCTTGAGCTGCCTCACCTTGCTCAGGCTGGGCTCGAGAACACCGAGCTTGAGCTCGTCGACGACCTTTCCCTTCATCAGGTCGAGCCCGTAGTTCTTGTAGCCCTTCTTGCGGGCGAGCGTCTTCTCGTCCTCGCTGCCGTCACCCTCCTGGATGCGTTGGGACAGGGCGTGCCTGGAGCGCAGCTGGGCCGTCAGCTCGGCGGCGTCCTTGGCCGCGTTGACGGCGAGTGTCTTGGGGATGACGAGGAGCGACTGGGCAAACTCGCCAATGGCCAGCTGCTCGCGCGAGCCGACGGTACCGGCAAACTCTTCGAGGTAGATGTGCAGGGCCGTCTCGACGGCGCCACCGCCGGGGACGATGCTGCCGCTCTCGAGTGTCCTCTTGACGGCGCACAACGAGTCGTGGACGGAGCGCTCCATCTCATCGAGGGAGAACTCGTTGGGGCCACGGAGAATGATGGAAGAGGCAGAGTGGGCCTTGGTGCCCTTGATGAGGATGCATTCGTCCTCGGAGATGCTCTCCTGAACAACCTCGTCGGCGTGGCCCAGGTACGACGGGTCGAACTTCTCGTCGCCGTTGAGGTCGGAGAAGGTGCTAAGAAGAGTGGCGCCGGTGGCCTTGGCGATGCGCCTGAGGTCCTCCTTCCTGCATCGCCTGACGCCCATGGCGCCGCGCTCGACAAACATCTTGAGGCACAGGTCATCGATACCCTTGGTGGTCAGGACCACGTTGGCCCCAGCCTTGAACATGAGCTCGATGCGCTCCAGGACCATCTCGGCCTCACGGGCACGAATCTGCTCGAGCTGCTGGGGGTCGTCGACGGTGATCTGGACGCCCAGCTTCATCCTCTCCTTTTGCAGGTTCATGTCGAGGACGGCAATCTTGGCATCCTGAATGCGGGTGGGCATGGCCTGGGAGGCGACGGTGCAGTTGAGGGCATAGCCCTTGACAAGAAGGGACTCGCGGACACTCTTTCCGTGGGCCTTGAGGATGTTGACAGCCTTGACGGGGTATTTGGCCTCGTTCTTGTAATTGACCGACTTGACGGCCTGCATAGCGTCGACCACCATGTCGGCGAAGAAGTCAGAGTCGGCGCCGATGATCTTGCTCGACATGGACGTCTTCGCAATGTTGATGAGCGAGTCACGGCCTAGGTTCTCGACCTGGATGCTGACGTTCTCGTTGAGATACTTGATAGCCTCGCGCAGGGCCAGGCGGTATCCTGTGATGATGGTGGTGGGGTGTATCCGGTTCTTCATCAGCTCGTTTCCCCTGCGAAGGAGCTCGGCGGCAATGAGGACGACCGACGTGGTGCCGTCGCCGACCTCCTTGTCCTGCTGCTGTGCCAGGTCGACGAGGATCTTGCCCGCGGGGTCATCGACGTCGAGTAAGGAGAGGATCGTGGCGCCATCATTTGTTACTGTGACGTCCTATTGCGCAACACTGTTAGATGGAGCAGAGAAAGAGATGAAGAAAGGAGATGGGAGCAGGGCGGTGTAGCGTCTCGCGAGGTCGAGCAGGAAGGGGCCACGAGCTCCTAGGGGGTGGGGGTCAAGTCTTACGCCAATATCGTCCACCATCATCTTGTCCAGACCGCTAGGACCGAAAGAGCTCTTGACGACATTTGCAATGGCTTGAGTAGCCAGGACTGTATATGGGTCGTCAGCCGGCTCATGTCCAAGTCTATGAGAGAGTTTGGGTGCAACATACCATTCTGGTCACGAATGTCGGACCCCGAAATCTTTTGGCCGCCCAAGAAAAGCGTGCCGTTGCGGGGCTGCTCGAACATGGTCGCCATGGCTGCTGTCTGCTCAGGGCTGGTGAAACAGGCGAGAGGCGGGTTGTCGGGTTGGTATTAGGGGGGGGGAAACGGTTGGTGAAAGAGAGAAGTGGTGTTGGGATGTCGATGTCTGGTGTTGACTGTTATGAATGTTCCCTGCTCGACTCTAAAAGCTGGGGTGGGAGCTCTCTGCATACACACACACAGACACATACACTGTCGCCTGTGATGTGCCCCTCGATTTTTTTGGCCCACCGCTGGGGACCGGAGGTTCTGATTATTCCAGTCCCGGGACCAGCCTGGCGCTATTCCTCTTTTGGACCAAAATCGGTCAAAATAGAAGAGTACGGATGACGATGGATACAGTTGAGCTACGCCTGGTACCGTTAACATAAGTTTGATCTCTTGTCAGGAACGCATGTTTTTCTAAAGTGCTATGATGGTAGTTATTGGAATTACAACCCGGAATATCCTCCATGTTTTCATGTGACCAGTAAGTCCATTATATACGATAGAATTCCATAACATGATAAAGTATCCAAGTAAGAGCAATGGCTCCTTCGGCAGGCACGTCCCACCAAGTTGGTCGGTGCCTTCCTGATTGGCGGGGCACATCAATGGCATCGGCCATTAACAAACAGTGATTTTTTTTCCTGAATTGCCCCTCCTTCCAACCGCCGAAGATAGGAAGGAGTGAGTCTAGCCATTGCGCGTTGCGGGGCATTGCGCCCGTCTCCCGCCAAAGTCACCAGCCCACCACCACGGCTCGCACCACCACCAACCAGCCCGGTGCCCAATTTCAAGTCACCACCGCACCTTTTTTTTTTCTCTCTTGCCCCTCCTTCTTCTCCCCGCCCGCTTCATATTCCGCGCCTCACTTTTCTCACCTGGTGTTGCTCTAGCACTTGCCTGCTTCTGTCTCCTCTCTGCCTCTCCCATCTGGTGGCTTCAACCCCACTGTCTGGTCGTCTGCCCCTCCTTGTCGCCGCGTTCCGATCCCGAAACCTCGAACCTCAACCTCTCGACCGAAACACTCAAATAAAATCCACCGCAAATATGGAGGGTGAAGGTGCCAAGGAGCAGTCCAAGAGTGCCTTGAAGAAGGCTGAGAAGCAGGCCAAGATGGCTGCCGATAAGGCTGCCAAGGCTGCTAAGCAGGCCAGTCTTCCCGTCGTCGGTGGTAAGAAGACGGACGACATCATTGGTATCACGGTCAAAAAGACCGAGAACTTCCCGCAATGGTACCAGGAGGTGGTACTCAAGGCTGAGATGGTCGAGTACTACCAGGAAATCTCCGGTTTCTTTGTCCTCCGTCCCCTCAGTATGTACATCTGGTCCACCATCCGCAAGTGGTTCACCGAGCGCATCGAGGATATAGGTGTCGATGAGACCAGCTTCCCCATCTTCCTGTCTTCCAAGTCCCTCGAGAAGGAGAAGGACCACGTTGAAGGCTTTGCACCTGAGCTTGCCTGGGTCACCAAGGCGTGAGTTGTACCCCGCCCTCTCCATTCTTGCCTCTACCCCAACATGTAAACTGCCAGATGGTGTGCTGACGCAACGCCGTGCACAGTGGAGACAAGGATCTTGAGGTTCCTGTGGCCATCCGTCCGACGTCCGAGGCTGTCATGTACCCTTACTACGCCAAGTGGATTCGCAGCCACCGCGACCTTCCCCTGCGCCTGAACCAGTGGAACTCGGTCGTCCGCTGGGAGGCCAAGCAGACGACCCCCTTCCTTCGTACCCGAGAGTTCCTCTGGCAGGAGGGTCACACCGCACACCTGACCGAGGAGCTGGCTGGAGAGGAGGTTCTGCAGATCCTCGAGCTCTACGCCCGTATCTACGAGGAGCTTCTCGCCGTTCCCGTCGTGCGCGGTACCAAGACGGAGAATGAGAAGTTTGCTGGTGGTTACTACACCACCACTGTCGAGGGCTACATCCCCTCTAACGGCCGAGGCATCCAGGGCGCTACCTCGCACTGCCTGGGCCAGAACTTCAGCAAGATGTTCGACATCACGGTCGAAGACCCGGCGAACAAGGGCTCCCACCTCCATGTGTGGCAGAACTCGTGGGGTCTGTCCACCCGTGTCATCGGTGTCATGGTCATGGTCCACGGTGACGACAAGGGTCTGGCTCTCCCTCCCCGCGTCGCCAAGCTCCAGACTATCATCATCCCTGTCGGCATCAACAAGAACACGAGCGCCGAGGACAAGCAGAAGCACGAGGACACCGTCGATGAGATCCGTGTCACGCTCAAGAAGGCTGGCGTGCGCGTCGACACTGATACCCGCGAGGGCTACACCCCCCCGTGGAAGTTCAACGACTGGGAGCTGAAGGGAGTTCCCCTGCGTATCGAGTTCGGCCCCAAGGATGCGGCCAACAAGGTCATCAGCTACGCTCGCCGAGACACCGGCGATAAGGGTCAGATCCCCATTGCCGATATCGGTACCAAGGTCCCCGAGCTTCTCGAGACCATTCAGAAGGACATGTACAACAAGGCCGAGAGGTCCTTCACCGAGCACAGGATCCAGATCACCAAGTGGGATGAGGTCCTCCCCGCCCTTGACAGCAAAAATGTTGTCCTCATTCCCTTCTGCCTCAATGGCAAGTGCGAGGACCGCATCAAGGACCTCACGACGCGCGCTGAGGACACGTCTGACGTCCCTGAGAACCAGAAGCTCCCTGCTATGGGCATGAAGAGTCTCTGCATTCCCTTTGACCAGCCCGAGGGCATCAAGGCCGGTGAGACTGAGTGTCTCAACCCCGAGTGCTCCAGCAAGGCCCAGAAGTGGGTCATGTTTGGCAGGAGCTACTAAGCACTTGTGTGTCCAGGGAAGTAAAGTGATGCATATGCGTCGAGCACATTTTCTTTTCGTCTACGTGAGGGGTTTGGTAGCGGCTACTTGGCTTAGATGGTCATTTTTATTCATGTGCTTTTTTAGGTAGTAGTGCACGGTGTTGGTGCGTGTTATTTGGACGATGGGAGAGGACGAAACACGGCAGTGCCAGAAAAACGTTGATCAGATAAAGGGCCGAACGAACCCCCCAAAAAAAGCATGAATATCCTGTCTATTATATACTAGTGATATCCGTCATGCTTTGCCCGCAATATTCGCCGTGCCGTACATGTCCCATGCTTTGTTGTGTTGATCAGCACCAGGCGTACTTTTCCGGGGAAACCCAATCGATGGCCTCGGGGGGAACGTCGCCGTCGCCGAACCAGTTGAGGGCCAGGATGCTTTTGGAGTCGCGGATGACGTAGATGGCGCCGAGCCGCTCTGCGATGGAGCGCACCCTATCGTTCGGGTTCCACAGCTGGACGGAGCCACAGGACCATTTGCTGGCCTGGTCCTTTGCGGTGGCGAAGATGGCATCGAGGGCGGCGGTCAGGTCGTCGGTGGATATGGCAGGGTCTTCGATACCGAGGTTGAGGATGTACAGGATATTCTCGTCCTCCTGATGGAGGGAGTGAAAGGTGCGGGACCAGATGGCCCAGACGCGCGGCGCGTCGGGCGAGGCGGCGTAGACGGCGCCGTGGACGTCGGGGCGGCTGGAACCGAAGAGCTTCTCGACGACGAGGGCCTCGCGCGCCAGCCACCAGTGGATGTGATCGAGATCGGGGATGATGGCGACGCGGGTGGTCTGGCCGGCGCGGAGGGGGGGCTTGGCGATCTCCTCGCGCACCAGCTTCTCGCCCGCCTCGACGATGGGGGGAAGGTGGTCGAAGCCGAGGAGGGATACCTTGTCATCCCCCGTCGCGGTGACGGCGGCGGCGGCAGGGTTTCGGAACTCGAGATGTGTGCTCCTGTAGGGCTGCCAACCGTTCAGGGCGTAGAAGCGCTTCCCAATGTCGGAGAAGAGGACGGACAGGAGGGCCGAGTCGGGCTCCCGGGCGTTCCTGCCGCGCATGACCCCCGCCAGCCTGGCCATCATGGCGCGCGCGTAGCCCCGACGGCGCTGGTCCTCCGGGGTGAAGACGCTGGCGACGCCGTACGACGTGGCCTCCCTGACGAGGCCGTCGGGGCTCCGGACGAGGACGCGCTTCCTCAGCGTCTCGCACGACGAGAGGATGGGCCTGTCGTCGCCGGCCGACGATCCCGCCTCCGTCAGGATCCACTGCGACAGACCACCGTCCCGTGCCAGCGGTATGTCGAGCTGCGACTGCTCCCGGGCCAGGTAGGCGTCTACCGTCATGGCCGGACCCCAGAGTGGCTGGGTGGCCTTCCAGACGCGGATGCGTTCTTCGGGCGTGGGGTGGGTGAGTATGACGTCTGATGCTGCGGACATGACTGCTTGATTTCCCGACATTGTCCGTCTCCCAGTTGCTCGTCTTCTTTTTAAAGGGTTCTTCTTGTTTCAGCCATGTGCGTTCTGGAGTACCTTTCTTCTGTTGTGTGTGTGTGTGCGTGTGTGTGTGGATAGGGTGAGAGTCCTTTTTTTTTTTTTTTGAGATATGACGGGCAATATAATATTATCTTGAATGGAGGGTTCATTGGAGATGGTACTTGGATCTACTCCGAATGCCCTTGTGATCGACGCCCTCCTCAAAAGTGTTATTATTACTCGCTTGTAGGTCAATTACTGACGCACATTCCTTCTTGACAGTTGCCCCGCTCGAACCGCCCTCTCCCCCCTCCGCCGTTACGCTGTAACGGTAATATTACTCACACCGGCGCAGGATAAGACCTTCTCAAGCGACAGTTGTGACGAGATCATTCTCAGATATGAAGCATCATCAATCAGTCTTTCTACTCGCGCCAATGCACCCCATACTACTACTAGCGCCCTTACTATCCCGATTCCTTGTTTTTTTTTTTTTTTTTTTTTTTTTTTTTTAAAAAAAAAAAAAGAAAACTAAAAATTCACGTATACTATTTGTGGAGAGAAGGGGGGAGGGAGGGGAAGAAGAAATAATAGCCGACCCGACCTGCTACCAGGTCACGATGAATCCGATGTATTATATATGTGATATTACACTACTGGCACGTGAGAAATATGGCACGTTGCATTGCACGAGTTCCTGTATTGAAGTCGGGAGACACTTGCGTACACCGATGCTACCACAGTATCCAGCGTATCAGGATTGCATCCGCCCTTTGGCAACCAGAGATCAATACCGTCTCACTATATACTCACCATATACTCACCATTGACTGTCGGACGGCCTGGCCGAGAAGGTTGACGGTTTGGTGTGGCTTAGCGCTATCGCATATTGGGTCATTGAGCGTGGGACTAATGCAGCCGTGCCGCATCCCTGCATGGCGTTCTCTGTGGCTTCTCAAGTCTCCAACTTCCCACTCTCTCTCCTCCCGCCTGCACTCCAAACATAGCCGCATAAGGCAGCTCTATAGGCTGACTGAACCTTTGGCACCCTGGCGCAGACCGATGAGGCTCCTCTGCCGGCCTTGGGCGCCACAGGCGGAAGAGGAGAGGGAAGGGAGGGAGAGCATGACGCCGCAGGGCTGTGATGATGACTGTTCACTCCCCACTGCCGCCAGGCTCCTGCCCGTGTGATGACGGGGCTGCTAGGCACCGAGAGACCTTTCGGCGTCACCGTCCCAGATCTCATCCCAGATGTCCGTCTCCTCTCTCCCTGTGGCACGCTGCGAGGCCCGCGTATCCCGGTTTTCTGGGAGACCGGCTGGTGGTTGCGCCGAAAGAGCGGGCATCGCAGACGCAGTGACCCTGCCGCCGCATGCATGTAGATTGACTAACCTTGGCAGCATGCTCATTTGTCAGAATGACGACGATGTGTCTCGCCAGATGCGACCAGATATATATTATCGACGTGGTATGCTCCGGTAGCATGGGTCGCCACACACCAGACCAGGGTTCGGACAGCAGGAGATATCATTACCGCATCACTCACTACATGTCGGTCACAGCCAAGCTTACCAAAGAGAAGAGTCAGAGAGAGTCCGAGAGAGACAGCCGGGATCATGATGTGAGTGATGCCTGGCCCCAGTTGGACCGCTTTCTTATATTATCCTTCGTCTCTCGGCTCTTATTACCGTGCAGACCGTTCATTCGGATTCCGTCCAAGGCCTCCTAACAGATGATTGACCGCAGGACAACCGCGGCATTCCCGCTCAAAAACCGGCCCCGGGCCACACGGGCCATCGTGACCAAGGTGCGCACAGGGTGTATTACTTGTATGTAACATGCCATCTACACCCGTGAATATGGGCCAAGGACCTGGACTAACTGTGTAGCCTAGGCAAGTAAGTCTAAACATGAATATCCGGCCTTGACCCATTTTCTTGCCTCCGACAGATACAGCGAACAGGTGCTGACTGCCTCCGTCTAGGAGACGTCATGTCAAGTGTGATGAGGCCAAGCCGAGCTGTCAGAGGTGTATCAAGTGGCGGGGACACTGTGACGGATACGAGAACGCAAGGGCTGGCCACAGCAAGAAGGCGAAAGGAGAGACACGGCAGTCGACGCCTATAGAGGGCTCAGGAGGAGACCAGCTCGAGATCCGTCAATCGAACAGTTCCACACCAGTCCCGAAAAACAGCAGGATCCTTGTCAGGCCTCATGGCGATAGGCAGACAGATCTCCCCGCCGTCCCCGTTCGTTCGGAGAGCCATCGCCGACAGATGGAAGGAGGCAGCGTAGAGCCGGAGGCCCTTGGGCAAGAATTCTGGCACGTCATGGTCCCCTACCTCCTGCGACACAGGGCATCGATATGGTACGCCAAGCTTGCCATCCACGCCCTCCTGGATGCCAAGTACGGGCACGACCAGACGGCAGCTTCGTATAGACGGGCGCTCCGGTATCACGGCATAGCCTTGAGTCAGCTCCGAAAAGAGGTGACGAGCCAGGGCACGTTACAGTCGGCAACGGTCTGCTGCCTCTTCTTCGTCATCTTCGATCTGATGAATGGCGATCACGGAGCTGCCCAGGCCCACGCCTCCAGCGGGTGCAGGATGATGAGCGAGCTCTGCGAAAGCAACGGACCGGATTTCGATATCGGAGACTTGATGCAGCGAGAGCTCCAGAGGGCCCTCGAGTTTGTGATGGCGCAGGCCGCTGGATCGAATCAGGATGCGTCGCCACTCGAGGCCCTGAAACGACTCATCAGACGGTGGCAACCGTGCCAGGGAGGAGAAGAAGAGGAAGAAGCAGCATCAATCAGGTCCTGCTGACGAGTTGAGGTGGAAGATTGAATACAGAGGGCAAGGCGGGACGGTATAAGATGGATGCTCACGGCGTACGCGACAATGGCTTGATGGTGAACTTTTATGGCAGCATTGGGGTTGATGGATCGATATCATGGATAAAGGGAGTTTCGGAGATAGAACAGGGAAGGATCATCGTCTTGAGCTCTTCTGTCTTGTGGTTCAATATCGTTGGATAGGGGAACTGTCTTGAATATGGAAGGAGCAACTGTCGCGGAGACCGAAAAAAAAAAGCATTCAACACCACCACATCATCACTCCCAGATTGAACAGATAACACTTCTACTAGTACTTTACCAAAATGAGCAATGGACACCTGAAGCGAGTTGCGAACAGTAAGCTTCGAGCTCTACTCCTCTGCCGTGATTGTGTGGCTTGAATTCGATTCCTCCATGGAAACAGCTTCGTCACGCAAACGAGAAAGACGCAGACCATCACAACTTCCTTCACGCATCGCCAACACTCGCATCCCCCATTCGCACTCCCGCCAGGCCTTGTTTCACCCCCAATCCTTTCTATCGAGAGGCCGTTATGATGACTCATTTCCATGATCGATGGATCTGGAAGATCCACGCACCAGTGATCAAGGGACACCCTTCTGGTCTATCACCACAGACGGTGAACAGCTTGGAAGTACCTTTCTTCGTGATGACGCCAATCTCGATATAGAGTGGCGCTCTTGTCCCTCCTGTTGGTGGAGCAAGTTTGCCAAGGCAACAAGACTCTTTCCTTCGCGTTTGGACATATCCACCAGGACACACTTACCCTCAGCATACTGCGCTTACAAGATTCTATAGCATCATCAACACCCTCTCACGCGATCAACTTGCGAACTCCGCTCCTCCTGGGGAAATCCGACATCGATGCTGTCATCTCTCGGCGACGAAGGCTGAACCTTACCGGCGCAGAGCCTGCTGTGCTGCCCGGTATGGTAACAACGAACATCAGCAAAGCTGACTAGTCTCGTCATACACACATCTGCAACCTGATCAAGAAGGCTTGTGAGGAACACAGCAGCGCCTGCAAGGGAGTCAGTGAAGCGGTAAACGCCTACAGCCCCAGCCAAAGCCTGGAAGATACGCACCTGTTGTTTGAGCATAGGAGCAAGCACATGCACAGCAAATGTACAATGGCCAACACACTGCGTCACATGGACACACAAGAGAGTGTGCGCCAGTGCATTGAGCATGTGGAAACTCTACTGGAAGTATCAGGGTTTGGCCTGATGTGTTTGAACGAGCAGGTGCCTCTGTCGAAGCTGCGGTTGGGTCTCGATCAGGAGTTTCATGACCAATGCCAGGTCTCTGGCCTCGAGGGGTATGATTTCCTGGATTGCCCCGGACATCAGCGGATCCGGTATCTTTGAGATTACAAGAGAGCTCAACTGCCCGATATTGCACAGCGCAAATACAGTCGCAGCTCTGCTGGTGAAACTGAGGGATCACATCAAGATTGGCAAAAATCATGATGGCGCGCAGAATACCCGCCCTGCGTCAACTTCCCGCAGAGATGCTCATGTTCATTGAAGTAGCCATAGCCCGGAGCCTCCTGTCTATTCGGTTTCCCGTGAAATCTCTGGAAAGCCTGCGCCAGAAGCAGAAGACGCTCTTGAAACACGCGTGGCACCTCGGCATGGGCGTGCGTGACTTTTCCCGACTCTTCTCTCTGGATGGACCACCTCGTCATTGTACTGTTAAGATCGCGGGTTGTCATTCCATAGCCCATGACATAGATAGGATCCTGAAGGACGTGATGGAATCGACAACTTTCCAGGTCGAAGGCATCATGCGCATCGTCAAGGATTCCCGAGCATTCGCCGCGAAGGACCAGCAGAAGGGGTCATGTTCCCCATGTATCTTGAGCGCGTATCGCGCCCCGACATACCTGGCTTTCACAGCTCATAGGGCCTCATACATTGGGACATTTTCCAAGAGGCCGATAAGCAGGATATTCCAATGTTGGGATGCGGACATGCGCGAAAGAGAGGAAGCACCTGCAGATGATATACCATAAGCGACGGATGCGATAAATGCGGGTAGGGGGCTGCAGAGAGACGGGACTGGAATGATTATGTGGATGTCTTGGAAGAGTCGTCGCGATCGGAGATGGATTTGAAGAGAAGAAGAGGAAGAGGAATGGTGTTGATGCGAGAAATGATGACCAAAGTCGTAAGTCAACCCAACAGCAAATAAACCTCCCAGGAAGGAACGAAAGAGAGGACAGGTGCCATGAGTTTTGCTCTTTTAATCTTGTTCAATTCATTCGACTGAATATGGTCGAATCAAAGATATAATGATAGTGTTGATGCTGGACACTACCTACATTACAAGCACGTCCACCCTCCCCGCCATTGAACCCCACCAAATAGTTGCATCTCGACTTTCCTGCTCCCCCAAGGGCAAGCAGAGAAAAGAATACAAAAAGAAATAGGGCGGCATCCGAAAAAAAGCGACAATCATACAACACACAAACCGGCGGAAGAGGACGTCGAAAAATTCTTCTTCAGCCATGGCATTACCCTTACCGCCAGGACTAGTTCCGTCCGAGGTAGCGTTTCTATGCGAAATGGAGTTGGTAACAGTAGTACCGCGTCAGAAGCTCGAGAGCATCAGTCTCCTCTCTGTACGTTTCTCTCTCCTTCTTCTCTCTCGCCCCGACGTGTGCTGTCCGCGGAGTACCGAGGCTGACCGGAATCTCAAGGGCTCGACGCCGACCCTCCGACCTCCCCGACGACAGAACCTGCCCCTCTGGCTGGCCCTCCTCCTCAAGAAGCAGCGACGCGCCAACATCGTGCCCCCGCCGTGGCTGCACCCCGACTCCCTCCGCGAGACGATCCACCACGAGACCAAGGTCGACCCGACGGGGTGGATGCCGCCGCCGGCCCCGCCGACGCGGTCCGACGGGCGCGGTAATGTGCGACGCGTGGACGCGGGGGAGGTCGCCGGCGCGACGCTGTCGCCTCCCTTCCTGCCTTCCTGCACGGCCGACGCACCAGCCCCCTCCCTGCCGTACCACTGGCTCGAGATGGCCGAGACGCTGCTTGCCCACGCGTCAGACGACATCGCCGCCTCCGGCGAGGTGCGCTCCCTGCTGCGCGACCTGCACGAGGTACGCAGCGTCAAGATGAGGGCCATCCCCGCACAGCTCGAGGCTGGGGTGGACGGCGTCATGAGCCTGCGCGGCGTGGGAGCCATGGAGCTTGCCGAGAGCAGGGGTCTCGTCACGGGTGTCTTGGAGGGCGTCAGGAGGATAGGCGCTAGCGCTGAGGTTGCTAGGCGTGAGGAGGAGGAGGAGGAAGAGGAAGAGGGGGGTGAGGGTGGCCGTGGGCGCGATATCAGTGACGACGGCTACGACGATGATGATATGCGTCTGTAGCGCACGGGTCGAAAGCCTTGCACTGCTGAGGGGAGGCGGGCAGATCCAACCCAGCACGCCACGTCGTCGCTCGTTCGATGCTGGCTACCTCGACTCGAGATGCGACGCTCCACGGCACTATCTAGACGGCACGCCCTGGCCACGGCACGCGTCGTCTCGAGTACATTGCTATCGCCTCACATTGCCAAGCACACTCCGTCGGACCGGCGACCATGCCCATATCCAGAACACATGCGGACCAGTCAAGCATGGCTACGACATACTCTTGCAACAAACCTGGTGCAGCCTTTTTTTTATGACCACAATCCTACTGGGAGTCGCCCGCATCCCTCCCTAGCTGGCCATTTACATACCACAGGCATAGTCTTCGGTCCTGGCCGTGATCACCTCGCGGAGCATGACCACCCCTGTGCACACAGAAAGAGACATCCTACGCGGCGTCAAGTGGGCTGCGACCTCCGCACCCGACTACTCTTGTACATACACAGCATACATAGCATATCACGACGTGTTACCCTTCACGCCCACGATGCTTACGACGATGATCCAAGTTGCACTACTTTTTGAGCATATCATTCTATATTATGCCGTCTTTCACCTGTGTATACTATAGAGAGTCATTGAAGAAAAGAAAAGACAAAGCAGTCAAGCAGAAGAAGGAAACATGCGTTGCGCATTATATGGGTATTCTAAACGACAGAGAAGATCTAGTGTCCAATACTAGCGGTATATACAGATGAGTGAAAGACGGGCAAAAAAATTGATCCAGAAGCGCCGATCTAATGACAGCTCGAAAAAGGATAGTAGTAACAGAAGCAGACGGCGATGTGATAACGAAAGACTATGGGCCATGGATGGAAATGAAAGACGCCGGATGGAGAAAAAAAAAGGAAACGGAAGAAAAAAAAAAATCAGGGCCTCCCATCTCTCCCCTGGGCATCTCTCACTGCCGCATCAACAGCCTCGGCGAGGTCGACGTGGAAAAAGGGGCGGTTGACCCCATGGGTGGCAGCCATGCCGGCTTTAGCTCTACCGCTGTTTCTTCTGGGAGAATCGGTCGCCGCGAGGGTCTCGTCATCGCTAGTGGCGGACTCCAGGTCATGCACGCGGCGAGAGTGCTTATGCGCTGACGGAGACGACAGACCGGGGCCTATGATGGAAGCGATAGTGTATGCGGGGTGCCATGCGTCGACGGCCGGGTCGCTGAGAGCAGAGGGGAAGCCAAAGCCGGAAACGGCAAGGGCACGACGCGTCCATCTGTTGTGGACGCTGGCAAAGTGTACCTCCACGGCGTCGGGTGCGCAGTATCGATCTAGAGCGTCGCGGAGGTCCATCAGGCCTTGGACGCATGTGACATCGAGATTGTTGATGGCGGAGCAGTCAAAGACCACGGCGCGCAGATGAGGGAGAATGGTTTGCTCATCCTCAAGAACGTCGATGCCTTTGGTCGGTGTCTTGGGTCCGGGGTCGTTCCACAGCCGGTCAGACTTCTTTTCGAGATACTCATCTGACGTGCGGCGGGTGCGGGCCATGATGTACTGGCTTAGATAGGTCATGTGCATCGCCTGGTTGAGGTAATTGAAGCCTTCGCTGAAGCGGTAGATGAAGACACCGGGGTAGGGAGTTTGGACGTCGATATCTGGATTGGACCTGTCACGTCGGTCGATGGGCATATAGATGACGCGGCTAGAGGGCTTGCGGACATCTTCCAGGTTCTGGTCATAGCTATGGCCTTCAGAATGCTGCGACGATGGCTGCTGCTGGTGCTTCTCGTTCCCCTCTTCCGTCACGCGGTGGACACGTACGCGGCCCATGAACTGGCCTTTGGTCCTGGCGAGGCGGACCAGGAGTACGGCAAAGGACAGGGCGATCCCGACGTAGATTGCTGTCTCGAGGGACTCAAATACGGCGAGGAGGACGCCGGTAATCCATATGAGCAAGTCCAGGGGCGACAGCTGCCAGTACCGGTACAGGTTCTTGGGAGGGGCCAGGAGATTGCACACGGCGTGGATGATGAGACCTGCCAGGGCAGCCTTAGGGATGTACTGAAAGACGACGGTGAGGACGTACAGAGCGAGGATAAGGATGCCGGCACTCAGGAAGCTGGCCAGCGGGGTTCTGACTCCCGCCTTGGATAGGACGGCCGAGGCTCCAAAGGAGCCCGTGCACACGTAGCCGCCGACGAAAGGGCTGAAGAGGTTGGCCGAACCGAGGGCAACAATCTCCTGCGATGGATCGACGGCGTAGCTGTGCAGGCGACCCATGGACTTGGATATGGCAATGTGCTCGATGATGAGGATGATGCAGATTGCCGGCAGCTCGGGGAGGACCAACGAGACGAGGTTCCTGTCCAGCTTGGGCACGCCGGCCTGCTGGAACCCCGTCTCGATGTGGCCCACGACACGGAAGGGCGACTGGTCTATACCGTGGGGACGGTTGACCAGGAAGCTGACGAGTATGAAGAGGAGCATCACAAAGGTCATGCGCATGGACGCCAGGAGCGACCACATCCTCTTGCGGGCGGGCTGGCGCCTCTCCATCATGGCGCACAGGTCGCGCAGGCCGAAGAGCAGGGCTATCGACGACAGGCCGATGGCGGCATCCATGCGGGAGTTGGGGAGTCCCTTGAGAGTGTTGATCATGACCTTGTAGGGTGCCTCGCGCGTGTTGATGTCCGGGATACCCATGACCGTGGGGATCTGGGTGCACATGATGGTGATGCTGGCAGCCGTGACGAAAGCCGAGATTGGTATGTAGGGGATGAACTCAATGATCCACCCCAGACGGAGCAGGCCGAAGAAGAGCATGACACATCCCGACAGGAGGCTCAGGGTGTGGGCTATTTCACGGTTGGTGTACTTGCCGGGCTCGTGCTCTTGGACCCGGCCGATAACCTGACCGACGAGTAGGGAACCAACAGCGGTAGCCTTTTCCGTCCATTTCAGCTTTCTTTCTCCTCTTCCTTCTTCTTTCTTCTAAAAGGGTAAACTTACACCAATGACAATATCCTTGGACGTACCAAACAGCCAGTACAGCGCAGCACCGGTAAACGAGGTATACAAGCCGTATGCGGGCGGCAGCTGAGCGAGGGCGGCGTAAGCCATGGCCTGAGGCACTATTACTAGGCCGATGGTGATGCCGGCGATGGAGTCACCCAGCAGCCACCGCATACAGTAACGCCCTATCCACGACGTGGCAGGAAACAGGCTCTGAACGTATCGCATGGCCCCCTGGCGGGTGGGCACAAACTCCCGAAGGAACTCGGCTACACTGGGCTCCTCCTCGAAAAAGACGTCTGCCGGGTCGAGAAGGTCGTAGGCCCTCCTGTCCAGGTCGGCTGGTTGTCTGGCATACCGCTCGTCGACGTCGATACCCAGGATCCGTCGGGTGATGAAGTCGCCGACGGCCCGGGCTCGGTTCTCGCTAGGAGTCATGGTTGGATGAAGAAGAGGTCATCCACGAGGGAGATGAGGAGAAGGAAACGACGAATGTTGCTTCTCGATCTGCGTGTATATGGCCAATGGAGTCACGGTGAAAGAAGGAAAGAGCAGAGAGAGATAAGAGTCACAAGATGGGAGCTCGCAGAAGGAGGAGGAAAGTTGAAGAGGAACACGGATAGGAGTGGAACAAGGTAGTTAATACATAGGGGCCCCTGGTCGTGGTTACGTATAGCACGAGTCTCTACCGTCTCCCAAACATCAGTAAGAGGAAGAGGCAGGGGGAGAAAAGGAAAGGAACAATTTTTGTGCCCGAGACACTCTCTTGACTTGAGAAAGGGGGGGGGCAGCCGACGGGAGCGAGGCTATCGGCAGGCGAGGCTATCGGCAGGCGAGCTCGGTGTCCAAAAAAACAACAACGACAAGGTCTTGGAAGGGCATTCACAACCGTAGAACCCACCCGCCGGTATGGATTTACGGGGTGAAAATTAGATCTACACATGAAGCAGATGATATGATTCAAAGATGAATGGTACTGCCACCTGTAACGTACTCACACTCCATCTCAAGTATCATGATGTATTCTTCTTCTATCCCATCAGGGGCATATGGTCGTGGTCATCTCCCAGCAGCATGGCTCCTTCCCACTCGATTGCCCCCTGCTCCTTCCGCCCCTCCCCCGGGAATCGGGCAGGGGCAGCCGGACGTACCTTCCAGCTATACATTGGCGGCTAGATAGGTAGGCTATTGCTACTTACATAACCTGTACGGTCCTAGTCGCATCGTGGCTAATCTCATGCCGGCATTTGTTTCTCCGTCATGGCCATTGGCCATTGAAGTCCTTGAAGTCCAAGTAGACAGACAGGTCCGAGTGGTTGCCGGATGTCGTCGGCCATCGGCCAAGCCACACCGGGGCTTTACCTACCTGTCAGATAAGAGAGATCTCTTCTCCTACCCCTCACCCTCTAAGCTCGGTCCCTCGTATAGAAACTCCACCCCGATATTCCGGCGGCTTGGCGGACAGAGAAATTCAGGTTATTTAACCGATCCACCGGTCCACCGGCCCCTAGCCAAAAGTTCCCGTTTTTGCCTACGGAGTCACACGGAGGACTGTTACTATGATGAAAAGTGCCGACCGATCATCAAAGGTATTAATACTCCGTACTGCATATAACATTGCAAGTACTCATTCTGGCTGCATACCTTGTAAAAATCTACGACAGAGTAGTAAGGGCACCCAACCATGACGCGTACTTTGCGGCGATCGGAAGCGCCCATCATAAGCCAAAGCAACACAAGTCTTCATGATGATTCAAATGGCCAAAACATCAGTCATGCTCGGGACAACCTGAACCCCAAGCATCCTATAAATTGATTCGCTCTTGACACCCCACCGTTCCCTGGCATGCGCTCATTCTATAATATTCTTTTCGACTTCTCTGTCTCGCCCGGATGCCGCTACGACCGCATTTCAATTCCATCCCCCCCGGCTCATCGATGCCCAGTGCTCGCTGTTCATCAGATACTCCGTAATGCTCCGTATTTCTAAACCTCATTCAACCATCCCGATGGCTTCCTCGGCTGGCAGGCCAGGGAAAAAGCACCACTTTCGAACGCCAGTGTGGACGCATATGCAGCAGAGTCTGCGTTAGAGCAGCACAAGTATCACAACCAGGGCAGCAAAGCACTTGACCAACAAGCCTTGCGTCCCTGCTGACGGCTCGCTTCAGCGGCAGCCCCAATCCTTGGTTCATTTCGTATCACAGCTCCGATTGTGACACGTACGAGGTGTCGACACACCGTCTCACTACTACATCGGTCTGAGACAGGTGTCGGTAGCCAGTATGTGTATGTACGATCGACGGGCGTTGAAGGCCAGCAACAGGGCGGATGTACATTTCGTCTCCCATGGTTTGTCTTGCACACGAGGTATCAGTGCCAATGGTCGTGAATCATTTACCCTCTGAGAATGCAGGTCGTGAACTATATGAAGAAGAGAGAGAGAAACAAGGCGGTAGGAAACCCTCCCTCTCTTCCCTATAATATCCCAGTAACGTCATTCTTCTTTTATCCTGTTCTCATCTATCAGGCATGTCCCTTCTTCCTCTGTAGCAGACAGTGCCGACCCCACTTGCGCCTGAATTTTTCTGGCACAATGCTCAGATCGGGCACCCACAGCGTCCGCGCGAGGAGGTGCGTCTCGGCCGCGTCGAGGAACGGCTCGCAGTGCACCACGTCCCAGTTCTCCTGGTCTGAGATGTAGTCGGGCTCGTTGGGCGGCAAGGGGTCTGTCCGCGAGGGGTACTGCGTGTCCACGAGAAACGAACAGGTTCGCACGTCCACGTACTTGCTCGCGTCCTCCTCGTTGCGGTCGTTGAAGCCGCTCGTCGGGAGCCATGTGCCGCTCCAGAACCCGAAGCCTGTGCGCGCCTCCGAAAACTCGCCGGGCAGGAGGCCTCGGAACTCGGACCGCACAAACTTGGCGTGCATGTCCCGCGGCAGAAAGTACGACGACGGGAAGCGGTACCATTCTTTTCCAAAGCAGACCAGGTCGCCTTCGCGGCCGACGGGTTCCTGCCCATCAGTGGTGGCCGTCCACAAGGGCTCGTAAACGGCCAGAGGAGCACCGTACGCCGAGTATATGCCGTAGATGCGGGCCAGGCCAACCAGGGCGGACAGACCGAGAACCGACCCCACGCTGAGGAGCTTGAGGCGGGTGGGGATTTTGCCGGCGAGACTCTTGGGGTCCGTGTTCCCCAGAGCCGTCAGGATGATGTGCAGGGACAGCGACGCGTTCAGGGCTAGGAACGGGTACGCCGGGTACATGAAGCGCTCCTCCTTGTGGGGTTGGGCCGTGAAGATGGCCAGCCACATGTAAAAGGGTGCGACAAACACGACAGTACGCAGCCCAGACTTGAACCCCTGGCTCGAGGGGGCCAGCAGCTTCTGCAGAAGAAAAAGCGGCAGGGAGAGGAGGGCTAGGATGAACCAGATGTTGAAGTTGAGCATCAGATTTTTGAAGTAGAAGTGCCACGGCTCGACACCGTACAGCTCGGGGCCTCCGTTGGACGAGAAGATGTTGTATATAACAATGTTCAAGGCAGCACTAACGGGCTTCTTGTAGAAGAAGAGGTTGATGCAAAAGTCAAAGAACTGCAGCCGTGTCAGCCGATCCCACCTCTTCTGTCCCCTTGACACCAAGCCTACTCACCACAACAAGCAAGCCAGCAACCACACCCTGGGTCAGGCGAAGGAAGGACTCGTACATGGCTGTCTTGTCGCCAAAGAAAAAGAGGACAGCCTCCTCCAGGACAAAGGGCGTGCAGAGAGCCGCGGCAAAGGGCCATCCGAGAACACCAGCCACGGCAAACCAGAAGATGCCGTAGGCCGTCTTGAGTCCGCCGCGCCAGTTCATAAAGGCAGCCGCACCCAGCATGCACATGGGCATGGCGAAGCTGGAGGGGAGGAAGGCGGTGCTAGCGTGGAAGTTGCCGGGGCTGGTGACGGTGGCGATGAGGAAGAAGAAGCCTATGCGGCTGTTGATGGTGGTGCTCATGGACAGGTACATGAGGGTTTGGCAGAGGGCGCAGACAAGGGCGAGGCAGTACCGAACAAAGTAGAACTCGTTAACCTTGTTCGACTGCGGCAGGAGACGCCTGAAGTTCCCCGCGAGGGCGTGCAGGCCCACGTACGCCCAGCTGCGGATGGCATAGTCAGGCGAGTACTCCCACGTCTGCAGTCCATACCCGTGCGATAGGTAGTGCGTGGGCTCCCAGTAGTTGAATGTTTCGTCGCAGTCCTGGATGGGCGCAAACACGGCCGAGACGAGGTTGGCTGCGAGGAAGCTGTAAAAGGCTCGGATGGGTTCGACGGCATACGGACTCGGAAGTCTGGGTTCGCAGTCAATATCCGGGTTCAACGGGCGAAGGAGGGAGAGGGGGGGGGGGGGGGGTAATCAATCACTTCTTCTTGGCGTGGCCTGCGCTCGGGTGCGCAAACTGCCTCTGCTCCGTTGACGAGGGTTCGGGCGGCATGGCGGTGGCAGTGACGGCTGGCCTATTTCGGGGGAAGGAGGGACCGGAACAGCTCCTATCATGCACCGATTGAAGTCGGAGGAGGATGAGGGGGGAGAAAGGTGAAGAAGCTCAAGCTGCCCTAACGAGAGTCCCATCTTTGTGTTGAACTGTTGGGGAGAGGGCGTCATTACGTGGGGGATCAGCTGCAGGTGTCCGCATGGGCAATTGGTGAGAGCTTCGTAGCGTCCACACAGCGCTGTAGAGACTGAATTGACAGTGAGACAGGCGCTGCCGGTGAGTCTGCCTTCCACTATGGTTCTATGTGTGGTAGCCTTGTACGCTGAGCGGCGGTGGGTCCATCCCATCAATCTCATTCTATTCGTCAAGGGCGGGGGGCACTGATGCAAGTGGCTCTCTATCGACTTTAATTTTTGGTTAGTCTTTTTTTTTTTTTTTTTTTTTTTTTTTTCAATCAAGGGTCCTTTCAACCTTTTCTCAGACTATATATATATACCAATATCCTTTTTTTTTCCATCTTGTCATTGATTTTCGTCTTTATCTCTATAATTTTCAAGAAATAAGAGATACTAAAACATCTACAATACCCATCTTTGCGCCCCCCCCCCCCCTAGCCGTCATGTCCGGCTTCCAGATCCCTGGCTTGGGTAATGCCAAACCAGGTGAGAAGCTGCCGCCTCTCCCCGCCGACCACACCGTGACCGCGGCCACGGTCACGACCTCAGCGAACCACTCAGAAGATGTACAAGTCAAAGACGCACCGGCAGCAGCCGACCAGTCGAAGCCCCAAGAGGCAAAACCCGAGACTACGACCGCCCACGACCAGCAGCAGCAAGATCCCGATGCCGATTCCATGGCCGTGGATCAACCAGCAAGCCCGCCCTCGTTGACGGATGCCCTAGAAGCCGCGCTCGGTGGTATCCCTGGGGAGGATGCCGAGGTGGCACTAGCACAGGCTCAGAGCCAGCTGCTGCAGGCACAACCGCAGGTGCAGCAGGAGGGGGGAGAAGGGGCCGAGGACGACCATCCGGAGTGGGAGGTCGACTCGTCACCGTACGTGTCGTCATCGGAGTCGTCGGAGTCGTCTGATTCCTCGTCCGACGAGGACTCTGATGCTGAGGGCTACGAGCTCTTGGGGGTCCAGGAGACTGCACGCATGCTCATGGAGGCTGAGGGTGGGTCGGACGATGAAGGTGACAGGGGAGGCCGACCCGAGGCCGGTGCTGCGCACCTGCGCACCAAAAACGAGCAGCCCGATGAGCCCATACCTCGGCCGGACGTGACCATCACACCGGAGATGAAGGTCGAGGAGCTGGGCGTCATCGAGCACATTGTCGAGGACATGGTGCTGATCAAGGCCTTCACGCCGGGCGAGTACCAGGTGCTCGACTCCGGGTCGGTCCTGTGCAACGCGGACCGCGTCGTCATCGGTGCCGTGGCTGAGACCATCGGCAAAGTCGTCCAGCCCATGTACACGGTTCGGTTCAGCTCAGCTGACGAGGTGGTCCAGCTCGGGCTCGAGGTGGGCTCGAAGATCTCGTACCCCGTCGATCACGCCAACTTCGTCTTCACCGAGCCCCTCAAGAACCTCAAGGGCTCCGACGCCAGCAACCTCCACGACGAGGAGGTGGGCGATGACGAGATGGAGTTCTCCGACGACGAGAAGGAGGCTGAGTACAAGCGCGCAGCTAAGGAGAAGAGGAAGAAGAAGGCCGCCGCCGCCCGTGGCGGAGCCGCAGCTACCACCGCCGGAAACGCTAGTCAGAAAGGCCCTCATCCCCTTAGACGGGAGATGAGTCCCTCGGGCGAGCTGAACTACGACGATGACGGCCCTTACCGGCCGCTCACCCGACCTCCCGGCTTTGGAGACGGCCCCGTATCCCAAGAGACGTACGATCCTCACCCACGCGGCCACCGCGGTGGTCGTGGAGGACGTGGTGACTCGAGAGGTGGTCGCGGCGGACGACGAGGTCGTGGCGGTGGTAACAGCAACGGCATCAACAGAGGTGGCAGGCAAGACGGCTACTCTCTGCCCCCCGCAGGCGCACCACCACCACCACCATCATCATCATCATCATCGCAATATCAGCCGCACCAGCAGCACCCTCCCCAGCAGAATACCCCCGCTGTCCCGCCGCCGCCGCCCGGATGGCAGCCAGGTGGGGCACCCGCCATGCCCAACTTTGGCATCAACGTTCCCGGATGGCCACAGCAGGGTGCCGTCGCTCCACCTCCCCCTCCTCCTGGCTGGCCTGGTTCCGTACAGGGTCAGGTTCAAGCCCAGGGTCAAGCCCAGGGCCAAAATGTATTCGTGAACCCAGCTCTGCTGGCGGCTTTGATGAGCCACATGCAACAGCAGCAGCAGCACCAGGGTCAGCAGCCACAATGGCCGCCGGGAGGACAGGGTCAGTAAACAAAACAAAGAATAGAGGCATGACGGATTCACATGCATAGACTTTTTCGCTGTCATTTATGTATCACGGCAATAGAGGTGCTGATGGCAACATATGAAATGATACCCGCACACTTGATAGCCACTCTGTTGTTGTCGTTGCTGTTGTTGTTGTTTTTGTTGTTGTTGGTTTATTGATATATCTATCTCTAGCTCGGAAGATGAGATCAAACTTTCGGGATTCGACCTACTCTAAGGCTAAAAATAACATCATGATGGAAACAGCAGGTAAGATGTAAATCAAAATCGAAGCCACGAAGAAATCAGGAAGAAAAGGAAGAAACAAAAGGCTTGGGCTGTATCTTTGATATGTAAGGGTCTGGTAGACGAAGGGGGAGAAAAACTCTCTCAGAGATTCTCTACAGCTCGCTGGCCTCCTGGGCTTTGGACTCTCCGTAAAAGTCGTAGTGGGCAAGCTCATAGACAAGACCGAGGGTCATGCGAGCGTGCTGCAGCATGTGGTCAAAGGAGAGGTACTCGATCTTGTCGTCGGTGGAGTGGATGTTGGGGTCCGAGTTCTCAAAGGACGACTCGATGACAAACGCCGAGGGGTAGCCGGCCTTGGAGGCAGAGGCGTGGTCGGAGCAGGCATAGCCGCACTTGGTCTCGACCCAGGGGATCGAGCAGTACTCCTCGATGACCTTCTTGATGAAGGCGGTGAGTCCAGCGTCGACGAAGTCCATGATGACGCCGACGCTCTCGGGCAGGTTGGCCTCGAGCGTCTTCCTGATGTAGCCCGTCATGTCCTGCTGAAGCATGGCCTTGACGTCGCGGCCGTCCTCCTCGTACTGCTGGAAGATGGCACGGCTGCCCAGCAGGCCGCCCTCCTCAGCGCTGTACCAGTGGAACTCGATGGTGTTGGTAGCCTTGCCGGCGATGATGTCCTCGGATGTCAGCAGGGCGGCAAAGGCCTCCATGATGGTGACGGTGCCGCTACCGTCGTCGTCTGCGCCGGGCGCAGCCAGAACCGACGGGAACCACAGGTTGATGGAGTCCTGGTGGGCGCCGATGACGACGGTCGTGTTCGTCTGGCCGGGTATCGTAGCAATGACGGAGTGCTGCTGCCACGTGTGAGGGAAGCTCTCGGCCTTGACCGTGTCCGACGCTCCCGCATCGGCGATGATGGACCGCACCTTCTCCAGCACCCAGTCAGACGACTGCAGGCCGTACTCGGACTTGTAGTAGCGCGTGTGGAAGCTGGTCAGCTTCTCGAGGTGGGCCTGCATAGTCTTCTTATCGAGGTGCTCGGCCAGCGAGTTGACATCCTTCTGATGAGCGCACGACTTGGGAAACGTCACGGCTGAGCTGGCGGCGACGTGCTTAGTACCCAGCGACTCGGTGCCGGTGATGTCCATGAAGTTTTGGCCGTTCTGAACCCAAAATCAGTACACGCGATGGTCATTCATGCCCAATACGGGGACATGGCATGCTATGGGTATCAATCAAACGTACCCGGCGCATCTCCCACTTCTCATCTTCCGTCACACGCCGCACGTCGCCGGGAGCCAGCTCGACGAGGTACGTCTCCTCGATGGGGAAGAGCTCGACATGGTCAGCCTCTGTAGGCTGAATGAAGCGAGCGGCGGCGGCGTGGAGACCTGCGGCTAGAAGTGATGCACGTGACAGCTTCATGATGGGTAATGCTATGGATGGTTATGATAAAGCTCTCGTCTGTCTATTGATCGAAAGGATGATGGGTTGGATGGGCTGGATTGGATGGGCTGGATTGGATGGAGGGTCGGATGCGATGACGCATAGGATAGGCGAGAGCGTACACGCTAAGATAAGATAGCCGTACCGGCCACACCGGAAAAACATGATCGGCCGAGCGAGTCAGCTGAGTCAGAAGATACGGTAAGACCAGCCAGATAAGGAAAAATTGGAGACGTCCACGGAGCACGGAGTATTATTCCCTACGGAGTGGAACAAAGGCAAATGAGAGTTAACGGCGTGCGGAAAGGCGGATACTGCGGGAAGAGCGGACTAGAGACCCGACTGCTACGATCCCTGATACACGCGATCGTATGTTGGCACCCGGCCTCGGCCGATAGTGTTACGCTTTAATGGCGTGACTCCTTCCGAATAATCTGGACATTTTCGTTCTGTCGGTCAGGCACGGAAAGGATAATAAGGGGGAAAGATTTTTTCCATTGCCTTTCAATTCCAGAACGGTATATATATAACACCATGATTCTCCTTGTATTGATTCCATCTTCTTGCTCCGGCACTTGAAATATTCGAGAACACCACAAACATAGTATCTAATACCGCTAGTCCATATTGGGCATACATTCGGCGTCAACGACTTCTCTTACACACACTTCAACTCAACAGTTCACTTTTCCTCGTTGAATTCATCGAAACGAAACAAAGGAGAAGACGGCAATTGAATCGACTGATCCCGTCTAATACCACTCCGACCTCATCTCTTACAAAAGTGGTTCGCCATACCCAGAGGCTTCCCCCACCACCACCACCAATAAACCACCTGCACCCACAGCATGCTGTCATCCGACTACCACGGAGCGCCGTTAACGGCTCTACCAACAGAGGTAGGCACCAATTCCAACCGCCCAGTATATCCCTACGCTTCATCTTTCAACTAACCTGTCTTGTCCTCTCCTTCAGGTCCTCACGAGTCTACTAGAACCTTTGTCTACAGCTGATCTCCTCCCACTAGCCAGTGTAAATCACTGGTTCCATGACATCGTCTCCGGCATCATCCACCGCCGTCTCCTCTCTGTGGCATCACTCCCGCACAATGACCTGATCCTCGAGTGCTACCACCCAGCCGCCAAGACGTCCACGCCCTACCTGTCGTGTCGATACCAGGACACCAAGAAACAGTGCCCGGGGGGCGACCTCTGCACCGGCGCCTGCGACAACGATCCCACGCTGCACGACCTGAGGGGACTGTACTCGTCATTCCGCCCCGTCCTGGACGAGCGACAACGGCAGATTCTGCAGCTGCGCAAGCAGCGGCAGCAGTGGCAGCAGCAGCGCCGGGAGAGCGTCAACTCGTCTGCCCCCCAGGGCGACGTGGCTGACACGGCCTGCCAGGATATCTTCCTCGACGACGGCCAGCTGTTCTCCCAGCTCTGCGCCGTGACCAATGTCGTCAAGGCCGGCCCCCGACCGGGCCTCTTCAAGAGCCACATCAATGTCGGCGAGGGGGTCCTGCGCGTGTGGAGAAACTGGCTCGACGACATGGCCGTCTCCGACAAGGCGGCCCAGACCGGCGCCAGCAGCAACCAGATCCTCTGGGTCGATGCCGATCAGACCGTTGGTGTGCGCTTCCGCGTCACCCCCGGTGAGGTCGAGACCCCGCCATTCAGGACCAGATCTGCCGACTGTCCACCTGCATCTTATAAGCTTGAGTACCAAGGTATGTGTCTATCTCCTTTCCCAAAAAAAAAAAAAAAAAAAAAAAAAAAAAAAAAAAAAAACTAACAATTATGCAGAGGTCCTCGTCCGCACAGAAAACCTCTTGATGGCTGTTGAGCAGTCTGAAGTACAAGAAGATTCGATGGCCAATACGGCCGTCGTCATCATGTCTTGTTAAAAAAAATAATGTGTGAAACAACGGCGTTTTGCTACACCTTTCTGTTACATCTTCTTTTCTGCAACATTTGGAGTATTCCCCTCGGCTGGCAAACCCCCTCAACGTTTAATAGGTGTTTTCTCTACTTTTCTTCTTCACATGCTCAGAGGGCGGAGGGATATGGAATTTTCGGCGCGGGTAACATTTTGCATACCCAAGATCAACCAGCATTATAGACAGGGGAACGATAAAAGGGGGAGGATTTACTGTAAAGGAATAATTACTGAATAAACAACACTGAATAAATCAAACATACAAAAGATGTCTATATAGAGAGAGGAGAAGAATAAGAATTCAGAGACTGGTTGATCTCTTGCTCGGCTGGCCCGCCAGCTCCCTCATTTCCACATCACTCACCAGCGACGAGGCCGACTCCTCATCAGTCTCATACAGGGAAGGCCGGTTGTGGTGCGAGCTGATGACAGCTCCCTCGGCGCCGCTCGGCGCAGGCCCCACCACCCCCTCGACAGCGGGTCCGTCATCGTGATGCATGTGGCGACCGTCCCCCTGGAGCCCGCGCCTCTGCCGGACCCACCTTCTTATGGTCCTGCTGCTGGTGACGAAGAAGATGACGGCGTTCCAGAGCCCCTGCAGCGGCAGCACAGCCGCCGTAGCGACGTGGTACTCAAAGGGCGACACGCCCGTCAGCCAGCTGTGGATCCGGTTCATACTACTCGGGATCCACGTCACCAGGACGCTTAGCGTGAAGAGGAAGCTCGTGCGCAGGTACGCGCTCTTGATCGGGTCCGCCACGAGGAACCTGTCCACCAGGGAACGCTTCGTGCGCGAGAGCCGGCCCGGGTTGGCGCCCCCGACCCCCTCGGCGCCCTCGGACGTTGCCGCCGACATGCTCCCGCCGGACGGCTGTGTTTTACTTCCGAGTATCCACCTGCCCCAGCCGGCGCGGCAGCCACCCGGCACCACCACTCCGTCCTGCTGCCCGTGCTGCTGATCCTCCGAAACATCTCCCCCTCCTCCCATCTGGTCCCCGGAAAGCTCGGACGTGACGACCGCCGAGAAGCAAGGGGCCCGTGCTGCCATCACCGGCGTCTCGCGGCCTGGCGCACCGGCGTCAAAGGATAGGGTGGGCATGTGAGCCCTCCCAGGATAGGCGGGTGACGATGGCGAAGCCGTACGAGGTTGTGAGACGCCCAGGACAGAGTGGGTGACCTGCACTTCCGTGACGACGGTGCCGTAGAAGCCACCCTGGGGCACACGTGGTAGTCGAAAGTGAGGTGATTGCTGGTGACGGAGCATGTTAGCAAGGCTTGCCTAGACGACAAAACAAAACAAAAAGGGGGTTCGGAGGACGACTCACATCATCCGGCTGACTGGTGACTGTAGTCGTCGTCGTAGCCGTGGTATCAGGGCTCGTGTAGGGGGCAGTGAAGCTTTGTATAATGTTCCGAGACCGAAAGACGTGGTATCCCACCAGGAAGTAGAGTATGATGGATCCGAGGATACAGATCCAGATCAGCATGTAGTATGAGTAGATGCGAATATCGTCCCATCCACTGTCTACCCAGCACCAGATCTTTTGGCAAGCAACGTCAGCCTTACGTATATCTCACAAGGGAGAGGGAGGGAGGGAGAGAGAGAGAGAGAGAGAGAGAAGGGGAGAAACGTACCTCGGCTTCTCCGTACACAAGTCCCCTCGAGTGATGTCGGATGAGCAGCAGTGCCAGCGCAATGACAAATGGTCCGCCATAGCAGATGCAGCAGTATAGCCACCACCATTTTTGGAACGACTCAGGGGAGGCGCGGAAGTAAAAGACGAGGAAGACGTTGGCGGCCATGGCCAGGGACCACCAGGGGTCAGATTGCATGAACCTGCGATGTGTTTTCGATGCGTCAGCATCCTCTATCGTCACGGTTCCGACATGCTGCATTCCCTCTGTCGAGACCAAGACCAAGAGAGGAAGAAATACAAGGAGGGCACACCGGAACTCGCAAGGAGGGCCGTCACGTACAAGAGGGGGGTATGGGAGTAAAAGAAAGGGCCAAGGAAAACAAACTGACATCTCGAATAGAAAACCCTGGACCTGGCAGAGGCCCGAATCATCCCCCTTTACCAGTCCATCCCTGGCAATGATGCTCGCGGCACTAGCCCCAACATTGGCCACGCTGGCAAACACGATGAAGGTATTCTGCACATTTCGAACCTCGGGGATGGTCCAGTAGGCCACAAAGATGCAAAAGACTGCGATGAGACTGGTACTTCCTCCTGTACGTTCGAGAGCGACGATGGCCAAGATCTGGTCCTTGGTCAACTGGTCGACATCCGCCATTTTTCTTTTTCTCTCTTTTACTCCCTCTGTCCTATATCTCTCTTTGCTGCCTCTTCCCTCTCTTCCCTTGCGAATCTCTCTCCAAAGTCGATATATATATATGATCGACAACTTTGACCGGTCAAAAGGGTAGGTAATCCAGGAGGACAGTCAAGTCGGACCATGATGGAATGAATAGTCGAGAATAATAATGAAAGAAGAGGACAGAATGACGATGATAAAAAGAAAGACTAAGGAAAGAGGACAAGACGTGAATGGGATTGTTCATATCTTCCAAACAGAGAGAGAAAAAAACGAGGATGGACTCACAGACCGTCTTTCCCCCCTACTTCATCAATATGTCGTGCAATGTTTCCACGGGACGCTGCCGCCAACGAAACGACGACAGCAGTTCACACAGTTCCTCACTTCCCTCTTATGATCCCATAACCCCATGACGGGCGTGGTAGTCCGTGTCGTGGCGGTAACTTACCCCTCTTTCACTTCCTATTCTGACCTACTCTTCTCTACTCCTACTACCAGGGCAGTATACCATTCGTTCGACTACTACCAGGCAGTAATATACAAACCCTTGACTAGACTCGTATACTCGTGATCGTACATCCCTCCGTGTTACGCGGCCTGTCCTGCGAGAAACCGAACGTTGAGTGGCGTTTGAATAGGAACACGACACCGCCTCTACCCCTTTTTATTATAATTTCATTTCCATGTTTCTCTCTCTCTCTCTCTCTCTCCCTGTTAAGCTCATGGTCAGGTAAGATCATCACCCGCCGCTTCCCGGACGATCCCCTCCAAGATCTCCTCATCCCTGTCACCCACACATACACATATAACATATATAACATATACACGAGCCACACATCCTACCAAATGACACTAAATTGTTAGTCGTTTCGACAACATGATGAATACATAATTGTTGGCTGTCCTTTTAGAAAAAAAAGGCCGCAAGGATAGATGGATGGTGGAATGGATGGTGGAAGAGAAGAAGAGGGAGGGGGCAATTCTTTGTCCATTTCTGCTTCTCCGCACAAAACATGGTCAAATTAGTGCGAGCATGGTCCAGGCAAACACTTGCATTCTTGGCAGTTGGTAATGGTTTAGTAGTTGGTTGTTGGGTCGTGCAAAACCCACCGATCTAGTCATGCCCCCCCCCCCCCCCGTCATATCTTTTCTTCTTTGATCTTTCTCACTCTTCCCTTTACTTTCCCATAGGGTAACTCGAATGCAGTCTGTAGGGAGGAGCAATACTCATTCCTTGTCTCTCTTCTCTCTCTCTCTCTCTCTCTCTCTCTCTCTCTGATTGTGAAGCAGTTTGAGGAGGAGCAAACATTTGAAAGTACATGCACATGTGGAAGAGTTGCTATCTATACCTGTCCGTATAATACAACCGTTTGTCTATCTTGCCGTGTTTCATCCGTGATTCGCAAAACTTCACCAGGGCCAACTTACGTTGAATCACACAAAGGGTCGATTACTCCGATCTTCTTTTTTTCTTTCCAGCTAAAAGCTATGAGCGATGCGCATTCCTCAACCGGATCATATCCTCCCATCAGAGCTAAACTGTAGACCCGATAAACCCCGACAAGACACAGAGGGAAAACGGGAATAGAGAGGTGAGAAGAGGTAGGTCGATATACCACGCGTACACATCACTCTTCCTCTCCCAGGCTCTTCAGATGGTGTAGATGAAGTCCGGACGGCCATCGCCCATGGCCTGAATCTCACGCGCCGTCTTCCCGGCGACGAGGTGGTCCCTCCTCCCCTCGCGGCGGGCCTTGTTCTCCCTGGACAGGAAGAAGGCGTAGAGGATGCTGCCGAGGAACATGGAGACGAAGAGGTAGGCGATGATGACGCCGTGGCCCTCGTAGAAGCGCGGGGCGTTGAAGTAGATGTTGCTGCTGACGACGCCGTTCATGTTGCCCCATCCGATGACGGCGCCCAGGACGATGCCCCTCTTGTAGACGCCCTCGACGTTGTTGGCCACCCAGGCGATGGTCAGGGAGATGGCCGGATAGATGCCGGCGGCGCCGAGGAAGACACCCGCGTACTGCACGCCGGCCTTGTCGGTGGCGATGAGCATGATGAAGCCGGTCAGGGCGATGGGCGCGCAGCAGATGTTGAAGATGGCGCGCCTGCCGGACCGGTCGGACCAGAAGCCCACCACCACCGTGACGATGGCGGCCAGCGCGTAGGGCGGCACGCTGAGGAGCTGGTTCCGGACGACGGCGTCGGCCGTGGTGAAGGACATGTTCTGGATGATGGTCGGCAGGAACAGGCTGAAGGAGTACAGGGGCATCAGCGACCCCATGTAGATGAGCATGCCGGCGTACGTCTTCCAGTCCTTGACGGCGGCCCACACGTGGCCCATCTCGAACTCCTCGTGCTCCGCCGAGCTCTGCTGATCCTGCTTCAGGCGCCACAGCACGCGCGCCCGGTCCTCTTCGCTCAGAAACCTGGCCTCGTCCGGGAAGTCGTGCACCATCCAGAAGGAGGCGCCGCCGATGAGGACCGTCACCAGGCCCTCGAGCACGAAGATCCACTGCCACCCCGCCAGCCCGCTGACGCCGTGCATGTTCTGGATCGCCGCCGCGAGCAGCCCGCCGAAGGATCCGGCGAGCGCCGCGGCCGAGAAGAAGATGGCTGCGCGCACGCCGAACTCGTTCCGCCGGTACCAGCACGAGAGGTAGTAGTTGACCCCGGGGAACAGTCCCGCCTCGGTCACGCCAAGGAACCAACGGCCTGCCATCAGACCCGACCAGTTGTGTACGAAGCCCATGCCCACCATGCAGGCACCCCACAGGATCCTGTAAATGAGACGGGTCAGAGCCGTCCGTCTTCCTCTCCCTCGGTCCTCCTCCACCGTGCACTCCTTGCCCTCTTTTATTCTTAAATTTTTTTTTTAAAAAAAAATTTCGATTGTGACTCACATGATGATGGGTATAAAGATGGACGGCTTCGTCTTCTTGAGCAGGACGTTGGCCAGGGCCTCGAAGATGGCGTAGCCGACAAAGAAGATTGTCAGGGTGGCATTGTACTCGTGCGTTGTCATGGGCACGTCATCGGTGAGATGGGCGACCTTGGCATTTCCGATGTTTGACCGGTCAAGGAAGCAGAGGAGGTACAGGAGGGAGAGCTGGAAGTGAGTTTTGGAGTCATCAGTCATGTAGCCGTCAAGGGACAGTGACTGGAGGGAGGAGGAGGAGCATATACCCATGGGATGAGGCGCAGGTCAAGTTTCCAGAGAAGCTTGCGCTCCTACACATCGAGAGGACATCAGCATCTTCTTCAGCTTTCTTTCTAGCCTGTGCGTCCACAGGGTGAAGGGCGAAGCGTACAATCTCTGCCCTTTCCTCCGGCGTCTTGCCGGCATCAGGGTCAGCCAGTTCCTGCACGTGGGAAACCTCTGGGTTGGAGGAAGTATCCTGGTACGAATTCTTCTCAGGGTCGCTCATGTTGGGTTGGTTGTCTGCAACGAAGAGGGCGATGTGTCGTCTGCTCGGTTGGTGGCGATGCGTGCGTGCGCAGAACGACTTGGTTGGGCGAGGAATGCAGAAGGCGGGGGGGGGAGGAAAATGCCAGGATCTTTTGCAGAGAAACTGATAAGTCTTTGGAGAAGCAAGAAGCCGACGAGCCGACAATGTACACGCTCGAGCCACTAGCAGAGGGACACACGGACCTCGTTTCTCAGATAGATCAAGGGAGCTGAATCAAGTTAAATATAAGCACACACCCTCCAAGAGAGAAAGGAGAGCTAGGCGGGACGGAGAGGAGAATGAGGGGTCACGAGGGGGAGGGGGAGAAGATTGACTTGATCCAGTGAGATGGATAGAGATGGGGAAGGAGAAGGTTAGTTCTCGTAGCATCAGTGTTCGTCGAATTGATAGATCTAGACATTGACGGATGATGCAATCAATGATTGGGTCGGGGGAACGATGATAACTCTCCCCCCACCACCTAATGGATTGACAATTCACTGCTCCGGGGAGGGGACGTCAAGACGTGGGGGGATCGACAAAATCGCTACTACTGTCAGTACTATAGATGGATGCTATACGCTATACGCTATACTGGAGTCTACGGAGCAGTAATGTCTCTCTGAGATTGGAGGAAGCGGGAACTGTCCTCTAGGCTTGTAGTCGATATACTACCGATATCGATACTCGTACGGAGCGGAGTACTGCATCTTCAGAGTAGGGAGAGCACGGTGGTACTACAGGTGATAGTAGCAGCATGTGATACTCGACAGTGATCTCGTAGTTTTACTCGCAATACAAGGTGCTATTACTCGAACAGCTGAGAAGACCTCTTATTGTTCGCAAAGTCTCAGAAGGTCGTCGCCAAGGAAGTTGGGGGTCATTTCTTGTTCGGAAAAGGAAACAAGGCCGAGGAGGATGAGGGAGTGCGCCACGACGACGAGGAGAGATCAAGATCAAAACCGTCAGTCGGGGTCACCAGTCCTGAACACAGCCCATATTGGATGTAACACGATATGAACGGTGGTTGGTCCCCCCCCTTTCTCGCCATCCCTCCAACCTCCATCACGGACAAAGGCCGAGGACGGGCCACACCGTCAACACAGCATTCCTCAATTTCTCTCCGATTCCTGCAGGCTTCCGCATTTAGGATATGAGATATACAGTCCACCCTACCCCGGCAGCCAATTGTCGTAGACGTCCTTGGGCGAACCAGGCATGTTGCATAGATAATATCATGCGGGGAACACGGCATAACAGGGTATATCTTGCTAAGCTAGTAGGGCGGGTCTTCAGGGGTCAACCCCGTGGGATATCATCAGTATCGATATTACGAGTATTCCGTATGTATTCTTTCTGTTGAGAGAGAAAGACGAAGAAGAGAACAAAGAAGAGAGGAAGCTCACACTTTCACCTCGTCCTGTCTTCTACACAAGTTAAGAAAAATAAAAAAATATAGATAAATAAATAAATAAAAGTCGTGTCGCGAAACAAAGAGGAGGTATTCATCAACGTCCTTGGCATTGATTGATTGAGCCTGTGAGAAGACGAGAGCACAAGGGTATCTGTTAGTGAGTGGCAGGCAGTTCAGTCTTCTGATCCTTGACCTTCTCCGCATCGAATGTCGCCCTACATTTTTTAAAGTGGCGACGAATACGATTACCGAATTCTTGGCGCGGGGTTAGCCCAAGATACGACAGTCGGCAGCTCAATACACGTAGAGAGATTTCTTTCGAGAGAGGGGGAGACCTCGATGGTGGAGAAGCAGAGGGAGGGAGAGGGGGGGAGGGGATCTGGAAGCGGTTTAGCGTGCGGGATGCCTAGACAGCGGTCACCGATGCATCGCGTGGGGGGGGGAGAGGAGGACATCACCGACGACACTGACACCGGCTGGGACCAGAGAGAGTCCGCGGGCAACTGGTAATGTCTGTCTTCTCCCCTACTGATGGTGAAGTCGTTCGTATTCGGTAGCAGAGTCGACGGAGTGGGTGAGTATTATCGACTATCATCGAGGTTTACCCCGCATTCCGGTATCTTGCCTTCTTGATGTTCGGGGACTGTCATGAACACTCAACCACAGAGCACTATCCGCCCAATCTTTGTCATCATCACGACTTCTACTAAAGTGGTATGAACCACACAGAAGTCATGTGCAGTGCATCATACTCCCTTTTGACTCCGTATTACTTCTATCAGTTCAGGCATGAGCAATATACGATATGATATACTTCCCTGTGCATCGAGTATCATCACTCCATATTCAACCACCAGCCAACCAACCAACCAACCAACCAACCACCCAGCCCTACCCTCGTCACAAACACCCTGGCTACCTACATTCATGAATTCACCTTTGGGAAAAACCTAGAATTCTCCATCTCGATCCTGCGCGTGCAGCACACCCAACTCTCCTCGTCCATCCATCCGTTCTTTACCCCTTGTCCCCCCTTTTCAGAATACACCTGAACATTGCTATCCTGTGTCCTCTTTGCAGACATCCACGGTCCATGCGGCCGAATACATCTCATGTCGTGTTTCCCTCGTAGGGAGGAGTCTCATCCTCGTCTTCAACCTTTCTGACCCCTTTCCCTCCAACCTCTTGAGGCACATCAAGCTAATGCGCAGGTCAACAGATCAGAGAAACGATATTCCAAAAACAAAACAAAACAAAACAAAAAAGACTGTCCGAAAAACCATCGCCCATTCCATCTTGTTGGTTACACGATCCACAAACCTACACACCCTCTCTGTGCTACCGCCTCCATCTTCGGTCCTCCTGAGTCTGCGCTGCAGTCTACATGACGCGCCTCACGACCTCACGGAGAAGCCGAGATCAATCGCTGGTTCTTCCTCCCCCCCCCCTCCCCCCTCTCCGTGGGATGAGGCAAGTGCCGATGAGGTCATCAGCCATGCCTCTCTGATCGATTACGAGCTGCATGCGTGCAGAATCATGAGCATCGCCACCAGCACTAATCTAGAACCATCATGGCCTGGCCTGGCCTGCCCTCGCTGATCCGTGCACGCAACACGTACACACGTACGCACGTACACACTCACATCATCTTGGCTTCCTCACCACGTGTCTGTTGATACTGACGCCTTGCCGGATGCCCTCCCATCCGTCCGTCTTCATGCGCCCGCCCGCGCCCGCCCGCGCCCGCTATACCGACCTATACTCAACCCTACGAGGGTCATTCTAGACTCGTATTACGGGGAAAGAGACCGTAGTTTTGTCCCTCCTCCCTCTCTACCCTCTCTTCCCATTCGTACAGCTCGTAGATACACGGCATCCGTACGCGCCAATGTAGACCCACGTGTAGACGCACCTGCGGACTTTTCGTCCAAACTATTACTACCAGTCGACGCCCCGCCATCGTCCGTCCGGATACATGCTTCTGCTTCATATCCCTCCCAAATCCTGGCCGCCCTTCAACCGCCATCACCCACCGGTATTACATTTTACATTACAATTGTACGGCTGGATCCCCGAGACTTGGCCAGTACCCGGCTCGTGCATGTGCGCTTGGCACTTGGCACCCGAACATCGCTGTCGTGCAAAATCCCTCAACCTTGTAGGGTATGCTTTATTCTATACCTCTAATGCTATTGTTTAATTTCTGTCATTGATTGCATAGGAGGTAGCAGCGGTAGCCAAGCCCAGACTACCAAGTCAAATCAAGCCACCATATTACACCAAGCCCAGCTCCTGGTAAAAAGGTTCCGTGCTAGGCTCCCGGCCAAGGAATTCCCGGAGGAATTCCATCTCGTCGACGCTGCCTCCCTTTTCGAGAACAACCTTGCGGTACCGGCGGCCCTCTTCCTTGGACATGGGGTTCTTCTTGAAGACAGAGTGGAACATGTCCGTCGAGAACACCTCAGACCACAGGTAGCCGTAGTAACCAGCATCGTAGCCACCGATAAAGTGGCCAATGTTGGCGTGGCGATTGCCCCAAGTGCTATTCAATCTCTGTCAGCTTCTTCGTCCATCGAATCTCCGGGAAACAAGAAAGGGGGCTTGATACGTACATTCCCTCGCCAACATCCTCGGGGCCCTTGATGCCAGAAATGTCGTGGCGAAGCTGGTTCCAGAGCTGACCAGCGTTCAGCTTCTTGATGTCATCGTGGGACTTGGGCGTGTGGATCGTCATGTCAAAGGTTCCAATCAATAGCTGAGCTAGGTTGGCCGTGGCCGAATTGAGGTTCTTGGTCGAGATGAGCTTCGTCACCAGGTCATCAGGAATAGACTCCCCAGTCTCCCAGTGCCTCGAGAGAGACTTGAGCACACTGGGTGTCCAGCACCAGTTCTCCAACATCTGAGAGGGGGCCTCGACGAAGTCGTTGACGACGTTGGTGCCGTGGAAGTAGCTGTACCGCGTGCGACCAGCCAGATCGTGGATTCCGTGGCCGAGCTCGTGGAAGAGTGTCACCACCTCGTTGTGCTTGAGGAGGGACGGCTTGTTGGCCGATGGCTTGCTGAAGTTGCAGACGAGGGCCGTGGCAGGATAGTTCCTAGAGCCGTTACTCCGCAGGTAGCCAGGCTCAAGGTTGAAGTTGGCATTGTGGGAGTACTTTCCATCACGGGGGTGAAGGTCAATGTATAGGTAGCCAACAAACTCGCCACCGCCAGCCTCGTCGTTCCACACCGTGTAGACGCGGACCTCGTCATGCCAGACAATGTCCTCAGCCTTGCCGGTCGGGCTGAGCAGTCGACGGTCCTCCTCCTTGACCTCGACAAATTCAAAACCAAAGATCTCCTCAAAGATCTCTAGCATACCGTTAAAGGTGCTCTCCACCGGGAAGTACTGAGATACCTTAACCTCGTCGACACTGTACTCTTGCTCCTTCATGAGACGAGAGTAGTACGATGTGTCCCACATGTAGAAGCTGCCGTCAAAGGGAATGCCACGTTTGGCGTAGTCATTCTTCTTGTACTCGAGGAGCTTCTCGACATCCTTCTTTCCACCAGCAGCGAGGCGCTCACGAAGATCGTCCAGAAACTGGCTGACACGGGCGGGCGTCTTGGCCATCTTCTCCTCGATCTTCAGAGAGGCATGGTCAGGGTAGCCCAGGATACGTGCAGCCTCATCACGAAGCTCAATGATTTCCTGGAACATGGGGACGTTGTGGTTGGCCTTGTTTGCATCGGCGACAATGTACCGATGCCTGGTCTCGGCATTCTTCGCGTACTTGACCAGGGGGAAGAAATGGTTGTACTTGAACCCTAGTTTGACCTTGCCTTCATTCTCCCCAGTGCCCTTCTCAAGGTCACCGATGGCGATGTCGTCCTCGGGAACACCGTCGAGGTCAGACGGGGCGAACCAGATGGAGCTCTTGTCCTCGTTGAGGTTCTTCTGGCACTCAATGCACAGTTGGCTCAGGCGCTTCTGAATCTCTTTAAAGCGGTCACGCTGGGGTCCGTGAGGGATGAGCAGGCCGTTGCGGACAAACTTCTTGCGCTCCTTTTCCAGCACGCGGAGTGACTCGCTGTCGAGCTCCTCCGACTCCCGCTGCTGGTAAGCTCCATCGACAACCTTGAAGACGTCCTCGCGCATCTTGCACTCAATATCGAAGTCATTCGTAATCTCGTCGGCCTTTCTCGACGCATCGCGGAGCTCATCCTTGGGGGACACGTGCTGGTAAAAGTTGAGAATGCGACGGAGAGCAGCCGTGTTGTCGTCGTCGACCAGGATGGGCTTGAGTGTGGTAGCAAAGGTTGCCGTCTCGGGCTTGACAGCAGCCACCATGTCGTCGAGCACCTTTTTGTACTCGGCATTGAGACGCTCCGTCTCGCTGATGATGGAGTCCGAGGTGTGGGTGAAGAGGGGCGGGGCCTGGGGGGGGGTCTTGAACTTTGGGTCGGCCATGGTGCTCGTCGTGACGGTGCGAATGGTATTAGCAGCTATCACACGATTGTTGAAGTGGCCAGCTAAAGATGCAAGGCGGGGGAGGAAGCGTTGAGAAGCCACGATGGCGATGCCGACGATGACGGGGAAGAAGAAGAAGAAGAGGACACGGAGGAAGAAGAAGGGGGGGAGCGGCTGCGACTGTGGCTCCAGCTTGAAGGTATTGGCGGGGTGAAGACTGGGCTGTCCACGTTCAACAACAGGATCCAAGCAGGGAAAGTGGAGAAGGGAAAGATGCTCAGTGGAGACCAAGGGTATACATGTACGACGTGCGAGTACATATACAGCGCGGGATGCACTTTGATGTGTCGATTGGTCAAGGACGCGATGGAGGGGCAGCGGTGAGAACGTTGGGAGAAGATGGGAGAGGAGGGGAAGAGAGTCAGAGATCGGGACGCTCTCTGACGTTGCTTTTTGGGGTGAGCTCCCATGCGACCGTTGCCACAGAGAGGCAGGAAGCACCTAGGCCGTACCTGCCCAGGCTCCACAGTAAACGGTCACAGCCGGGAAGGGGCCTTGCTGCGCGTCATCCAAGGAAAGAACAAGGATTTAAATAACTTAAAGTGTACGAGTACAGACGGGAAACCAAAGAGCATGGGGCAGTTGCATTTCACATGGATATCATCACTCCCAGGCTGACCAGTTGGAAGGTAATACTCGCCGCTTGGTCACCTCGCCAAGCGAGATAGCACATGCTGCGTGGCATTATGATGGTGGTCCTGGATCTTGGTCATCCCGCTGCCCGAGACGGAGACACGCTCGTTGCGGCAGACAAGCCAAGGGCGGGGGGTCAAAAGGACGGCCCAATACTCGTATAATGGTATAGTATGTATCTACTATTCGATGGCAAGTGGCCGTGATATCTACCGTGAATTCATACACTGCCCTCTGTGGGCTCATACTAGCAGGTCCAGCATATCGCATCCCCTTCCAAGAAAGCCAAGCGCAGCCGAAACCCGTGAATAATAACAAAAAGATGCGAGGAAAAAAAAGATGAGAAGACAAGAACATTCGTTTGGCAAACAAGCAACGCCATCCCGACCGCAGATGCAACACTGGGTTGGTTGCAAACCCCTTCATGACGTCGCTTAGTTGGCGAGGATCGTCTTGACGAGGTCTATAAGCATGAGAAGACGTTAGACTCAAAGGTGAAAGAAGAAGTATCGTGCTGCTTCAACAGCAGTATGGTGGTGACTCACCAGTATAGTTGACCTGGCCAGAGCTAGTGTCCACGGCCTTGAGGAGCTCGTCGACCTCATCGTCCGACATCTTTTCTCCGAGGTTGGTCAGGATGTACTTGAGCTGCCCGACGCCGATGAAGCCCGTCATGTCCTTGTCGAACACCTGGAAGCCGCGGCAGTACTCCTCGGGCTCGCCGGGGTCACGGAAGCCACCGGGGCGGTTCAGCACGCGCTGGAAAGTCTCGAAGTCGACTAAAACAAGAACACATCCAAGTCAGCCACGGGCCCTTCTTTTCTCTCTGCTTCCTTTTCGTAGAAGCGGCCACTCACACTCGTTGCCGACATTCTTCTCGAGGTCCTGGATCTCGGACAGAGTAGGGTTCTGTCCACAGGCGCGCAGGAGGTCACCGAGGCTGCCAACAGTGACGCGGCCGTTACCGTGCTTGTCGAAGAGGGCGAAAGCCTCCTTGTAGTTGGTCGACGCCTGCGAGTCGAACTGGTTAGAAGACATGTTGACGGTGATTTTGGTTTATGTGTATGGCGTTGTTATAGTGGGAAGAATGCGTCGTTGTTGGAATTGAATTGAAGGACGGCCGAGAATACGCGATCGGGAGTGAGCGGCACGCCCAAAAAAAAACACACAACATAGTATTCTGGTTCTGGCGTGCCCTTCAGCTGCTCGTCGGGCGAATCAAGGCCTCTCGTGGGGGGTTCGCTGGTGTGTGTGGAGAGTGTGGTGGTTGTTTACATCGGCTCGGTGGCCGGGGCAACAAGTGTGACTTACCGAAGCCATTTCGTACTATGTGAAAACAAACAGTTGGAGTTGCGTAGGACGAACGGAAAAAACTCTTGCGAAATCGAACGAGGATGAAGCAACGACGAAAAGAGAAGTCCTGATTTCTGGGTGATGGTGTTGAGAGATTGAAAAAACAAAAAGCGGTCCAGAAGAAATTCCCCTCCCAAGGTTATGACTGCCTTTTGGGCCTTGGCCCACGGCCCCCTTTGACCCTCCCCTTCCCCCCTGTCGCTCTGGCTGTGCGTACCATAATGCTGTTATCTGGCACAATTCCCCTTACTCTCCTTTGTTGATAGCCCGGTGTGCATTGACTGCCGGGGCAACGGGACCAGGTGCAGGCCAGTTGGAGCCAATAGCCCATGTTTCATCAGACGCTTTCAATGGGGCCAGCCTCAGCAAGTTACGAGTACGTGTCGACTGATGTTATGTATCCGTATTGTCACGACGTAATATTTGTGCGAGGTCGCGGCGTTGTGTAGACTGTCTGTAACGCCGTTGAGGAGCGCTGCTTCTGTTCCTCTGTTGCTTCACTGAATATTATTATGTTATGACGTCCTTCTCCCTTCCATACTGACAACTTGAAAGCAGTTCAATTCTTCTTGTCGATTACGGTTGCTTCTCCTTCTCTACAGGAGTGTTGTTGCCCGCTGTAAACAGGGACGGCCCAGATCGCCCGTTTTGCTTCACCGCCATACGAGTCGTCATTCTCGACCATTCTAACAGCTACTACAGCTTCCCACCTGGACCGAGCACAAACGTGTTCCTCCCATCACTCTGCGTCCTGACAGTCCCTTTCATCCCCACGGGCTCCAAATTTGTATCGCACAGCTTCCGCAATGTCAACTGGTCGCCGTGGTTAGCCAGAAATCTGTGTCCGTTGCCATCGAGAATCCCTATGATCAGAGCCTGGCGAGGCTGACCCTTGCGGTCAAACTCAACCGTGAAGGCCTACCGTATCCCATCAGCGTGAAGTTCAAGAGTCTCGGAATAACAGCTTTTTGTTCCTCGTCGTGGCGATTGTACATACCTCTATGGTCGCCTCTCCGTCGGCCAACTCGTCAAATACCGGCACCGGAACATCACCCGCCTCAACAAGCTCAGGCTGGGCGTCGCCACCGGGGTAGGGCGAGCTATCGCGTCGAGGCGCTGATGATAGACATATCGCGTGCTGATATGTGAGGACGCCGCCGTTGGCGAGGATGAGGCCCGTCTTGTACGACCCGTTGCGGATCTGTCGCGTCATTTCGGCAATAGCCTGTATCTGGTCAGGCCGTCGTTTCATACGGACAGGTACGGACGGAAGGAATGGCGAAGATACGAGAGGCGTGGCAGGAGGGAAACTCACATGCAAAGAGTAATTGTTCCCTGCTCCGCCAAACGAAGTCAACCCGCCCAGGAGAGAGATAGGTTTAGATGGCGACACAGGATCAAGACCCAGGTGTCTGCAGGCAAGCTTAGGAACAATGGGGAAGCACCTGCGATCCATCCATGTCAGTCCCCTCCTTCATCACCGGTATAATGATCAGTGTCGGGTACTCACGAGTAAAAGTCATAGCAGTCGATGTCACTCTTATCGATACCAGACCGACGCATGGCTGCATCAATAGACTGCTCGATGGCCTGACTGCGATGGTAGCACGGGCGCTCCCAGACTTGTTTTGCCCCCGCGTCACATCTGGTCAACCATTTGAAGGCACAAGTCAAATAACGCGGGGCCGGCACATACAGTAGTTCTCTTCTCGCGATCCAGCTCCCCCGAGAGGATACACCCATCTCTCACGAGGAATCCCGAGAGCCTCGGCGTGATGGACGGTGGTGACGATGGCGGCAGCCGCCAAGTTGATATTATTAAAGGCATTCATGAGGAGCGGGTCTGCCATGGCCCATTGAGCGTACGCCGTTAGACTGGACGACAGGTCATCTTGGAAGGAGAGGTCACTGCATGTGATCTGTACTGACAAGGCGTGCAAATCATCCTGTTGCGTTCGGTCGGCGTGCCAATCTCCTTGGCAGTCTTGGGGCGCTGACCGGACCTCCAGCTGTACTCGAGGGAGCATGCTGTACGATCAAAAGCCGCGTACATCTCCTGTGACTCCTCGTTGTTGTCGCTGTAACTCTGCTTCCTGTGCGCTCTCGAGGCGTTCTCGTACATCGGGTAGACATGGATTGGTAGACCCATGCCGTGTCTCGTGCCCACATCTAGAAAGACATATATTATCACATCAGTCAGAGGAAAGACGGGGGGAAAGAAGCGGGGGGGAAAAAGAAGAAGAAAAGGAGGACAGGTCGTAAGAAGCAAAGGCATGACATGGAGAGGGCAGTAATATCTCACTCTTCCCCCGGATATCGAGATTGCTAATGTCCAGCGACGATTGCGTCGGGTCAGGGGCCGTCCATCCCCGCGGGGTCTCCCCGGCCTTCCGACAGGCCGCCACTGTGCAGGCATCAGTTTGATGATCGATGTAAACAGTTCAACGGCGGTGCAGGTCGACTCACAAGAGGCGAGGGCTTCACCACCCGTGATGACGGCCACCTTGCCCTCCCCAGACGCCACCTGCCGAGCTGCCTGGTCGCACAGCATGACGGGCTGGTTACCCCCGTGGATGCCTAGCTCGAGATTCTTGGCGTTCCTGACGCCCAGCTTGGAGGCTACAAGGCTAGGAAGGTCCTTGTAGGGCCACGACCAAGGCGGCACGACGGAGATGGTGTCGATGAGAGGGATGATGTCCTCTTCCTGGACGCCGGCGTCACCTATGGCCTTGCGGACGGCATCGAGCATCAGGTCCAGAGGTTCGCGGGCATCTTCCACGCGTTTGGACCGGTTGGCAGTCTCGCCGACGCCTACGATTACGGGGGTCGATGGGGGGGGGGCTGCCATGGTTCAATGGGGATGATGTCTTGATGTACTGCCAGCAGATGGTATGGAAGGATAAGGCACCGTTCGATCAGATGGGGATGTAAATGTCTCTTCGTCACTCTTGGTTCCCAAAAGGCGCATCGTGGGTAATTGTATGCCCGATGGATCTACGTCGGGGTTCTTCTCTTCCTTCTGTTGTACGACACTTAGCAACTGACGAAAAGCACTGTGTTAATGCTCTCTCGGTAGCATCGGTCTCCGCTGTAAGCAGAGCCGGACCTCGGTTTGTCTTTTTACTGGGAGGATCAATTCCAAAAGGTTGAACGTCTTAAACACCGGCAAAGTCGCTGTAGATTCACTGGCAACCCCGCACCTGGGCTGAGAGCTGAGAGTGTGGGTGGAGCCACACCGATCCGTCCTGTGCAATGCTTGCTCTAGCTTCAAGCTTCGACTTTTTTTTTTTTTTTTTTTTTTGGGTTATTATCTTATCTTTCTTTTCTTCCCCTGAGACTCCCGTCAGCATATCATAACTAAGATCAATGGCGGAGAATATTGGGATGATCATAGAATATCGGGTTTTAAACAATGCAGCATAGCACAAATCATTTCTTTTTTGAAGGAGAGCATAGACATTATTACAACATCATCAAATATATATACATATACATATATATACATGCATATACATACAGGGAGGAGAGAGAGAGAGAGAACACTGAAACACGATGCGAATTCGCGTACAAGTACATGTAAGAATCAGAGTTTCGACGGCACCCATTCAGGCTTCTTCTTCTCTGCAAAAGCCGACAGGCCAATCTTGAGATTATCTCCCTCAAACAGTCCCTTCCCGTAGCGCTCATCCACCAGCTGGAAGGCCCTCTCGACGCTTCCCGTCTCCCAGGCCTGGCGCAGGCCGGCGCGCGTGACGATGATGGCGTCGGGCGACTGCGCCACGATACTAGAAGCCAGCTCGAACGCCTCATCGATGAGCGTGTCGGGAGACTTGGCCACTCGCGCGAGCCCGTGGCGCTCCATCTCTTGGGCCGACAGGATGCGACCCGTCATGGCGATCTCGCTGGCCGTGTGCATGCCGAAACTCCTGACGAGCCGAGGCAGACCGCCCGCTGCGGCATACAGGCCTCTGGTTGACTCGGGGAGGCTGAATGTTGCAGACGGCGATGCCACGACGAGGTCACTTACATTGACAGTTTAGTGCAATTCGGATGATGATCGACACCTGTTCTTCTTCATCACCGGGGCAAGCTTACCAGTTGAGGACAATTTCGAAGCCTCCGCCAAAGGCGTACCCATTCACCGCAGCAATGATGGGCTTCTTCCCCGTACGGCGACTGACGCCAAAGAAGCCGCTGGGCGGCATCGGTCGGATCTGGCTGCCGTCGCCGTCCGCCCTGATGGTTCTCACCTCTAACAGATCGGCGCCCGCAGAGAAGGCTTTGTCCCCCCTCCCCGTCAGGACGGCGACCCTGAGCGAGGGCTCGTCGTCGTACCAGTCCCATATGGCCCTACCCTCCCAGTGGCCGTCCATGGTGATCGAGTTCATGGCTCGTTGACGGTTGATGGTGACGAGCATGACGTGGGGGGCTGGGAAGCCCAGCTCTGCAACCTTGCAGGCTGGCGGTGGGGAGGCGAAATCCGGCATTGGCTGGGGTTATATGGGAATTGCCGGTGGATGTATTTGCAGGATACCTGGATATGTTATCTAAAGCGGTAACATGTATATAATCGTGGAGGATGAAGGGGAGCAGAGAAGGAACGAAAGAGAGAAAACAAATCGAAATGTTGGGCGTTCATCCCCAAGATGTAATACTAAATGCTATTTGTTACCTGCATCTTGACATGCCGAGGCCGGAAAGGATCCCGGGGAGCCGCTCCCCGCACCAGCCCACTGTAGCCCATTGTAGCCCATGTAATACTCACCCCAGCGGCCTAGCACATCGGACATGGATAGTAATACAGCCAACCCTAGGTAAATCGTCATCATGGAGTTTCTTTTTCTCGTGGAAGATGAGCCGCGTACCATTGGTTAGGATGTATGCTTGATATGCTGGTGATACATAATATACTCTACTTCACTTCACCTCCTCTTGGCCAACAGTATACAAGTGCCCCAGACCGTCTCGACCTCGGCATCTCTCCACCCATCACCGAGGACCTTCCACTCCGGTTCCGCCTCAACAACGCGATCCATGAGCAGGTCAACCAGGTCGCCCTGACCGCCGTCCGCTCGGCTGACCATTCCCGGGTTGGCATCCTTCCAGCCCTGGAATGCGCTAAAGGTACGCACGTAGCTCTCGAACCCGCCGAGGGTGAGCTTCTTGCGCAGCCACGCCTCTCCCCCGCCGGGGATGTCCTCTTCCTTCACGGACGCGTCCACGTCGCACACGATACGCTTGACACCCTGCCAGTCGGACACGGGGGGCTCGATGTCGCGCAGCAGACGGCGCAGTATGTCACGTCCAGGACGCTCCCAGTACTTGTCCATGCCTTCTATCCCGGGGGCCACGTCGTCCTTCCCGTAGCAGAAGGCGTCGAAGATGGCGTTGGCCTGGGGGTGTCCGATGAGCACGTTGTCCTTGTAGCCCCAGAAGGCGAGGGAGCCGCCGGACCTGACGACGCGCGCCAGCTCCGGCCATGCCTTCCCGTAGTCGAACCAGTGGGCTGCCTGGGCGGCCACGGCCAGATCTACCGACCCGTCTGCCAAGAAGGACAGGTCCTCGGACCGGCTCTGGCGGAAAGTGATGTTGGATCCTTGGGGCGTAGACTCGGACGCCTGCCTGATCATGCCGGCGCTCGGGTCCACGCCCACGGCTCGCTCAAAGTGACCGCCTAGCTCCCGGGCCACCAGGCCATGGCCGCATCCCAGGTCTACCACCGTTCCGAACCCTGCACCCTCGTGGTAGTCCAGGACTCGCTTGAAGAGGATGGGCGGGTAGCTGGGTCGCGCGGCGGCGTACCCTGCGGCTGAGAATGTGGCCCTCCTGGTGGGGATGTCAGTACGGTGTTGCGGTGATGCTACCCGGTGTCGTGAGTTATTATTCTACTCGCCCGAATGTAGACATGACGGATTGTGGTATCCTGGTAACCCAGTGGATGACGGTCGATAGTGTGGAGCTTCTTGAGCTTGTGGTATTATGGAATCACACACACGATGCACTCTGATACTTTTTCTGTACGGAATGGCGAGACAGCCATTGATGATGGACTCTCGGCTCGGCGCTATGAGTACGGACTCGGCGCTAGGAATATGTTTGCTGTACAGATATGTAAGCAGCCTCCCATGCATGTACGAGTATAGGTAGATATTGAATCAGTATTGTCGGTACAGTTTCCTGTTCGGCAGGTGTGAAACTGTTTGGAAGGAAGTGCCGCTGGCGACCCGCCAGACTCTGCTGAGCGACAATTGTTGCGTTGATTCGACTCGTAGATGGCGAAAAAGGCGCAATATGGCATAATAATAGATGCATCTCTCTCCACCCGAGGCTCGGCTCGACGAATACCACCTACTGTTGGTGCTGGCACTAACCTTGCCGTCTACGAGTATTAAACTGTCGACTCTCTCCTTTCTCATTCTCACATACTCATAGTAAATCGCCAACCACTCAACCTATGCTGCTACGTATCCAGACAACCTACCATCATGCCCGTGACCGATTCTACCGCCCGCCACTTCTTTACAGCCCCCGCCTATGCTGTGGTGGGGGCAAGCTCCAACACTGCCAAGTACGGACACAAGAGTAGGTTGCTGGCTATATCCACGATGCCGACGGAGACTGGGAACTAATACGGGAAGCGTGACACCAGTCTTTGCGTGGTACCTGAACCATGACCTGCCCGTGACGCCTCTCAACCCTGCGTCGCCGTCGGTCACCGTCGCCGGCAAGGACTACGCCACCCTCCCCAACGTCGCCGCTCTGCCCAAGCCCAGGGAGACGGCTGTGTCCATCATCACGCCCCCGTCCGTCACCCTGGGCGTGCTCAAGGAGGCGCAAAAGGCCGGTGTGCCGTCGGTGTGGCTGCAACCGGGGACGTTTGACGATGAGGTCATTGACTTTGCCACAGCCGAGGGGAACTTTGAGGCTGTCGTCTACGGATCTGGTGGCCGTGGATCGGAGGGTTGGTGCGTCCTAGTTGATGGAGAGAAGGCCATCAAGGATGCTGGGAAGCTGTGAGGGAAGATAGATGGCTTAGTGGTAGCCACGGTTGTATGAAGTATCACTCTTACGACTCCCTTTGATGGACTGAATGACACGGATATTCTTCTGACAATACTCTACCACTATCACCTGCTACTAAGTACTGTATTATTTGGTGTAGAACCGTGATGTTTGTTATAATGATACCTCTTGAACACCCATCATAGGCTACCATACAAGGGCTAAATGCCTTGGCGAGGGGTATTGGGAGGGACAGTCACGAATGCACGTAATATGGATCGATACATGCCGTGTACGGGTGCCACAACAGACACGCTGTAAATCCGCAGGAAAGATGGGGGGGGGGGGAGCATTTAGAGGATTGGTCCCTAGGGGACAGGCGCTTGGGCCGCCTGCAGCCACTGAACTGCCCCAGAATGGCCAGCTCTAACGCCATGGCCCCACCCTGTCGTCCCTCAAGGTAAACAAACACGGTCCCTGGCGTTGAGTGACGATACGCTACTAGAAATCGACCCCATCAGCCTCTTTCTCGGTCTCGTCGTCAACAGCACCACCACAATCGTTTGTCACGATACTTTTCGACCACCATTCTTCTCTGCTTGCTGAGCCGCATATGAAGCTGTCAGCGCCCAAGTTTGAGCCTTGACGATACTTCTCTCTTGGCCCCTCACGCGATACACACACACACACACACACATACACCCCACCCCCGTCAGCGCTGCCGAAGAGGCGCTTCTCGACAACGCGTCGCCCACGCTTCGACTTTTTTAGTATCGATAACGCAGTACAGGGGACGGGCTCACGATAGCTCTGCCCTCACGCCGCCCCCATGGCTTCCGAGGAGGTCGACTACCAATACTACACATACGATGGCCGCCTAGCCTCGTTCCAGAAGAACAAGAAGCGCGGCTCAACCGCCAAGGGCTCCAAGGCCCTCAACTGGCCGCACAAGACGATTACGGCCGAGAGCGTAGGTTGGCCCCATCATCCGCGCCATCTATCGGCCGATCTTCCTGTTCTAACGGCTGTCTTCACAGCTCGCACGCGCAGGTTTTTACTTTCAGCCTTGGGCTGATAACCCCGACAACGTCGTCTGCTTCCTATGCCACAAGAGCATGGATGGCTGGGAGGCCGGCGACGACCCCCTCCGCGAACATCTGAAGCACTCGCCCGAGTGCGGATGGGCCGTTACTGCCGCGATCGAGGCAGAGATTGAGACGTACCAGCTTATGCACCCTCTCGAGTCAACTATGATGGAGGCGCGCAAGGCTACTTTTGCTGGGCTGTGGCCCCACGACGGCAAACGGGCGTGGAAGTGCAAGACGAAACAGGTGTGCTGCTGTCGTCATCCGATAAAGGAAACCTGTTTACTGATGCCCTCTTCATTAGCTGGTCGAGGCCGGGTGGAGGTATACGCCGACCCTGGACTCTGACGATAACGCGACGTGTGCCTACTGTGGCCTAGGCCTTGACGGCTGGGAGCCCGGTGACAAGCCCTAGTACGTCCTCATATCCCACAGTGTGGGTATTTCTGAAAACTGACATTTAGTAGCGAGGAACACGAGAAGCGATCGCCAAGCTGCCTGTTCTTTACCCTCTCCAGGCAGCCCAAGAAGGGGCGCGGGAAGACGGCGCACGCATCTAAGGCATCCCGCGTATCCACCCAATCCACCGCCACCGAGGCGCCGTCCATGGCAGACACGACAGCCGCAACAGCCGACGACACATTCATGACAACCGTCTCTACCGCGACAACGCAAGGGGCCAAGAAGAGCCGCTCAAAGAAGGGGACAGCTACCAAGGGTAGCAAGACAAAGGCACAGAAGGAGGCGAGTGTCATCGATTCCGATGAAGCGCAGAACCTTGAGATCCCTGAACCCCAGGAGGAGCTTGCCGCATCATCGCCGCCGCCGCCGCCGCCGCCACCGGCAGCGAAGAAGCCCGTACGAGGCAAGAAGCGTGGCAGCGAGGCTGTCAACGAGTCGACACTGACAATCACTTCGGAAGCCCCTGCACGAAAGAAGCGTGCACCGAAGGCTCGCGGAAGCACGGCAATCGAGAGCTCTACCGTTGAACCCTCGTCGGAAGATCACGACATGGCCGTTGACGCTGCTCCCGCACCAAAAAAGACGACCGGTCGGAAGAAGGGCTCGACCGTTCGCAAGGCGTCAGTAAGGTCCAGCGCATCATCGGTGGGATCGATATCTTCGCTCAAGTCCTTGCCTCCTCAGTTCCCCGACGATGACGAGATCGAACGCCAGCTCGAGGCTGACCTTGAGCGTCCTCTCACCGATGATGAAGCTATTGCCACCGAGTCGGACTCGGGGAGGGCCAAAGGCAAGGCACCCCACGGAAGAAGGGCTGCGCAGCAGCAGAAGACGTCCAAGGACTACGCCATGTTTGACCCGGAACCCGTGTATCATGATGACGAGGAGATGGAGGACGAGCTTGATGCCCTGCGCGAACAGATGGATGCTGAGAAGCAACATGAGCCCGAACCTGAATCCGAGCCCGAGCCGATTCAGATCCCTAAGAAGGGGCGGAAGCCCGGTGTTCGGAAGGCTTCCAAGCAGACCAAACCTAAGAAGGCTGCGGACATGGAGCCGGAGCTCCCGCCTGTCGAACTCGAAGAGGTTGAGCCAGAAGAGCCTGTGTGGGCTGACCCGGAAGACAAGAACACAGAAGATTACGAGAACAGCATCGGCAGTACCGGCACGACCGTCAAGAAGACGGAGGAGCAGCGTCCCGCAACAGCAGCGCAGCAGAAAAAGAAGGGCAGCCGTACCAAAAAGACTAAGGCTTCTTCACCGATGTACGAGCCACTCGAAGATACCGATGAGTTGGCCGAAGATGACGTGGACCTCATCGAGCCGCCGCCGCCGCCGCCGCCGCCGAAGCAAGGAAAGCCCAAGGCCAAGACCAGGGCTGCTCCCGAATCACCGGCTGACCCGCCAAAGAAGCGTGCTCGCGGTCGGCCAGCCAAGGCGGCACAAGCACAAGCAGAAGAAGAAGAAGAAGAAGAAGATGTCGAGGGGCAGAATCCAAAGTCGAAACAGAAGCAGAAGCCAGTTGAAACGGCGCCGGCTGAAACCAGCCGCGCAAGGCCACCTGCTAAGGCGTCGATGGACAGCCAGATAGCGGGCCCCGATGCCCAACTACAGGGGGAGGCCGAAGATGCAAACTTGAGGGCAGAGCGCGACGACGAGCAGGAGGATTACGCCGACGAAATATACGATGACGAGGCTGAGTACCGGGACTTGCACTCTGGCAGTCAACCAGACTACTTCTCAACGCCGGCCTCCCGCCGAAACTCGGCAAGCGGCGTCCCGTCGACGCCGCCGAGCGCATCAGCCCGCCAGGCAGCCCTATCTCCCTCCCAGTCACCCCAATCTTCGGATGCGGAGAATCAGCCGCCGTCGTCGAGGGCGCCAGCCACAGTGACGAAGCACGTGGCCCTGGTCCCTATGGAGGCGACGCCGGTGCGAACCACGTCGCCCTCGAAGCGCAACGCCATTGCCGGCCTGCAGAGCAAGACGCCCTGGAAGGCTGTCGACCTCGACGCCGTGCTGGGCACGCCGGCGGCTGGTTCCGTGGCCGCAGCGGCCGATAAGGAGAACGGCGCGGACCGCTTGCTCAGGAAGGGCAAGGAGCTGACCTCTCCCGAGAAGCAGATGACAGTTGAGGAGTGGATCTACCACAATGCCGGGGAGGCGGAGAAGGTGCTCAGGCAGGAGTGCGAGGCCATGGTGAGCCGGTTCGAGAGCGAGGGGGCCAAGGCTATGAATGTGCTTGAGGAGTTGGTTATTGACTGATCGCATTCTGTCCCGTCTTTGATTAGGATGGCAGAAAGGTTGGCGTCTTTTTTTTCTGAGTGCTGTTTCTTTTCTCATCGGCTTGGGTTTCAAGATCCTGGGGTTTTATAATGAAGGGCATACAGGTGGTTAGGACATGGTAGATGATGGTATATACAGTTCGGCAAGGCAAAAATGGACTGATTAATGTCTTTGATGTAATGTTTCTTTCTTCTTTTTTTCTTCTTTTGTTTTCTTCATTATTATTCCATCATGGTCTACGAATATACCCCTAGACCTCGACGAGCTCATCCTCCTCATCGACCTCCTTTACCCTCTCGTCCGGGACAGCGGCAGAGTCACCGTCCTTCTTCTCGGTGTCCTCCTCGTCACGCATGATGACCTGTACGAAGCGGTCGCAGGCCTCCTTGACATCGGCATCGTCGACGTGGGCGTGGGTCTCCCTGACGATGGGGTAGACCTTGATCTGACGGAGGTGGTCGCGGCCCTGGCGGGTGGTAGTGAGCAGCATGAGGGTCTCGAGGTGGGTGACGATGTTGGCGCTGTCCGGGTCGCGCTGCTTGTCGGGCGGCAGCAGCTGCAGGTCGGGCAGCATGTCCATTGTGTCGTCGACGTCGTACTCCTCGCTTCCGGTTATGGGGAGGAGCACGTAAGGCAGGATGCCGACGTCGCTCTCGTGGTCGAGAAGGGCCGGGTGGGCGCCAACCTCGAAGGCGACGTTCTTGATGGTGCTGGCCACGCCTTTCCGGCGTATGTCGGACCTGTGCTCGGTGAAGACCTTGAGCTTGGACAGGGGCACGACGCCGTCGTACGGCTGCGGCTCGAGGAAGTAGCGCCGCACGTCGTCGTGCTTGGAGAGGTCGGCGAAGACGTAGGCTAGGTAGTCGTAGTCGGCGCCCTTGTTGTACGCGCCGTCCTGGCCGCGCACGAACAGGTCCACCAGCTGGTTGAGGATAGTGTCGTCCGTCCTGAGCTCCTCAGGCGCCGGCTGCTTGCGCTGCAGGATGGTCTTGAGCGAGTCGTTCTTGACTAGGTTGGCTAGAAGCATTGCCAGAACGTTGGCGTTGGGCTCCTCCGGGTTCTTTGATTTCGGTGTCAGCACCACCGTGATTTTGGGGGAGGAGGGGGGCTTCGAGGGGACGGCAGACAATTATGTGTCTGAAGACCGCGCTGAGGAACTTGTCGTCTGAGGCTAGGTTCTCCAGAACGGCTTGGTCGCCGGATAAGTTGACCAGGATGGTGAGGACATGGTCGGCTATTTTCTGTTTTCATTTTCATTTTCGTCGTCGTTATTTTGTTTTACCCTGACCGTCAGTAAGAAGGTTCAGCATTTGCGAAGATCTGAGGCACATCCGTGACGTACCGGGTGATCCAGTATCAGATTCTTGAGGTGCTTGATGGGCTCTAGATTGTTGATCTTGAAGACTGTCGGCTCAGCCGTCGAGTACGGGACCAAGTTTTCCAGGGCAATCTTGCGAATCTGAGGGTTGGGATTGGCCATGAAGCCCGTGAGCTGATGTTTTGGTCAGCACATGTTTTGTTATCTTGTATATCAGAGATTCTGGGACGGAGTTGATCACCTCTTCTAGTTCCGAGGGCATCTTGTCGTATCTCTCTGTTCAGCCCCTTTTGCTTCTTGTTAAGGTGAGAGAGGCATGATGCTGATTTTTTTTTTTTCAAAAGTGAAAATAGAGAGGATGGAGGGGCAGTAAAGTATACGTGGGGCTAGTTTGGAAGTGGGAGCGGGCTGCCAACGTCATAATATTAATAGATAGACCGGAATCATAAAGGATTGACGTTGCTAGATTATTCTACGGCGTCATGGCTTCTTACTTCTCTACTTGGCTTGGTGGCGAAAGGGCATCTTGAATTACATGCACATCTTGTAACAACCCGGTGTGAATGTAGATTCAGCCTTGGTTTTTCTTATGTCTTTTTTTACCCTTATTCTCATTTCTATTCCATTCTACTTCTATACTTTTACTCACCTACATGAAGCAAGTCAAGCAGATTTGGTAGTTCTGCGCGCACACGGCCCAGATCATTAATATAGTGTGTTTACATTGTCTGTGTAGGACTACAGCTCACCATACACGGCGCATTTGGTGGTGAAATTTGTTCAGAGAAGGATCATAAAGAGAGCAGTTTCGTCAGATATTAACATGTCCAGACGAGGAAAAAAAAATCTTATTACTATTCATACTATTATATCATATCAAAGCTGGACGACCAACTTATACCAGGGCAAAGGCGGTCAAGGACCCTGATGATGTTGCACTAAGCCATAAACGGAAAGAGGGGTGGCAGATCGATAAGACAGACAAGTTTTTTTTCTGATTTTCTTTTTTTGATTTTTTTGCCCACATTCACATTCACATTCACCTTCATCCCGAGAGGAAGCATCAGATAGACAGAAGAAAATGCCCAAAGCCACAACACCTACGGCTTCGCGCCAGGGACGTCGTCATAACCCCCTCGAAGACGACGTCGTCTCCACAGGAATCCTGCGCAATAACAAGCCCGGCAAGCGCAGGTCGAAGCATTCGGGCGACAACGAGAATGGCGGCAACGACGGTGACCACTTTGTCGACTCCAAGGCCTCCAGGAATATTCTCCGTATAGGACGCGAGCTCGCCGCCGAGGATGACGCCCAGATCGCCGAGCAGAGGCAGCAGGGCGTCAGCAAGCCCTCGACCGACAGTTTCGGTTACGACAGCCGCTTCGACGACGACGACGACGACGACGACGAGCAGGACAAGGTCTACGGCGACGGCGACGACGAGGCTTGGGGCGGCGACGACGACGAAGTCGTTGAAGAGATCGAGGTCGAACCCGAGGATCTCGAGACGTACAGGCGCTTCATGCCCGACGACGAGGACGAGCTGCTCAAGCACGGTTGGGACCGCAGGCCCGCCGAGGGAGAGGAGGTCAACGACGACGAAGAGCCCGTTAACCTGGCCGACCTCATCTTGGAGAAGATCGCTGTCCACGAAGCTACCGCGGCGAGGCGTGCTGCTGGCGTGCCCGAGCCTGTCGAGGACGACTACGAGCTTCCTCCCAAGGTTGTCGAGGCCTACACCAAGTAAGTCCGCACTTCACACATCAAAACCTGCTCTCTTCCCGCCCTTTTCCGGACGGAGGGAAGAGAGAGTAAGAGAGGAGAGAGGAGAGGATGGGGAGAGATGGTCCTGACAGAGAGAAAACCAGAATCGGCCAAATCCTCTCCCGATACAAGTCGGGCCCCCTGCCCAAGCCCTTCAAGATCCTCCCAACGATCCCCCACTGGGAGGAGATCATCGAGGTGACGCAGCCCGACAGCTGGACGCCCAACGCCGTCTACCAGGCAACGCGCATATTCGTGTCGAGCAAGCCGCACGTGGTGCAGCGCTTCCTAGAGATGGTTGTGCTGGAAAAGGTGCGCGAGGATATCCACGAGAACAAGAAGCTCAACGTGCACCTGTTCAACAGCCTGAAGAAGGCTCTGTACAAGCCGGCCGCCTTCTTCAAGGGCTTCCTGTTCCCCCTCGTCGGTAGCGGCTCGTGCACGCTGCGTGAGGCACACATCATCTCGGCCGTCCTGTCGCGCGTCTCCGTCCCGGTCCTGCACTCGGCCGCCGCCCTCAAGGGCCTGTGCGACATCGCCGCCCAGGAGGCCTCGCAGGGAACCGAGGGTGGCGGCGCCACCAACATCTTCATCCGAACCCTGCTCGAGAAGAAGTACGCCCTGCCCTACCAGGTCATCGACGCCCTCGTCTTCCACTTCCTCCGCTTCCGCAGCGTCGACCCGGCCTCGGTCAAGCACGCCGACGCCATGTCTGGCGCCCTCGCTAACCCCGGCGACGCCAGGGCTAAGCTCCCCGTCATCTGGCACCAGAGCCTCCTCGCCTTCGCCCAGCGCTACAAGGGCGACATCACGGAGGATCAGCGCGAGGCCCTGCTCGACCTGCTCCTAACCCACGGTCACCTGTCCATCGGCCCCGAAGTCCGCAGGGAGCTGATCGAGGGTAGAGGTCGCGGCATCCCCATGGAGACCGAGGGCGTCGCATTGGATGGCGATGACACCATGTTGGTTGACCGGTGATTCATGATTGGTCGTCTACTGCGTCACAACCTGTTTGCCCTCTCTGTCTCTTTTCCTTCCTTCTGTCTACGACGATCTCTCTCTTCTTCATCATCCTCCCTCACGAGACGAGCGATGCGAAACATGGTGTCATGCAGGGTGAAAAACGAAAGAGAAAAAAAGAAGAAAAAAAGAAGAAGAAAAAAGGCGTTCGGAGCGTTGATTTTCTATGGAGTCAGCAGATTTTCTAGGATGGCATCGCATGCTTTACCTAGCCGAAAGCCTTACCTGCAAAAATTCCATTTCTTCACTTAACATAATTATTATCTTTGATTCCGGCTCTCCTCTCTCTCTTCTTTTCTTTCCCCCCCCTTCATCCTATCAGAAAGCGTATTCGCTGAAAATTTGTTTGTGACAGTCTTGCTTCTGACCTGGAAGGCACGACTCAAGTGAATGTCCGCACCTTCCAAACCTTCCGTTTCTCATAACGGACTCACCTCCTCACCCATCCCGTCTTGCCAGGATCCGTCATTCTGATCCTCGACAAGTCACCTAAATACCCGAATACTCCTTCATTCATCGCTCACTTCATCCTGTTACCGGGGACGGATCACCTAGTCCCCTTCTCTTCTCTTTCCGGAGGGTTTCGACTGACCTGGTGAATATTCATATCGACGATATAACCTGGTTAAATATCTTCATCCTTTCAACTACATACCTACCGAGAAGGTCCCTTGCGATCTGTAGACTGCCGTGCCGTTCATCATGGGGGAGAGGTAATACCATGGCCCTCTTATCTTCTCCCATCTAGCCCTCTCGATACGCCGATGAACTCATACCGTGTGCTGCAGTTCCTTCGGCTTCGGCCTCAGCACTCTCACGTTCCCCCCCTACCCCGTCGCGTACTACAACGCTCCCGCCGTCCAACACGACGACTTGATTCAGCACCAGATGTGGAATGAGCTCTCCTGGGGGAAGGCCTCGGATGATGGCGATGAGGACAGACGCCGATCAGGCTTTTTCGACGGAGCCATCAGCTTCCCTCCTCCCTCGTCAAGCGTCGATCCGCCTCGTCCTGCACGAGTTGGTTTCGAATGGGTCTGGTTTCCAGAGGGATACTGGGCCGAGCGGCAGACGCCTGCTGTGCGACCACGGCGGCGGCATGCCTCCTCCATCTCATCGAGGCTGTCTGGACGACGAAAGGCTACGGTGCAGAGCGCGGATAACGACGCCCCCAAGCCAGAGTCACCCAAAACTCCCTACCTGTCCGAAACGGATCTCGTCGTCTCGCTTCAGAATCCGAGCCCTGAGAACCCGGGGAGAAGCTGGCGCCGTGGTTCAGGATTCCGCATGTCTGAGCCGGAAGCTACTGTACATTCAACACCTTCGGATCAAGAGAGCGAGGGGAGTCCTGGGAAGCACAGATCAAGATCCAAGAAAGCAGCCAAGTTTATGCGCGATGTCCTTACCATACCTATAAGCTCAAGACGTAACTCCAAGCTTTCATACAAGGTTGGATCCGCCCCCCCCCCCCCTTTTTTTTTTTTTGATTGAGGAAGAGAACGAGTGGCTGATGTTCCCAGTCAACGGGTACGGGTACGGTGCGATCCGATGACAAATCGCGAGCACAAGCAACGATCGAGGGCGCTACGAAGATTCTTGAAGCTCAACGTCACACAAAGCTCCGGAACTCTGCAAGAGATGCAGCAGAGAAGCTACGTATTCCCCGAAAGGCTTTCGGAGTCGCCCCGTGGCACCGAAAAGGGTCACCTGGTTCGGTGAGCACTGTGACCAGCTCCGTCCGAGATGCCCTGAGTAGCGCTCCGCCTCCGGGTACCCCAGGCCTTGGGCGAAATCGTAATCGTACGTGGTGTTCTGTGAAGAATGCAAATGCTTGATCTAACGGACAAGACAGAAAGTCGCGTCTCGATCACCGATTTTCCCGGGGGAGTAAGTAGCATGCCAACTCACACTGCAGTTGAAGAAGACTACTGACAGCAACTCAGGAGGCAACCAGGATTAAAACACCTCCAGTCAATGATGGTGACTACGAACTGACGGAAGGTGGCTCATCTGGGAACCTAGATTTCGCTCGTTCTATTGCTTCTTTCGACGGAGCTCAACCTCGTACTTCGAATCTGCCACCCAATATTCATATTCTAGAGTCCAATATTCGGCAACTCTCTTACCAACAAGAGAAGGAGGACTGTGATTCTGTTCGGTAGATTTCATAAGAACTGTCATTGGGCTACGGGGTTTGTCAACGTCACTGTTTCACTTTACACGGGCTGCTGACAGGGTGCCTGGGGACATTGTACCTTGATGTTCTATTCTCTCTTGTTGAAATAAATCAGCTACTGGCCCGTGAGTGGATGGATAGAAAGGCGTGAGGTGTATTGCTCTACGGATACTTCTTGCGAAACTTGTTGACGGCATCGACCATTTCTGCGCCGGAAGCAAAGCCGGCATAGCCCTGACCGTCACCCCACGACACACCGATAGACAAGGCGCCCCATATCCAACGGTCCCCGTCAGACGCGAACTCCCAGAGGGGACCACCAGACTGTCCCCCAGCGGTGTCGGTGTCGGTGTACAGCGGTCCGGTAGGATCACAATCGAGAGACGTGTCGCCCAGGACTTTCACGTCGAGAACGCGGTAGGGACGAGTGCCGCTATCCAAGTCGCCGGGATAGCCTTGGTGATACAGGATAGGCTTGTCGAACAGACCAGGGTCGGGGGTTTTGACGCCAAAGTAGCCCAGGCTGCTGCCCAGGCTCTTGTCGAGGGCGAGGACGGCCCAGTCAGCCTTTGTCTCGCAGGATGTTCCCGGGACGTCCCCCTCGGAGGCCATTCCGGCGATGACGTTGGCGCTTCCGTCAATGTCGCCGTCGTCAAAGGAGGGCGCAAAAGTTCCGCTGATGGACGACGAGTCCGGGAGGCAGTGGCGGGCGGTGAGGACGTGTCGGGGCCCGACCAGGGCGCCGGAGCAGAAGACGCCGTCGTCCCACTGGAGCTTCCCCACCGAGTGGAAGGGGTAGGTGCCCATGCCCCAGTACTGACGGTTGTCTGTCGTGCCGAAGATGAAGCGCCTGACCTTGGCGGACAGGCTGGACAGGCTGGACGAAACGAAGGAGACGGAATCCGGCTGGAAGGGGTCCGCCGTGGCGCTCGTGTCGTTTGCGAACTGGGATCTATCCAGGCGGAATATCTCGAGTGTCGGCACGCTGCTGCTGCTGCTGGATAGTACGCTCGTCATGCCTAGTACTTCTCCGGCGATGCTGTCGCTAGAGGAGGAGGAAACACTCTGGCGATTCTTGCTCTCGTCGAAGCCGACGAGGTCATCGGTGACAGGGTGGGATTTAGAAGCTGATGAGGCGGCGGGACGAGCCAGCGTCCCGGAAGAGTATATGGAGAGTGTCACGACGACGACGGCATGGTAGATCCAGGGTGTCATGACTAGGATGGACAGACGGCGTCAAGGGAGTGTGGTGTAGGGAGTGGAAATGGGGCACGGGAGAGCCAGCTCTCCTCGATGCATAAAAGAATCAAAGAAGACGAGACAAGACAAATAAAAACAGAAGAGGAAAATGAAAGATGATGTTGGGAGGGGGGGGGGGGGGGGNCCTCGATGCATAAAAGAATCAAAGAAGACGAGACAAGACAAATAAAAACAGAAGAGGAAAATGAAAGATGATGTTGGGAGGGGGGGGGGGGGGGGGGGGGGGGAGAAAAACAAATGTCCGAGGGTGTTGAGGTTAGAAAGAGAGTATGGGGGGAGGAGGTGATATGCGCATCATCTTTTCAAAGAGCTGTCCAGCTCCACTTAGTTACAGTGATGAAGAAACAGCTATCTGTGTATTATAGTATTTTGTCAAATGCAAGTCCTGCGTTTAAGTCAGAAGAAAGAAGAAAACCGCGGGTCATGTTTCGTGTCATGGTGTGAAACGAGGTTTCAGTATCAATACCCATTGGATGAGAGGGAGCGGCGGTTAGCAAAAGCCAGTTCATTTTGTTTCCCCCCATACTGGAGAATGAGAGGAATAATAAGAGGAGAATGTCGATGGCGGCAGCTCAGCTTATACGGAGAGAGAGCAGGTTCAGAATACGAGACCCCATTGTGTTGAGGGTGAAAAGAATATAGATGAATTCACGGGCAAAGAGGAACTAGAGAGACGAAGAAACAAAGGAAGAGTTCAATTCAGACTTCTGCCAAGGGCCAAGGGTTGGCAACACACAAATTATTACGGAGTATTATTTGTAGCCGCCATGACTCGAATGAGTGGCTGTTGTGCGGCGCTTAAATGTGGGCAGAGGGATCTAAAGGGACTGGATATCTGTGTTTGGTTGATGAAACGCCAAGCCGACGATAATAGACGATGTAGATGAGTAGGAAAGAAGAAGAGGGACAAGAAGAAGAAGAATTAAAGAAGTAAACAAATAAGGAAGGGAGGGAGGAATAAAACAAGAGAGAGAGGGAGAGGGAGAAACTGCAAGTATAGGATGAGGCTGGGAAATATAAAAGACATCTCAACATCTATCAAGACTCTGGTCAATGTGAAACGAAATGGAGACAGGCAGGCCGCCTCGTCAACTGAAAAGGCAAAGAAAATATCTCGACTCATGGACTCATGGCTGGACGAAAGACGAAGGCCACCCGCCTCCGAGGCTGTTCTCGGTGAGTACAATCATACATCAAGCCGCCCCCGGCTTCTGTGCATACCAGAAGTAATAGTTAAAGTATCGGTGAGCGCCGGTATCCTCCAGCCCCTTACGAGCGAGGGACAGCACGATTTCGCTCTCGGCCTTGGCCATGCCCAAGGCCTCAAAGGGCCTCCCGGCCAGGGCAGGCATCAGCTGGAGGATGGCCGTCTTCTGGTAGAGCCCGATGAGCCTGAGCGTCTTGTCCTTGGCCCACACGCCGATGGGGACCTTCTTGACGATGCACTTTACGTTCTCGAAGCCGGCCTCGCGGAGGTGCGTGCCGAGGTCGCTCGCCAGCCGGACGTCGGCGTCGAACCTGGCAAAGGCCTGGGCGGCCAGGTCGTACATCTTCTTGACCGGGTCGTCGTCGGGCATGGTGCCGTCGTCGCAGAGGGGAGCCCCGCACAGCTCTTGCATCTCTATCCATCCGCCGGGCTTGAGCGCTCTTTTGAGTAGTCGGGTCAGCCGTCGCCAGGTCAGATGGATCAACTCGAAAACTTCCCCCCTCTCCCCGTCAATCTGGGCGGAAGAAGGGGAAGGTTTTTTTTTTTTTTTTTTTTTTGGGGGNCCTCGATGCATAAAAGAATCAAAGAAGACGAGACAAGACAAATAAAAACAGAAGAGGAAAATGAAAGATGATGTTGGGAGGGGGGGGGGGGGGGGAAAAAAAAAAACCCGGGGGGGGGGGTGGGGTAAGAGGGGGGGGTGGGGGGGGGGGGGGGGGGGGGGGGGGGGGGCGCTCCGAGAACCAGTGAGGTCCTGTGAGATCCCGCGTCCTTCCCATTCTGCTCTCACGGGTCATCTGATACTCACTGGTAGGCATTCCCCAGGATTGCAGGCACCGTCTTCACCTTCAGAATGCTAGCTATGAATCTAAAGTGGATCAGGTCGCAGTCGCGCGTGATGAAGTCGTTTTCGAAGTCGTCGACGAGGAAGTCGACGTTTGGAGGCACCCATGCAGGCTGGATGGGTGCCAAGTCGATGCCACGTACGCGTGCGCCTGGAAATCTGTCGCCAGCTATCGTTTTGAACGTGTAATCAGTTTCCGCTTTTCTCGTTTCAGATTGGAACAATCATCTTCCTCCCTCACGTCAACGTAGAATAAGAGGAGAGTGGGAGAGAAGGAGGAGAAGGAGGAGAAGAGAGAGAAGAGAAAAGGGTGTTGTCGTGCATGTGGGAGACGAGACGAACCGTCAATGGCCCATAAGCCTGTCCCCGTACCGACGTCGAGAATCACGCGCGGATCGTCCCCGATCGGGGCGTAGAAGAGCTGCCCATCCATGAGCTCCATGAACATGGCATGCTTCATGTCCTCCCTGTCCTGCTCCTGGTCGTCGTTGGGTATCGGGTACCGCCCATTCTTGAAGTGGGCATACCGCCGGCCATTCTCGTACGTGTGAGCGTAGATGCTCGACGTGACGCTCGTCGACCCCGTCGAGGCCGTTTCGTACCCTTCTATCAGGTTGAACTCGTCTTCCTCGCCCTGCTCGGTGGCGGGCTCGAGCCGATCTGCAGCGGAGGCGGCGGCGCCGGACCGCGGCGGCGGCGCCGATGTTCCCTGGAGTCCGTCGTCTTGGCGCATGGCTGTTGAATATATCACCGCTGGCAGCAGGTTATACTACAATGATACTGACTAATAGATATTGTCTACTGGCAGCAAGTAGAGGGTAGTAGCAAAAGATGAGATGGCCACAAACTATCGGCATCGTACGACGTAGATGGAGAGTAGGAACCCTGTACATGTAAATATCGCGGGAGCCCGTATGAGTTCCCTCTCGGACTCCCCGTATATCCGAGATTGGCGAATTGAGGGGTTGGTTGCATCCGAGGCGAAGGTGTGCAGTCCTTCCTGAACCCGACCCTGGTAGTCAAATAAGAAATACTACCCTCATTCTGAACACAGTGGATGATATTATAGAATATCGTTACAAAGCGACATCGGTGACAGACGAGATACCAACGCATCTACATATTTCATAATGGATGAGAAGTAGACGATACTCCCCTCACGCCACTAGATAGAGTTAGAACAGACTTCAGACGACGTCTGATAATGACGATCGTTTCATCAGTAGATTGCGAGCTATTGGTGGATTACGGTTCATGAAGAATGAGTAAACGGGATCGATGGATCTAGAATCTGACCTAGTAATCTCAACCTCACCGTCGGCCCGCCCCCTCTCCCCCACACAGATGCACAGCTCTAGCGCCGGTCGACGGTGTGGGTCCCCTCATCCTGCTACCGATCGAGTTAATCGATGCCATACTACCAGAGCTTCCAGATCAGGATATCAAGAGGCTGCAGCATACCGCTATCTCTCGGATGCCATGACGGCGATTGGGCCTGGATGAGGCCTGCGTCGGGGGTACCCTTCGAGACGAGACGAGTGACTGAAACAGCAGCTATCTGAAGCCTCCGCTATCAGAAATACCCAGAGGAACGCTCTTGATGATGTTTGGCCTGACGGCGGCAGCTCATATGGCATCTCCTCTCTATGCAACGATCCCGATTCTGTCAAACTGCGGTGCCGGGTCAGTCCCGGAACCAGAACCAGAAACAGTAATGTTGTTAGCACTGTCGGTGCTGAACCCGGAAAGCTCAACACTGTAGCCCCGATAGACGTCTGTGTCCCAGTTGTATCCGCTCAGGGGGAAAGACACGGTCTGGACTGCTCCGCCGCTGACGCTGACGGATGCCAAACGTTCATTGTTGGAACCGCCAAGGTAGCCGACATCCCCGTTGATGTAGTCGAATATAACGTTCTGTGTGGCCTGCGAGGTACGGATATTCGACAGCACCACCTTGCCTCCCGAGCTGCCGCCGATGCCTCCAACCTTGCTGGACGATGCGCATCCGGAGCAGGGCTGGATGTTGGCGCCATCCGTCAAGGTGCCCGTCTCAAAAGCAACGTAGTTGTATGAGGGCGCACTAGCCGATGAGGGCTGGACGTTGGAGAGGCGCAGCGCAAGGGATCCGTGGCCGCTGACTTGTGCTGAGAAAGATGTGGCGTCGTCGATGGTCTGATTGTTCCAGAGATTCAGGACCGTGGCGGACGACAGTCCGATCTCAGACAGATCCAGGCCGAGAGTCCGCGTCTCGTTACTCAGGTCCACGACCAGGACTGCGAGGTCTCCGTTTGCGAGATCTCCCCTCCAGATATCATGGTCCGAGGTGTAGCGCTGCACAAGCTCTACTGGCTTGACAGCTGCGTCTTGGTTGATGGCGATAAGACCCGGGTTCTGGAGCACGGAAACAGCGCTGTCGGACAAGGCCGAGACGTCGGTCGAGATCATGAGCGCAGACTTCAGCATTGCCCAGATGGCAAAATGCGTTTCCTGCTCGACATCAGTCATACCCGGGTTCCCGACTTCGAGGAGGTCGGCGTCGGCAATGTGACCGGGTCCTATGAGCCCGGATCGTGCGATGTGGACGGCTTGGTTGTAGATACGGTACACGTTGTCCCACCCAGTCGCGATGTCATCGGACAGCCGAAACGATGTTGATATCTCCCGTGACCATTTGTCGGGACCCTGGAGGCCACTGTCTGTAGAGAACGGAACGCCCCACTGACAAATCAGCATCCCGTCGATCCCGACCTCCTGCAGTGCATCCCACATGGTTGTAAAGCGGGATACAAAGTCAGGCCTCGCGTCCTTGGGAGCGTTCTGAGAAGCATCAGGCCCATCAACATAGCAATTGTCGTCTACAGCAGCGTCAGTCTCGCAAACTTCTGGGAGGTCATGAGACTAACATTTGACGTAGGCAGTGCCCAAAGACTTGAACAGCTCAGCGTCGGCTGCTTCATTTCCTAGAGAGCCGAGAACAGGACTGGGCACTTCGGTATCGCACATGCGGGTCCCGGCATCACTATACATACTCCATATCATCCCCTTAGACCTGGCCAGGTCACTGAGGTGCTGCAGGCCGTCGGGGAAAGCGTCCAGGTCGATCTTCAGAGCCTTGGTGGATGAGTTGCGCTGTTGATCGCGAGACGCCCAACCACAATCGACCTGAAGATACCTGTAGCCAGCGTCGACAAATCCACGGTCGGCCAGCGAGCTTATGGCGCTTGCAATGACACTATCGTTGGGGCTGCAGGCCACTTGGTTGTACGAGTTCCAGCCCATCACCGGGGTCGATTGGAAAGACTTGCCTAGGGCAAGAGGGGTCGTCGCATAGGAGGCCAGGACGGCCGCAAGCTGGTGGGATAGCCTCATGATGTTAGGGTCCTGACAAGCAGAAGGCACATTGCACACAGCCTGTCTGCTGTTCCACCCTAAACTCGACTTCCGCAGTACGCAACGTCCCTCATGCTTTATACTTTTGGCGCTCGAGCGACGACGGCACAATGCTTCCCCGATGGATGAAGCGATGGCGGGACTGCTATGGGAATACCGTCACGTTATATAGGTCATGATCCAGCCGCGCCAATGGTGTACTTCTGACTCGACGAATACGAATATGCGGTATGCGGGGGACGGTAGTGAATACCTGGGGTAGATACCCGAAGAATCAGATGGGAGTTTCCCTGCGTTGTCCCCGCTCGTCCACCAATTTGTTCTTGCACATCTAGGCTTGCGAGCTGATGTTGAAACGACCATTCCGGTGACAAAGTTGATGTTGGCTAAGGAGGATGGATGGTGGAAGGAGTACTCCGTTAGATGGAAGAGAGAGGAAGATTGACGTCGGGGTGTAAAAGTGGGCCCTACCGATAACCGTTCTTACTAGTTACAGGGAAGGCGCGTTTCAATTAACAGGCTACTGCCCTTTTACGCTCCTCGACGCGTCTGACGGCTGCCCTGAACGCCTGTGACGCGCCGCCAGCTGCATCTGTCCACCCTAGAGTCACCGGAAACTGGAAACTGGGAATATTCACTTTCGACGTACTTCTCAGCAGAGGGCACATCGGTCGAACCAACAACGTCACCGCCCATTGAGATCACTGCTTTCACAGATGGCCACCCCCAGCGAGGCCACGACCCCCGGTGGTCACAAACGCCCCCAGCCCCGAGGCGACACGACTCCCGCAGGTACAGAGGTCGCAGGAGCCCCCTCGGCCAAGAAGCGCAAGGTCGACGACGAGGAAATGCCGACACCTCCTGGCTTCAATTCGCTCACGGCCGCCCTGTCAAACGGCCCGGGAGATGGACACGACAAACCCCACCACGTCGCTGTCCCCAGCGTCGGCGGTGGTGGTGGCAGTACCCAGTCCCCCGCCGGAACACCCAACAAGGCACGGCCGGCCATCAAGTTGGCGGCCCTCAGGGGCACAGTGTGGGACAATGACCCTAAGCCCCGGTTGATGGCCTCCCCCTCGCCCAGGAAGAGGGCGTCTGCGTCAGCAAGCAAAACCAAGACGACGGGTGGTACGCCGCGAGGGAGACCGCCGAAATCCGTGACCGACTCGCCCTCGAAACCCAGATCCGTCGGACGGCCAAAGGGCAGCACGAGCAAGCCGAAACCTACGCTCCCGCCGCCCGTGAGCGACGACAACAAAAACGACGACGGTGATGATTCCGCGACGGACACTGCCGGCGCGACACCCCAGAAACAGATGCCGGCGAAGCGACTGTGGGGGACGCCGTCTGCCCTCACACCAAAGGGTATCCTCTCGCCCTCCAAAAACAGAAACCAGACGCCCAAGACTGTCAAGTTTGGCGGCAAAGCGGGTGGCGGCGGCGGCGAAATCTTCTTCGAGGACTTGCCAAAGAGCAGTGGCAAAAAGACGACGAAGACGACGACGACGACGACGGCGACGCCCCGCAAAGAGAAGCAACAGAGATCGGTGGTGATAGACGAGATTAGGTGCGGCATGTGCAACAAGACCAACTCGAGGAAACCCAACCAGATCGTCCTGTGTGACAACTGCGACTTTGCGGTTCACCAGCAATGCTATGGTCTGGACGAAATTCCCGAGGGGGACTGGCTGTGCAGTTCATGTTCCCAGGAAGATGCCTTGGCTACAGCAAAGGAGGGGGCAGCAGCAGGGGCACCGTCGACGGGGACAGCATCCGCAGAGCGTGCCGAAGTTCCCGACATACCTAACCTCGAGAAACACCTACGGCTTTTACAGAGGGTCCTCCTAGACCGCTGTGCGGGCCGACGCAGGATCGACATGTTTGGCCTGCAGGAGGTGCAGGACAAGACTAGGCAGATCATCGAGCAGACGGTCGTGGCCGGCGAGGGCAATTCCATGCTCCTGATCGGGGCTAGGGGTAGCGGCAAGACGACGGTAGGTGGCATCTTTACATGGGCCATACGTATGTCCCAGCATCTCCCTCCACAATGCTAACCCACTGCCGCGCAGCTCTTGGAGAGCATCATCGCAGACGTGTCCAAAGAGCACAGTCAGGATTTCCACGTCGTGCGACTCAATGGATTCATCCATACCGATGACAAGCTGGCTCTCAAGGAGATCTGGCGACAGCTAGGCAAGGAGATGGACGTCGAGGACGACCTCGTCAACAGGGTATGTTTTCCTCGCCGCTGAGCATGCATCATTCCTCCCATGGCGGTGGTATCGGCGTAAGACTGACGTGCGTGTGCAGACGAATTATGCCGACACGATGGCATCCCTGCTAGCCCTGCTGTCTCATCCATCCGAGATCCTAGGCACCGACGAGGGTGTCACGTCTCAGTCCATCATCTTCATTATTGACGAGTTCGACATGTTTGCCGCGCATCCGCGACAGACGCTCCTGTATAACCTCTTCGACGTGGCTCAGTCGCGAAAGGCGCCCATTGCCGTTCTGGGATGCACCACACGGCTCAACGTGGTGGAGACGCTGGAGAAGAGGGTCAAGAGCCGCTTCAGCCACCGCTACGTCTATCTCACGATGCCGAGATCCTTACCTGCTTACTGGCAGGTGTGCCGTCAGGGTCTGGTGGTGGAGAGGAAGGATGCGGCTAGGGAGGGTATAGATACGAGCTTGGAAGGGTACAGTGAGTTCCACAAGTACTGGAACTCGAAGATCGATGTACGGCCTCGTTCCCTTCTCGTCCGTCTCTGGGGGGATGATGTACTGACAGGCTTACAGGAACTATACAAGCAGAAGGCCTTCCAGGAGCTCCTGCAGTACCACTACTACACGACCAAGTCGGCAGCCGCCTTCTTTGAAGAGTGGATCCTACCCTTGTCGGTCCTCAGTCCGGCTGACATGGCCATCAAAATACCCAGCATAGCATCAGAGGCGACGTCGCTCACCGCCCCAGACTCGCGCATGCACCTCCTGTCGACGCTGTCGGACCTCGATCTCGGGCTGCTCATCGCGGCCGCCCGCCTCGACATCGTCGCCCACACGGACACGGTCAACTTCGCCATGGCGTACGACGAGTACAGCTCCCTGGTGGGGAGGCAGAGGGTGCAGTCATCTGCCTCGGGCATGCTGGCCGTCGGCGGAGGCGTGCGCGTCTGGGGTCGCGGCGTGGCGGGCACGGCATGGGAGAGGCTCATATCCCTCGGCTTGCTGGTGCCTTCGGGTGTGGGGGGCGGCAGAGGTATGGGCTACGGCGGGTTGGAGGGCAGGATGTGGAAGGTCGATGTGGCACTCGAGGAGATACCGCTGGCTACCAAGCTGGGGACGGTGCTGGCTAAGTGGTGTAGGGAGATTTGATCGTGCTATATTATGCTACTGCACGGTCATGGTATATACATGTATATACATGAATGATATCATATATAGATGATAGAACAGCGTGTTTAGGACCAGGTTAGTGTACGTATGTACCCTGTCATGCTGCTTGCCTGCTCGTCTGATGAGTGCAGATACTGATGCTAGAACGAGGATCAAATGTCTCGGGGTCAGACGGTGGTACGGATGTGTATCACAGGATAGAAACCTACCCTGGGCTTGAGAAGCATAGGATTGGATCAGGCGTCTCGTCTGTTTTATTTTGCAATCATTCGATAGCCTATAGGCAGACCTAATGCTACATACATCACATCACCATTCATGTCTACTCGCAAGAGCGAAGCGAGTGAGAGATTGAGAGGATTCGCTGTGGACCATTTTTCACACACGCCTACCGTTTCATGAGCGCACATCAGCATCATGCGGACTTGCCACACATACTGTGACGTATCACATATTATATATAATGTTATTACATATATATATAATGATCAGCCGATCTTTATTCACCTCGTTTCTCTCTCTTTTTTCTTCTTTCTTTTTCTTTTCTACGACGACAACAAGAATAATAATCACATCTACCACTCATCCCCCAAGATAACGTGCATGATGCTGTTGGTAAAGACAAGGAGGGAGAGGAAAGGCGCAAAGGGCAAGATGGCCAAGCACACCACCTTTTCGACCACCACCCCCCTCCCATCGGACATTGACCGCGACACCGTCCTGTCCTTCCTCCACAACCACGCGGGCATGATTGACCTCAACCCACTAGTCAGGTCGAGAGAGAAGCTGGATAAGCCACCTCCGGCAGCAGCAGCAGCGGAAGCGGCAGCAGCGGCGGCGGCGGCGCAGACCTCGGCAGGAGAAGGAGGAGACGGGGATTGCAAGGCAACGACAGCATGGTACGCCGTCACCGACCGAGTCTACTACCTACCCGGCGGTTGGCCAGGTGGTCTATCGTCAGGGGCCGTCTCGTACACCTGCGCGTTCCGCGACTTGCCAGACGGCATGGAGACGCACTGCTTTGCCGCCATGGGCGTGGAGACTCGCAGTCGGTGGAGCGTGGCGAGCACCGGCGGCGGCGGCGGCGGCGCTGGAGACGAGTTGAGGAGGTCGGAGTCGCAGGACTCGATGCTGCTAGACGGCGACGGGAGTGGGCGGCTGCATCTACGAGAGGATGTCGACGTGCGATCTAACCTCCTTCTGGCCGGTTTCATCAGGAGGACCATTATCAAGAGTCACGGGGCCTTGGTCGACACGCTTATCGAGAGGGTGAGGGAGAGATCATCATGACAGATACGGCACGGAACGGGGATGGAATGCCGAGCTACCTTTTTTTTCTTCCTTTTTCAAATTTCTCCCTTTTCTCTTTCTCTTCTTCATCGTTACTGACATCATTCTTCTCTTATCTTGTCTTGCCTTGTCTCATCGAGAGTATTACAGTGCCCAGAAGATCACCCTCCCCCCAACACACACGTACAGGAAAGACGACGACATCAGGACCAATGACAGCACACCTCAGAGACCAGAACACAGATACTCAATTCAACATGTTGGAGATGAGATCACTTAGATAGGATCACCACCTCCGCCCCCCTTCTCACTCTCTACAGGGCGAGAGCACCAATGGCGACAACACCGGCCAGACCGAGGACGAGAGTGTCCATTCCGTGACCGCTGGCACCGGCGACGGGAGGGACGCCGCTCGGGCCGGGAGGGACGCCGCTCGGGCCGGGAGTGCCGGCGGGGTAGGTGGGCACGGCGGGAGGGGGAGTGCCGGGGAAGCCGGGGGTGACAGGGACGCCGGGTGTCACGGGGAGACCGGGGTTGCCAGGGGGACCGGGGTGAGCGGGAGTAGGCTATATAACGTTCCAGAGTCAGCATCCAATACATTATCTCTCATCTTCATACTAACATGAGATTGGCAAGAGAGAAACAGATAGAGACCAAAAAAAAAAAAAAAAAACATACCGTAGCCTCGCAGTCACAGTCGGTGAAAGTAAGGGTAGTAGCCTCGGTGACGGTCCAGGTCTTTGTCCCGCGCGAGACGGTGGTAGGGCCAGGGCAGAAGGTGGTGTACTCGGTGATGACCTTGGTAGCGATGACGGCCGTATCGTTTCCACGGCGGGCGAGGTCTTCGACCTGAGGGACGGCGGCGGCGGCCGAGGCCAGGCCGACGAGGCCAGCAGTGATGACGGAGTTGAAGAGCATTTTTTTTTGTGTGTTTTCTTTTCCTTTGTTTAAAGAGAAAAAGAAGATTAGGGAAATTAGGTAGTAGAAAGATGTATAAAAAAGGAAAGAGTCAAAAAAAGAGCGACTTGATAATTTAAAAAGGGGGGGGGGGGAGGACAGAATAAAGAAAAAGACTGTAACGAGTGTCTGGTTAGTATCTGTGTTTGGGTAACGACTGGATGGAGGATGATGGGCGAGGAGGATGGAGAGGATGAGATGGAGGTCGCTGTCCTTTTTCTTATATATACATGCTTTTCTCCTGTCCTTCCTTTCCCTCACCTTGCTCCTCTCCTCGTTCCGTCCCTGTCTTCTCTCTGTTCTAGATGTGGTCCTTCGTTCCATCAGCCAGACATCCAACACATGAGATCCAGAATTGTTTTGGTCTTTCTTCTTGTTCTTCGCCTCGCTGATCGATTGCTCTGAGACAGATCGACAGCGAGGCAGTCGAAACATGGAAACATTTTCGGCACCGAGACATCAACAACCCAGGAGACGCGCTCCCGACAGTCGACGAGATATCCCAGCGTGCCAGTCACCACTCTGTTGACCGCAAACGAGCATGCCCTGCCGTCCCGGTCTGCATTCCGTCGACATGGTTTCCAGGTCGTCGACCTTCTATTCTCTGGCCGCGCGTAGCTCTACCTTCTTGTTCGTCAGGTTTGAATATGGGGTAGCATAGGTGACCGGCCTTGGCTTTTGATCCCTCACTTTACGGCTTTCCCCGATCCTTTCTTTTCTTCCCCCCTTTCTCCTTCTGCTGTTGAGAAGAACTTCCGTCATCGGTATACTGGGACATGTCTATGTTGAAGTCTTGAAGTCTTCCTCGTTCGGTCAGTGGGAAAGATGGACATGATACATGTTAAACTTTGTAGGATAGAACATTTAGCAAAGAATCATGTCAACGCGTAGTATATATATATAATATACATTTTAGTTCAATGGTATATGATCTACTACCCTCGATTTATTCCCTATCTGCGTGTAATTTTTTTTTTTTTGGGGGGGGGTTTCCTCTCATCTTTTATTTTAGTCCAGGGAAAAAAAAAAGAATAAGAAATCTCTGGAGATCTAGAAATCATCCACAAGAAAAGAAAAAAACACCGATGATGCATATATGCACAAAAGGAAACAAAGGCCTACAATAAAAAGCGGGAAAAGTAAGGAAACAGAGTGGAATCTATCAACGAAGAAGAAGAATGGTATCGGTAATGCCGAGTACGAAAGTTAAAAAAAAAACGGTCTTTGTGTGTGTGTGTGTGTGTGTGTGTGCGTTTCCCAACAACTTCGAGAAAGTTGACTTGAACAAGGTGACTTGATTGGGTTGAAAATACCAAGGGGGTTTGGGGGTTTGGGGTCATGATGCATGTTAGGAACTGCTGTGGGCAGTAATGCAGACAGAGCAAGAGACGAACAGAACATAATGACTTAAGAAAAAAAAGGGGGGTGGTCGAATTAAAGAAGCTGGAAAATGAAGCACCTGATAGAAGAGAAAAAAAAAGAAGATAAGAGAAGAAAAGAAGAGAAGAAAAAAAAAGTGTTGCCTCTGTACGTCTATGTTTGTTTGATGGGGTTGCAAAGTGTCGTGAAGTCGTCGTCAATTGAGTACCGGCAAAAAAATAAAGATAATAAAAATGAAAAAGTCAAGAAGAATCAGACGAGCCCGAAATGCAGAATCTAGTTTCGTTTGGACCCAGAATGGCTGCGCTCAGGAACGCCGATGCTGTCGAGTTCATAGTTGCGAAGGTGGTGCTCGTATTTGGGAGTCCTCAGGAATTTGGGGACAGAATCCTACGAGTCGTGTTAGCAATTGAATGTCTCGGGGAGAGGGATGTCTTGGGTGTCCAAGGGGGTTCTGAAAGGGAGGAAAATGTCCTCTGAAAGGGGGAGAAGGATGATCAAGGGAGGGAAGGGAGGGGGGGCGAGAGAAGACATACACTAGCCATCAGTTTGAAGACTGCATTCTGAGCATCCTCGAACAGAGAGGTGACCTCTTGCAGAGTCTCAATCATGGTGACGTCCTGCCCCACAGCCTTGGTCATGCGCATGGCCAGGTTGCTCCTCAGCTGGTGGTCAATGTTGAGCTCGCAGGGCGAGCCCGGGGCCAGGAAGGCGTTGTAGATGCCGTAAGCCTGGGCCATGATCTCCTTGATGCTGTCGATCGAGGTGGCGCTGGGCGTCTTCTGGGCCAGGCGGGTCGTGGCCTTGCACTGGCGGACAAACTCGTCGACGTCGCGGTAGAAGGACAGGTTCTCCTCGCAGTGGGTCTCGCGGAGGTTCTCGCGGAAGAGGAGGCGGAGGGCGGCGTCGTTGAGGATGCGGTCGAGGCGCTGGGTGTTGGAGTCGCGGGTGATGGCGTTGCGGTGGGCGCTGTGGCCGCCCTCGGAATCGGAATGGCGGCTCCGGTGGCCGCCGCTGAGTATCTCCTTGGCGCGCGGGCTGAGCTGGTAGACGGCGTACTTTGTCGGCTGGAAGGCGGCGCATCCGGGGTTCTGGGAGAGGAAGCCGCGGTCCTGAGCGATGGGCTCCAGCAGCTGGTACTCGACAAACAGGCTGGCAATCTCAATCGTCTCGCGGCGGTCGACGATGCTGCAGCAGTCGAGGAGCCAGTCGGCGGCGGCCTTGCCCGTCAGGGTCTCGCGGTAGGTGCGGCCGTTGATCCGGCGCTCGGCGGCCATCTTGACGCCCGTCAGGCCATCGCGGTAGTCGACGAGCGACTCGCTGTCGGCCTGGCTGGCGTTGGCCTTCATGTTGCGGCCCTCGGCACCGGCGAAGCGACGGAAGATGACCTCGATGGTGTTGCGGTCGCCGACCACCTTGTCAGACTCGGGCTCACGCTCCAGCGTCACCAGCTGGGTGGGCATCAACGACAGCAGCTCGCCAACCTGCTTCTGCTGGATGCCGTTGCGCGAGCAGAACGTGTCCAGCACCGACACGCCCTTGGGAGTCAGCTGCCACACCGATCCCTTCATGTTGTAGACCTGCTGATACTTCCCATCGGCGCTCTCGATGAAGCGTGCGTCCAGGAAGCGCTGGCAGATGGACCGGGCCATGTCCTTGGCCATGGAGAAGGTCGTCGTCGTCGTCGTCGTGACTATGCGCGACGGGTCCTTGGGATCAGGCATGCGGTTCGACTGGGAGAACTTGAGGGAGCCCAAGTTGTTGATAGCATCTTCGGAGAGGAAGGTGTAGTCGACCTTTGTCAACCGCACGCGGTGAGGCGTCAGGGGGAGCAGGCTGACTATGAGGGTAGCGAAGAGGTCGTTGAAGTCCTGTCGATGGTTCAGTCAGCCAATGTCCGTAATCGGAGATGGGTACTACTATGTGGACAAGATGCAAAAGCAAGCATGCCGGGGGAGTTTTTTTCTTCTTTTTTTTCGTCTGTCGATGCCTGTCCATCTTCTGTCGTTTCCCTTCCCTTCCCCTTGTTTTCCTCTCCTCTTTCCTTTCCTTTCTCTTCCGCGTTGAGGGGTGCAGGGAGGTGGAGTGTAGAAGATGTGGTGGGTGGGTGGGGGGGCGGCTGGTTCTTCTGCACCGACAGTAGATTCAAGACAACATACCTTTGTAAAAGGGCGATCGTCGTCGGTCATGCGCAGTAAGCGCGACGACGTCTGATGCATCTTGCCTGAGATGTCGCCAGGGCGCACCTTGATGGGTGGAGGGGTGTTTGGGTCCGTCTCGGAGTAGGGCTTGGAGATGGGCAGGGCAGGCGGGGCGTGGATCTTGCCGTCTACGATGGGAGACAGAGGTCCGGTGGGGGAGAGGGACTGGTTAGAGGAGCTGCGGAAGATCTGCTTCCTATACGAGGTGGAAGAAGTCTGCTCGTTCTGCTCCGGGATGGGAAGGTTGGGGGATCCGGGAGCCAGGGAGAGTCTCGCCAGGGCTTGACGATGACGGACGAAGGAGGACGGTTCGGAGGCGGCGGCTGCTGCTGCTGCTGCTGCGTTGTCGTTGCTGTTGCTGATGCTGCTGCTGCTGTTGTTGTTTGAGGAGGAGGGAGAAGGAGAAGAGGAAGAGGAAGAGGTGAAGTTGGCGAAACGAGACTGAGTCTTGTCCAAGGCAGCGGCGGCGAGACTGAAGATGGCGGCTGACGTGCGCTGCTGGGACCTGCCGTTGGACAGCGAGGCTGTCGAGGGAGAGCTCGAGTGTCTCCTCACGAACGGGGGAGCGGTCTGGTCGGTATCGTCCTGACCCTTTCCCTTCTGTTTCCCCTCTTCTCTCCCTTCAGTAATGGTGTTGGCGGGGACGTCTCCTGCCGCTGCTGCCGCCGCTGCTCCTGCTACGGCCGGTAGCGGCTGCTTCAGAGAGCTGGAGCGCGGAGGGGGGGTGGCGGAGATGGGGGAGGAGGAGGAGGAGGGGGAGGAGGAGGTGATGATGGAGGGCGGGGAAGGTGAGGCTGAGTTACTCGTAGCAGTCGGTGACGATGATTTAGGTGTTGACCTGGAGATGGATGGTCGGTGTTGGAGAGATATTGAGGTGCCGGTCGATGATGAGATGGCTGCCATCTAACGTGGTTGATGTAAAGGAAGAGGAGGAGGGAAGAGGGAAGAGAAGGGTAAAAGAAGGAAGAATAAGAAAATAGTTTGTTTTAGTGTGGGGGGTGTGAAGATTTAGAGAGATAGAGGACGAGAGAGCGTGTGTGGTGTGCGGTGTGTGGTGTGTGGTGTGTGGTGTGTGTCTTGCGTGTGTGCGTGCGTCTGTCTGTGTCTGTATGTGGTGTGGTGTGGTTCGTGCACTATGTCCAGGTTGTATGAGGTACTCGTAGTTGGTTGTGAATGCGGTGACTCGTAGTCTCGGTCTTTGGAGCAGCGGGTAATACTAGTAGTATAGTGATACTGCTAGTAGCCACTCGTAGTACTTAGTCGTAGTAGTAGTGAATGTACTAGAAGCAATGTACCCGTTTCAAAAAAAAAAAAAAATAGAAGAGTAGAGTAAAAAGGAATAATATCAGGCGTTGATGGTACTCGTCGTAGTGTCGGTAGTGTGAAACCAGTTGCGGAGTAGGAGGGGGATCGATATCCTTATTTTTTTATTTCCCTGGTCTGACACTCTTTTTTAGGTCTCTTTTTCCTTTCTCACTTCGCTGTCGTTTCCCGGTTGGGATTTCCTTTCTTTTTTTCTTCTTCAACGGGAGGTCGTATGGAGGTGTATGGAGTAAGATTGTAAGGAATTCGGGAGAAGAACGAGACTGGATCGATATCCGTACACACACTCCTCCTTAAATGGGGTCAAAAGGGGGGGGGGGGGGGGGGAGGGAGGCCAAGGGGAGGCAAAAAAAAAAATTAGAGGGGACAGAGAGAAAGAGGGAAAAAAACGTCACAGCGCAAAATAGCGGCCAGCACAATCTCTCTCTCTCTCTCTCTCTCTCTCTCTTTCTCTCTCTTTCTCTCCGTTAAAGAGAGGTGAAATCCCGGGAGATGGGCCCTTGTATGTGCACGTCTCTCTACCTTGTAATACTACCTGTATCAAAAAAAAATTAACAAAAAAAAAAAAAAAAAAACCTCTTCCGGATATGGAGTATTATCTTGATGTGCGCATATCACTCTGTTCTGTACCATCATCAATCAAAAACCCAACCACCTCACGGTCGACTCCGTAATACATGTCATCTCCCTTCTTCTTTTTCTCCTTCTTTCTTCCTTCCTTGTGTCGTACTTATTACTTGCTTGCTGTCCTCTCCGAACCAGACAGCAAATACTCGTCGGCTGGGCCGGCAGACCGGGGGGGTGTGTGGAAAAGGGCGTGCGGTGTGTGACCAAGGAGGGACGAACGGACAAGGGAAGGATGGCCTCGTGGCTCACGCGCCTCATGGACGCCGCTGTCGATTAAGGGCGGGTCTGTTGAGTTGGAGGGGGAGTGTGCATCTCCTGAGGAGTTGATGATGTCTTGGGCGTGCATCTATACACCAGTAACTACTACATACGGTTTAGGTACAAGATGGATCAGTAGGTCATAAGTGCATATTCTTACAGACAAGGGGGAAAGTAGTAAAGTAGTGGATATCTGCATACTGCTACCGGTAGCCTTGCCTTTTTTTTTTTTTTCTTCTTTTCTTTTTTTTCTTTCCCAGCCATGCTGATGCATGTATCCGCAAAGAAAAAGAGACCTGGGTAATAGTATGATTGACCCGTTTCACCCGCGTTCCCTCCCTCTCCCTCTCCCTCTCTCTCTCTCTCTCTGTGCGTATGTATGTGTGTGTGACGAGTGATAGTAGTACGAGCTACTCAAGTTGCTCGCCTGCTAATATCATCCTTGCAAGTTATGTTCTGCTCGTACTTGTATATATACCGGTATCGACAGATTATACGTAGTCCACTCCGTCACGCCTGGACCTGATCGCGGTCATGACGCTTCAATTGACTTGACCGACCGTACAGTACATATCACATGTCATGCTTCTACATCACCTTCTTCTCACCTTCTCTCATCTTCCTGTTTTTCTGCTTCTGCTTCTGTCTCACCCCAACGTTCCGTGCCCTTATTAGTCACCCATGTCGATACTCACACCGTCTCCAAATCGCACCGGCGGCAACGTACGACATAATGACGCCCGTACATGTAATACCTGTCGATACTCACTCTCGTACAAGGTACAGGCCGCACATGGCCAGAGCTCTTGGCACTCCCTCGCTTGCTTTGCCAAGATTTCAATTCAAGGTCTGGGCCGCACTTGGGGCTTGCTGTGCGACGACGGACGGCCGATTGCAGTATTGTTACGAGCAGCACCGCTCCGCACATGGACCTTACGAGTAGTACTTACGAGTAGTATCATGCTGACTGAGAGCATGCGCGGTAGGAGACGTGTACCGCTCTCTTTCCGAGGCTTCTCATTCTTTTCCAAGCCTCTCGCATATTCATGTACATGCCGAGCAGGCTATCAGCTGCAATGTCCAGGTCGTGCGACATGTCTGGTGCTCTTCTCATACCATACCTCACCCTCAGTGGTGATACCGTAGATGATGCCACGTTGGGTCAGGTCCTCGACCACGACACCTCCGTACTGACCACTCCCAAGAGTCTTGCAGAATGGCGGTGATGCCGTCCTGGCCATTGATCCAAAGCTTGTCCCCGCTTACCTTTTTTTGTGGCCCCCAAAACCCTACGGACCATCTCTCTCTCTCTCTCTCTCGTCCCTCTGACATGGAGTCTAACCTGTTTTCTCTCCTTGAGGGGGGTCTTCATCCTCAGAGTACACTTGGTCCTATGGAGAATGTTCAGCAGCATCGTCATATCATTTTTCACCTTGCCAGTGCTCTGTTTGATACATGTGCTGATTACTTTACAGAGCTGGATGGCTTACAAGGCTAATGTACGCCGAGACTGATACGTCGTAGTACGGTTGCCCACATGTAAGGATGAGAAATCTCCGTGGGCCAAGAAAATAAAACGTTATAAAATGGTATAAAATAGAAAGAGCATTGGATACCTCTCTACCTCTACAGATTACACGTGTGTGAGTATTCAGTACCGAAAGTCGTAACTCCAACCGAGTTCCCAGAGTTGCCGACATGCAATTTTAGCGATACAGCTCAACCCCTTCCCTCCTCTCTCTCTCTCTACCAGGGTCCAGGATTCGTCCCATGACACGAGATGCAGGACTCCAGTCCTATCCAGAGAACAACACCATCCCCCCCCCCCCCCCCCCCCCCCCCCCCCCCCCCCCCCCCCCCCCCCCCCCCCCCCCCCCCCCCCTCCCTTCCCCAGTTACGACCCTCTGCCGTAGACGCTTACACATGCCTTTCAAGCTCTTTTGTCCCGGCCCCCCAGTCGTTACACTAATGCCGACCGGTCAGAGGCAAGACGAAGAGAAGACGTAGATCGGCAGAGGAACGTCGGAGACGTATTACCGTATGCATGCTCATGCCGTACGGGTACGACTATAGCTGTATCCATCGTACCTGTGTGATCCTCATTGTCCCCAAAACTCCAGCCGTATATCCACCTTCTCTCCCTCATTGAATCCTCTGCTGCAACGACACCCGGAACCACACTGCGGGTAGAATCTGACATACACCATCTTTCCATTCCAACCAATCCACACGGATCATTCGAGACAACAACAGAATCCCCGCTGCGTCAAACTCGTCTCTCTTTTTTTTTTCCTTTCTTCTATATCCAGACATTGTGTGAAAGTCCTGCTGAACGTACTCGTGTACTATAGAAAACTTGTACGAGTCGCCTCCCCCCACTCTCCCTGTACTACATATTACTATGGATACATGTACGTGAGAGAAAAGGGAAAGAGAAGAGAAAGATGGGCGACATTGATCCCGGAACGATTCTTCGTAAACCCGACTATTTCCAAGATGAATGTTTTACAAACTTATCGTCTTTTTCCTCCAACGTCGTACCTGGCTCCTTCTCAATCATGGTCCACGGTCCACCGCCCTGATTTGATTGATTGTTCCGCAGTCGTCTCTCTCTCTCTTTCTCTCTTTCTCTCTTTCTCTCTCTCTCTCTTTCTCTCTTTCTCTCTTTCTCTCTCTCTCTCTTTCTCTCTCTCTCTCTCTCTCTTTCTTTGATATCGAACTTTCTTTTTCTTGTCTCTTTACGAGGGCGAGGGCTGACCATGTATATGATAAGCCTATGTCTATCACTACTACTACTACTACTACTACTACTACTACTACTACTACTACTACTACTACTACTACTACTACGAGTAGTACCACTACTAAGTCTACTGTAGTCTCGTGCCAACAATGCCTGAGCCGCTGTCGCTATCATCATCATCATCATTATTATTCATAACCCGTATCTATCGGTCTTCATACACCCTTGCGGCATTTGGCTACCGATACAGACCGTGTCGCTCTCGAGGTCTCCATCGATAAGAGGCCCCATCGTTGTAATTCATCTCACGTACGGTGGTTACCGAAACGACTAAACCCATTGTTGATTTGTTTTGCGATTGGTCCACGCGTGCCAATTGACCTGGTAGCTCGTCCCGGCATGTCGTCATTTCTTCCCATGGCCATGACCCTACTTCATCCATACATTCTCCCCATCTCCTGTTTCCCGGAGCGCCTCATCTTCCCTTGTCCATGCTCGTAGGTGCTCGTACTGATCTGATCTCAATCACCCTGCTCGCAGTACTGTTGATGCTCGTACATGTTGCCCGGACCTATACGACGTATTGGTATCCTGCTGTCCGGTAATATAGGCGATCCGAACTAGCCTATACGAGTACTCGAACCGCCCGAGACTCTTGGTGGTGCAGTTCTCTTGACCATCTTGACTCCCCATACGGAGGTCCGCACAGATAGAAATACGTCATGTTGAAGAAAGAGAGAGGCACCCCAAGGCA